AGTACATGGAATGCACCCTGGTAGTCTCAAACAAGTTCTCTTGGGGGAACGGGGCAACATATGATAGTTGTTTAGCTTCTTAGGAATCATTACTTACAAAAATCGGTAGGGGCAACTGATACTTTTATTTTCTAGTATTTCAATTATATACTGTAATTAGTTTTCATTGGTAGGCCCCCTTGAAAAACAACTTCTGTTGAAGGGCAACCCCCCCCCCTTAAACAAATCAAATAAAAAATATATTTGAAATATGAAATATATGCTAAGCCCCTGAACAGCAGAGAAGCCTTAAACAGAGTTAAAGGAATTTGGCAAATTGAATAAAATTATTGATGTCATTCAGAAAAGTCATTTGAAGTCCAGAGACAACCCCGCAAGTACATGCTCTTCGAAAAGCTATCAACATGATCTACTCATTGAATGTTCCTGTTCCACAACCCTTAGGAAACGCTTCAGGGTCTCACATTTTTACTTAAAAAAGCCAAGCCCAATCAATTTAAAATGTAACAGAAAAAAGCCAGATTTCTGAAGTTTGCGTTTGAAAAGGTCAAGTTAACAATCCTGGTACGGAGAAAGGGTACTCACTGGCGAGTCATGAAGTGCTCTTATTTTGGCGTAGATATCAGTGCATATGTCACTTGAACAGGAAAGGTCTTTCATTTTGACAAATTGCCATTTGGCGCTGCCAAGGCTACTTGGAACATGTCTTACGATGTCAATTTTCCAATGATATCCACCATCACTCTCGGAAACACTTGCAGTAATAGGAAATTGAATGATCCCAGACAAGGTCAATACGAGTAGTTTAAATTCCATAGCCTCTCCTTTTGCTTATCCAAAGCTGCAGCTAATTATCTATCTGGAACAAAGCAGGTATTGAAGTCAAGCTTAAAATGTACAGTTTATGAATCCAATTTATGCCATTGTCTATAAGGTATTTTGCAGTACGAAAAACTGAAATCTTTAGCTTCGGTTCGGTATCGCCGTTCTCATTTTCCCGCGTTATGTGTTTATGTTGACAAGGTGGATTTACACTTAAGGTGGGCCGTCACATTAGTATTGGAACAAGTGGTGAGGAAAAGTGAAGGGAAGAAGCAAGGAAAGGTCTCTCGATTTTGGCGGGTCTCCCGTTTTGAAAATTTTTCCGCCATTGGTTTCGAACCAAAGTTCACTCTTCAGAAATTGTGTTTAAAGATGGGATGTAAAATTTTATTTCTAAATAGATAAGATACATGCACATCGTTCTTACTTTAAACCGTAGCTGGCAAGAATTAATTTAAGGTGCAGTGATGAATCGAAAATGTGCAGTGATGAATTACTTCACTTTTCAGTTTGAAATATTCTGAATACTATTGATTTATATGTTTTTAAAATAAAGGGAAATGAATACGAACTATAATCGAGAGTCAAATGAGATAATAGAATCAATCTATGTATAAAACTCAACTAAAACCAGCGTTAACAATAAAAATAATATACAGTTAATCAAAAATGCACTTCATAATGCAAAAAGTGTTTTTAAGAAAATAGAAAGAATACTGGAAAAGAAATAGATAATAAGAATAGTGCAATAAATCCTGTTATTGCTAAGATTCCAAGGAATATGCCAAGGTCTGTGGGGTCTTATAATGTAATTATGTAAATTTTAAGACTGAAGTTTATCAAATGTAATAAAAACATGTTTTGAAAAAAAACATAAATGTTTTAAATGATTGCAAGAAAATAACTGCTAGAAATATTCTGAAATATATTTTAGGCTAATCTAAAGGGCGTGTTCACAAAATTTTCTGCTCGCTCCGCTCGCAGGGAAGCTTCTTCTTTCAAATAACCTAGGGCCTCATACAACCTGGGCTTTCCTGTATTGCATGGCCAAAAAGACTCAATGCCACTACCACTATCAAATGCATTGCATTGCATTGCAAACCATTCTAAAGTACTGCGTATATCGATTTCCAATCCAGCTATCACTAGCTCGTTCAATTTTCTGGTCACAGGCGAACAAGCTGTTATTGTCAGCAAAGTGGAATATTTCTGACTCTTCAATGAAGTAAATCAAGTCATTTATGTAAGTATTGAATAACAGAGGGCCAAGTACTGAACCGTGTGGTACACCAGATGTGATATCGAGCCACGAACTATAACTAAAGTCGATTCTGACTCGCTGTTTACGGGAAGTAAGGTAGCTGTGGAGCATTCTTAGGCTACCCAAGCTAAAACCATAGGCCTCTAGTTTTGCTATAAAGAGATCATGGGGCAGACAATCCAAAGTTTTGGAAAAGCCTATAAGCACCTTTCCGACTATACCACGTTTGTCTAGATAATTGCGACATCGTTCAATCAACCTTGTGGTTTTTCTATTAACCTATTTCTGTGGTTTTTTTTATATCAGCAGATGATGACTTTCATTGCAAATTTCGCTGAAAGTCTCCTGATTTTAGCTGTTCTAAGATTGGAAGGACTGGCATGATAAAAACAACATAGAGTACATAGGGTTGAACAGAACATGCTTGCAGCTTGGTTAAAGAAAAAATCAATGTTGAAAATATGCAAGAATTATTTTGAAAAAGAGATAGAGAATGTATAGTTTCTTAATGACGGGAAACTGAATTTTCAGATAAAACTGGACAAGGAGCTCGAAAATTGTATCACTCAGGGGCAGATCCAGAGCAAATTTGAAGGAGGGGCAGTTGGTAGTGGGGGCGCTGAAAAATTTCAAAAACTGGTTACGAGAGTACGCTGTTCTCGACGGCTTCCTCGCAAGGGGGAGATGCTGTCGCTTGTCCTTGGCCCACCCATGCCCCTCTTTTTATTGATTACGTCATGAGCAGGAATCGCGTAATTGCGTAATTCCTTCTGCCTTCCAAAAATAACAAATTCGGAAAAGAGGCGAAATTAAAAGAGTGGCCTGTTTATACTTCATTTCACGTCTAAATGTAAGAATGTGTCGACGAAGAAACTAAGGCTGGTTGAACCAACTCAGGCATCGAAATGAATAGCACAGTAATAAACGACGATTGGGTAGCCATCAAAGAGTTTTCTCTTCTGTCGGGGAAACAATTAGATTTTGTTGACGGAAGCGGCAAGACGGCAAGAAGTGGAATCGAAGAAATTCAAGAGCAGCAACGCAGTGGTACAGAAAACCGAAATAAGGCCTCACCTGACGACTGCGAATGGGAATTCGACGTGAACTGGCTTGATGATCTCAATGTCATTCAATTAAGTGGCTCGCACAAGCCAAGAGATGCCAGCAATAGTGAGGAAATTGAACCAAAGTCAAGTGATGATGTTTTTACAACGTCAGGTCCATCGACCTGCATTGCTGAGTTTACCGTGGACAGGTTCATTAGCATACACGAGCAAATCTGCTTAATGTGCAGTTCATTGAACGACTCGCTGCCAAATCTGCCATTGGTTCCTAGAGGCTAGTATAATTTGTTTTCTAATTGATTTACTAAATGCTTCTATTTAGTAATTACTAAATACTAATTACTAAATATGTAAAGCACAGCAATGCTCAAGGTGAGTTGAGTTCCCGGAAAAGCAGAATTAAAAGAGAATGGGTTAGATTATGCTTTGCTGTTAGATTATGTCACCGTGTCCAAATTTACCTATCTAATGATCCTGACTGGAATTGCAGGACTGAGCACAGGTACCAAACTTAAAAGTATTTTTTTGTGCGTTGGGAATTATTTCATGTTTCTTATGCTTGTGCAGGAATAAATAATGTTGCAGAATAGCAGGCTAAAAGCTGCAGGATTTTATATTTAACTTATGTTTGTAAGAAGTTTAAGGGTGTACGTGGGACTCTTACAAAAATCTATGCTGCAACTGTACAGATTAATCGACAAGATTTTATGAACAAATTAATTCCAACAGATTTCACTCTGCAATTTTGAGTCCAAAAAAGCAACTTTTTTCTCTCAGGTACACTACTTAGGTCTCTTGGGTATGCTAATTAGGTGTCATTGGTCTGACTGTTAAAGGATTTATTGGACGCATCTGTAAATAGTAATGACTATATATGCATTAGTTCTTTCCGGGAACTGCCATACTTCAAGCTGGCATCTGTAAATTACAGGCTAGAGGTAGAGGCCCTGAAAATGTTTATCTAAAACTAACCAAAAGCTAGCAAGTTACTGGGTTAATGAGATTAAAGACAACAGACAGATGCTAATGATACAATTTGACATATACCAAAATGCCATTTGCAGGATGAAAAACTGATACCACAGATACCTAAATCACATATGCAAAAAGGAATTGTGAAACACAGTCTTATATTGCACAATTCATCAATCAGTACTACTTTGTGGAACGCTTTTTTTGTTTGTTAAAAACATTGTCATCTTCAAGATTTCTTCACAATTTGGATAACTGTAATTTATTTTTATTTTAGGTATATGGAGTTTTGTCTCTTCGGTCCATGTTCCTGAAAATTTCAAAGCAGATATGCTGATATATCTTCAAAATGCTAGAAAGGAGCTTGGTGATAAAATATTTCTGGAAAACTTCTTTGAGCAGGAGACAGTGACAGAGGAAGAGTACTTGGAGAATCTCGGAGATTTGAATAGAAAATCATTTGCAGATAATGTTAAAGATGCAAAACTATTCTTAGGTAAGGTTAAACAATTCATGGCTGTTATATCCTTCAGTTTTGAATAATGTAAAAGAAATATACTGTTTCCAGGATTACTTCAAGATGCTATCTAGCAACTTAGTTGCATGCTTTTTGGAAACTGCTAATGCTTTTTTATTTCACCCTTTTTATCCTCACCCTTTCTCTTATTTTCAATCCTTATCATTTGCTATGACCTTTGTTTGCCCAAAATCATTAAACATATCCTCTTCCTTGCAGATGAAGTTCTTTCATTGAGAGATGGCTCAATCAATATCCATGACATGGTTAGTCTATACTCAATAGAAGATGAAGCTATGGAAAAGCTAGAAGTGGCCAAAGCTGTACTTTACAATTTTGACCGACAACCATTTCTTGATCTAAGGTAGATATACTTTTATCACTAAAGAAAGCAGTAGGTAAGGTGTTTCCAAAATAGATAATCAGCTAGAATCCGTTTATTGGTCGGCAAAGTGAGCAAGTAATCCTGTGATCCGTTTTGCATTTAGAAGTGGAGATCACAGTAGAACAGCTGGTTATTTTTGAAAGCAGAGAACATAATTTTATAGGAGCATCCAACATAAAACTGAAGCTCATCAAGACTAACAAAAGAAGTTCTTAACACATGAAAAGCATGTAACAATAGTATAGAAAAGGTTCTTTTGTTATAGCTTATTATTGAACACAATGCAACGTTTCCTGTCATGGGGGATAAGTCTTTAGCATCCCAAAATATTTGGATGAAACATTCTAAAGTCAATAAGCGGTATCACAGTGGGGTATGGCCTTTATTCTATTTAAGCATAATTTAAGCATATAGCTTTAAGCTAAAACTCATTCTTGGAAATCTTTGGTAGGGCCATGCCCCACTAGTCCCAATAGGCAGACGGCCACTGCATTCAAAAATCTATTAAAAAGGTAGCAAGAGACAGTTGGAAATAGGGCTACATCCCCAAAGTTTCAACAGCCAGGGCACAAATGATATTCTAAACAGCTTTTTTAATTTTATTTTCAAAGAGAAGTTGCTCATCAACAGTTGAAGCTTACAAATGAAGAACTCCTTAATAAGAACATGGCAGATGATTTAAGATTGAAACTTATTGATGATTCAGAAGAGATGAGAAAACAGTTGACAATGAATGAAGAGAATTTGCTTGATCTTCAACTGCAGTTTTTTGAGTCGTCATTAAACTATTTAATGGAGTGTAGAGACCGGATGATTGATGATGAAATGAGATTTGGGAAGGAGGATTTCCAAAACACTTCAGGTTTGACACTCATCTTCTTTTCCAAGCACCCATAAAAGGATAAATTGCTGTAATAATACAGTCTGAGTGCTTGTTTAGTTGAGATATAAAGTAAAAAATATTTAGGTGTTATTCTTATTTCGAATTATATTGAAACATGACAGGTTGTACTGCTGGATACAGAGGCGGCGCCAGCTCGTGAAAAATGTGGAGGACGGGAAATCTAGAGAAATAGACAATAGGATTTTTTGCGACCACGCCCTTTTAAAAAATAGAATACTCATTTCAACGTAAGACAACATAAGGGACCACAAGTCAACCTCGCTACGACAACGCTTCTTAAAGTAAATTTTTAATCGAGGTTGATTGAAAGCTGATAGAAAGATCATCGAAAGCTTTTGAAAAAAAGGTGGAGAAAAGATTTCCAAGTATGAGCGAAATGTTTTTTTATTGTCTGTCGACTTACTTCACCCCACCCCCTCCCACCTTTACCACAACCCTTTATTCCACCTAAGCTTTGATATGCTAGCATAGAAGAAAGGGCATGTTCTGACTACAAAGATTCCATTTTCAAAAATTGGACTTGGCAGTTCAAGTTCAGCAGAAGTTTTAGACTGCAAGGACACAACTTAACGACACTACAAGGACACTAACACAACTTAACGAAAATTCAACTTATCCTAGGTGACTTTTCTTTGACTCGAATAAGGTAGAAAAATCCATTTTGTTTTCCGCTGTGCGAATTAACAAATTAACTTTGTGTTAATAATTGAAGTTTTATATTGATTGCCAGGGGTTTCCCGTGCCATATTTTTGGGCCAAAGATGACCGAGAGGCTATGTCTCCCCCTTTTTTGAAAAACAAAACTTTTTATGATTGGTTCAAAATATTTTTTTGTGAGTCTGTAATTGGTAGATGCTATAAAATACAGAATAAAGATGGTTATACTCGGTTAAATAAATGTAAAATTGTATTTAACTCTTTAAAACTCTATTTTTATTGTAAAATTGACTGTTAATGTGCCTGATGTAAGAGTGATGCAATCCTTCGAGATATTTCATTTAATGTGGTACTTTTTATTTCCTCAGCTAAAGAAAGGTTGCAAAAAATATCCAAAGAAGTGGCCAGTCTATCAGCTCAACTTCTTCGCTCACAGAGAATAAAACTGTTAAGAGATAGGGCCAAACTTCGATATGAGCTCATAAATTTGGAGGATAACGAGAATCTGGAATCAGAATTAGGGAAGTTAGAGAAAACTTTCTTCAAAAAACAGACGGAAATCTACCAAGTTGATTTGAAGATTGTGGAAGAAGAAGAAAAGCTACTTCGTTTGTTTTTAAAAGAATTTTTTTCAGAAGAAGATGCTGAAGAAATGGATGTTTTCTTTGAAACATTTGAAGAACAACCTGAAAATGTTGATGAAGAAGAGTTTGTTACAAAATTGGAAATTGGAAATAATAAAGAAAAAAGTGAAGAGCAAAAGAAAAAAGAAGATCTGACCAAAAAGTTGAGCAAACTATTTCGCAAAAGAGCCTGGCTACGAAACAAAAAGGTTTTTACTTTTATATAATTCTAAGTTACACATCCTAGAATCCTATTTCCAATACCTAGCAAACGATTACAATGGCGTTAAAGTTTATTATTCCATTGCTTTTCTTCTTCCATCCGAAGGTAGGTTTTAGAAAATTATCGAGCTGTGTCTATCGAGCAGTATCTTGGTCCTTTCTCTCATTGTGACCACACCTCGTTATTCATACGCCTGGAAATACAGAGAGCTGGTGACTCTCTTCACTCTAAGTGAAAGTTCGGTCATGCCAGAGAATCGAACCACAGACCCTTGGATCCCTAGTCACCAACCCTAGCCACTGAAACATCCTCGCACTTATTATTCCATGGTTCCCATTGAAGATCCAATTGGCAGTTCACATTTGAAATAATAAATGAAGTAATCGACATTCTATATTGCCAATTTATTAGCTGTGTTAATGTAATTGAAGCCTTTCGAAGTGAATATTGCAGTTTCGAACAATTTTTCGTAAAGTACTGCTAGAATTGTTTCTGCTATTGTTGATTCAAGTCACATTGAAAAGTAACATAGATTTTAAAAATTATCATCTGCTGGGACATGTTTGTTTTTTATCTTCAGCTGTAAGGCCAGATCTGGTAGAGCCTAATCTCTTTGTTCTTAAAGTTACTAATTTGTTGCAATGGAGTGCATTTTCAGACATCGTTGTCTGTACTCTTCTCGGAATCTACCTCTTATTTGTGATTTTAACATTCGTTATGTTGATGGCAGTGGAAATGATATCGCAAACGTAGCAAATTGCATTTGTTTTCAATATTTTTGTGAGGTTTTGAATGCGTTTTCCAGTTTTGAATAAGACACGGATTTGTTTGGAAGAACAGGACATTAAAGATTCATACTGCGTTCACCTGCGGATAAATTTCAGCTAGTTTTCTTTAAATAGTATTACGGAGGCTGTAGTAGTATATATCAAGAATTTGGAATTATCGTTTATTCCAACTAAGATATTGAACTAAGATAAAAAACTCTATGTTTATTATAGCGGAAGTGCGAAGGCGACATGAACAGAAAGCTCAGCGCGAAGCAACAAGCTGAAGAAAATTTCAAATGGCATCATTCGATCCAAATAGTAAGGAATTTGTCAATTCGAACTATTTTATTAAATAATCTCCACCTTCTGCCAAAGATGATAATTATCATCAATATAGAAAGCTTATAGAAGACCAACAGAGAATTGAGATCGGATGGTTGGAGATAGCTGGAAATACCTAAGAAAGAGAGCAGTACTTTTAAAGACAATGCCTCTAGACTATTTAAGTGCCTGTCATTGACAATAAGAAAAACTTATCAAAGCCTCCATGTAGACGAGAGTCAAGAGTCCATGTATACGTTTTACCAATATGACATATATTTCTAATTCAGTATTGGCTGCCCTACTTGTTGTGGGTTGAAAGTGATTGGTGAACTAGGTCAGCCAACTCAACATCTTCAGCTGATTTATAAACATATTTAATCAGGTTTACCTAAGTACAGTGGTCATTGGCAATATTCAAAATGCTGTTACCTTGTTTAGTTTATCTTCACATTAAGTTCTAGATGATCCAGCAGGCAAAATGGAATGGCCCAATAACTGGCAATTGTGGAAACTGAGCACCAAATTGTTAGCACTATTTGTGCCAGTTTTGTCCCAGATTTGAAATTACAAAATATTTTCATTGAAAACTATTCAAATTGAGCACCGTATTCAACATCGTCTTTCCTTTTGAAAAACCTTGGTAAAAATCCAAATTAATAATAATTAACTGCCTTCTCGAAGCTTTTATAGTGTTAAGAATAAGATAGTGCAATAACTATTAGTGTTAAGAATAATTATGGTCAAAGTAGTATCCATTCTCACTTGATTCCAAGGCATGTCGTGTGATCCAAGGCAGTGTCACAAATGCATCTTTCGGCAAGGCACTTTTTCAAACCAGCTAGAACCATTCTCTCCAACTATAACCAAGATTAAGGTCATGACAGGCTATTCTCCATTCTCACGTGATTTTCCATTCTGTTTCAGAAGAGAGATAAACATAAAGAGGAGTTAGAGAAGAAGAAGGATTTCATCCAAGAAATGAGAAAGAAGACGATCGAACGCTTAAAAGGTTATAAACAGGTAACTTGTTAAGAAATTTAGAGCATATTTCTGATTATAAAGTAGAGTTTTGTTTGTTAGAATTTTATATTTTTTTTGTTCTTTGCGTGGATAACAGAGTTTCCATGCTTAAAATTTTTTTGCAAAGTTTGTTTCCTAGATATAAATGCGGGTGGATAGAACAGTTAAAGATAATCGTTTGAATTAGATATTATTGAATATTTGGTTTTATCAAATCGCCAATAAAAGCAACTTGTTCCCTGTACATGAATCAGATTAGCAGCAAATTTTCATGATATTGTTATCTTACAGAGGTATCCTGAACCTATCGTGAAGCGACCGCCGCGGTATCTTCCGCCTGTGCGGCGGACAAGAAGTGGAAGGGCTTCGCCAGCTCAAGCCTCAACTGAAAAACAAAAAGTAGTCGCTTCAAAAGTTCTCGCCAAATACGAAGCAGCAAAACTAGCCAATAAAAAGGATACCGTGAAGAAAGAAGGCAAGGAGAAAGTTAATTCCGGCGACCAAGCAGATGAAACTGACTCGTCATCGGCAGTACAATTTATACCGCCACCCCCACCTCCACCAGTCCCGCCACCACCCATTTTGGCCCCGCCACCACCGCCGCCACCACCGCCGCTACCAACACCGCCACCAACACCGCCACCAACACCATCGCTCAGTAAGGCACAGGTCACTTCAGTTGAAAAGAAAGTGACAAAAAAGATCACAAAATCGGAAGTAAAGAATTCAGACGGGCGACAATCCAGCAAAAAAAGTGAAAACTTAGATCTAAGCCAGATCATTCTTGCAAGGCAAAATCTTCGTAAAAATGTTGAAAATGTTTCGGAAGATACGAAAAGTAAAAATATAAATGAGGATATAATGTCAATGATACGAACCGGTGTGAAGCTGAAGAAGGTTGACAAAAAAGAACTGGCTAAGGAAAACGGTTTATCCGACATTGCAGCAAGCATGCTTAGGAATACACTTGCGAAGATGAATAAGCACATGGCAGATTCCTCTGATGAGGAGGACGCAGGCAGTGCAAATGATGATGACTTTTAGTTCTGCATTTTATTACTTCGTGTAATGTTTCTCACCAGCCAGTGATCCTTGCCAACCCTTGCCAACCCTTGCCAACCCTTGCCAAAGCCTCTTGAAAAAACGCAATATACTTCGTGTAATGTTTCTCACCAGCCAGTGATCCTTGCCAACCCTTGCCAACCCTTGCCAACCCTTGCCAATCCTTGCCAACCCCTTGCCAACCCTTGCCAATGCCTCTTGAAAAAACGCAATATACTTCGTGTAATGTTTCTCACCAGCCAGTGATCCTTGCCATCCCTTGCCAACCCTTGCCAACCCTTGCCAACCCTTGCCAACCCTTGCCAAAGCCTCTTGAAAAAACGCAATATACTTCGTGTAATGTTTCTCACCAGCCAGTGATCCTTGCTAACCCTTGCCAACCCTTGCCAATCCTTGCCAACCCTTGCCAATCCTTGCCAACCCTTGCCAACCCTTGCCAATGCCTCTTGAAAAAACGCAATATACTTCGTGTAATGTTTCTCACCAGCCAGTGATCCTTGCCAACCCTTGTAAATCCTTGCCAACCCTTGCCAACCCTTGCCAATCCTTGCCAACCCTTGCCAATGCCTCTTGAAAAAACGCAATATACTTCGTGTAATGTTTCTCACCAGCCAGTGATCCTTGCCAACCCTTGCCAATCCTTGCCAACCCTTGCCAATCCTTGCCAACCCTTGCCAATCCTTGCCAACCCTTGCCAACCCTTGCCAACCCTTGCCAACCCTTGCCAAAGCCTCTTGAAAAAACGCAATATATCTTCGTGTAATGTTTCTCACCAGCCAGTGACCCTTGCTAACCCTTGCCAACCCTTGCCAATCCTTGCCAACCCTTGCCAATCCTTGCCAACCCTTGCCAACTCTTGCCAAAGCCTCGTGAAAAAACGCAATATAACACTGCATACCCCCCTTGCCCCAAAACAATTTTGCTTTGAAATTTTTTTATGCGTCTTTGAATGAGGCACAACTTGGCACATCTTCACAAAGCAGCATAAAACATAAAAATAGCCAACATGGTTTTTTGGGAAGTACGGCTGCGTGCAATGCTTAGGGAAGTTTTTCAAGCGTTTTGGCAAGGATTTTAGTTGTATTATGTACGAATTTTGCAAATAGCATATATTTTCATATGATTGATTTGTCTTGTGAAGATTTTTTCAAGCGTGTGTCTGTTTGTGTTGTTCCTCTTTTCATTTGTTTTTTAAGTCATTCTTTAATTTTTATGTTGACAAAGTGAAGTACCCTCAGTATCACCTATTCCGATTTTCATTTATATAGTAACGAATATGCTGTTGCTGAAAAATATCATTTTTGTTTGAGTTTAGTTGATCTTTAGTGTGTTGATCGTGAAAACATTTCAAACCAACATCATCATGCAAGGATACAAATTAAAAATATCATAGCGATATATTTTCCTGTATACACTGCAACTCTCGATTGAATTATAGGGGGGAGGGGGTGCTCAGATTCTGTAAGCATTTACTTTATGGAACATTTATCTGGTCTATTTATGGAACTCTTTCGATCACAACTGGGTATATATTCTTCAAAGCGAAAAGTTGTGCTCTATGTCCTGACGTTTCAAACTTTGAAGAGTGTCAAACGAAAGCTTTAGTATGTTTAAAAAATGATTGCTTTTTTAAAGCCATTGTTAACGGTGTAAACGTGCATGGGTTGTTGCAGAACTTTGAAAAAACACGGAAGGGGAAAAACTGGACGAATGAATGTGATAGGCCTAGCATTGACAAATTTTAAAAATGGTAAAATTTCATGCAAAGGACAGGGTCGAGTGGACATGTCTTCCCAGAAGTCAATTTTCTAATTTCTCGAAATCTGTTGAAAAACCTTTGGGGGGGGGGGAGGTGGACTGACTGATCAGATCGATTTCAATTTTCGCACTGGCAAAAATACCACCGTTACGAAGAAAGCTGCTTGAGAAAGTTGCTTGCCAAAACATTTTGAAATAAAATAAAAAATACTAAAAAGGCTTTTCCAAGAATCTGAAGAACGTGGCCAAGAAAATTTGTTTTCGTTTTTTCGAGCTGGCGACGCCACTGCTTGGAAAAGAAGTGCTGGTCCCATCCTGCCATTTTGTAAATATGTTTAGTACCTTTCCTACGTCACACCATTTATGTGTTTAATAGATAATTACCGTACCCCCTCTGGCTAGGAGTAGGTTTTCTGCTGCTTCAAGCTTATAACGACAAGCATTTATGTCGCCGAGATTAATCAAATAGGTCTTCCAAAATCACCATCATTTTATGGTTTCAATGGAGAGACAGAGGTATTTATGTTCAAGAACTGATTGCACGAGATTGGTAATTTTCAGTAATTTTTCAAGCTTGAGGAATAGAGTAGTGGCTTATCATTATGTCTTGTAAAGAAGACAAAATTTCATGTTATGGTTGATTTGCAGGTTTTCCGAATTTTCAATTATGTGGGGGGCCAAGGTGTGTCAGTAAGATAAAAAGTTGTCTTAAGGAAAATGCGTTTAAAATCTATGCCTGCGAAGAAAAAGGGTCAAAACAAGTTAAAGAACCGGAGATAATGGTTTTCAACACATTGTTTCCCTGGGCGTAGGGTCAGGGGCGTCACTTGAGGGGGGCGTCACTTGTGTTCTTAGAACATTCAGAGAAAGTTCATTACCTTGCACCCATTGCTTCAAATCGCTCAGTTCACTGTTTATAGTTTGATTTATAAATAGCTTTGAAAAAAGCAAACATTTAGTAAACTAAAGCTTTTCGTCTGACACTCTTCAGAGTTTAAAACGTCAGAACATAGATCGAAAACTCTACGCTAAGAAATATATATACCCAGTTGTGGAACGAAATAGGCCAATCAGAAACACGAGCACATGACTGTAAAGGTTGACCAATCAGTGCCGCTTGCCTATTAGAATGTTACCAATGGAGTCCTAAGGTGAAAACGAACTCTTTTTGTCTACACAGTAGCGGTTTTTTCGTGCTTATGTAGATAGATTCTAAAACTGCTAGGTGGAACGACGATCGGGCTTTACCAATAATCCGAAACATGTCGCCATTATAGGTTTTTGCACAAACTGGTTTGAAACAAAGTTTGATTTATACCTGCTAAGCTCAAAGAAGAGTAAAAAATACTGGTGTCGTCGGCGTACATTGTCACTCTACCTTTTTTCAGAGAAAACGGAAGGTCATTGACATAAATCATAAATAATAGAGGGCCAAGACATGAACCCTGGGGGACTCCACAGTGAATATCTTCGGTTTTAGAACATACCCCATTTACTTGCAGAATTGCTTGCTAATGGTTAGATATGACGTAAACCAAGTAAGTTCTGCGTTTTCAACACCATACGTTCCCAACTTCGCAAGTAAAATGTCATGGTCTACGGTGTCAAATGCTTTTTTGAGATCAATCAAAATATTGGCAGTGTATCTGCCATTTTCCATGGTTTCATCTCGACGCATAAGGGCTCAAGAAATGGTTTAGGAACGTCCTCTCGTACAGTAGATTTGTCTAACAGAGTGTCCTTGAGATAAACTGCAACACCACCCCTCTTAAGATCACGATCACACCTTTTGATAGTATATCTTCGATATTCACTAAACATAAACAATCATCTATAGAATTATCAAGCTTGGTCTCATTTCTTGCAAGAACGTGAATCCCCAATTCGTTTACAAGCATTCGTATTTCATCTTTGTGCGGGAGAAGGCTATTCACATTTCAAGATGCAATCGTCATTTCCTATGCCCAAGTGTAGCAGCCATTTTGATGGCTGTATCAGAATGTGGCTTGAAAGCTTGTAACTTTAAACCGAGTGTGACACTGTAAACAGGGCTATTTGGGTCAAATTTTTATTGAATAGTTTTGCATATTTGGGTCTAAATTTGATCTGGCTGTAACGATAAGGGTTCTTGTTTTGACGGTGAAGAACCAGGTCATTGGCTGAGCGATGGGCTAGGCCAAAGGGCCTAAGCCCCGAACGAGTAACGCACAATAGATACTACTTTTTTGATGTTATCTCTAATGCCTCCAGAAGACTAACTTATATCGTGATCAACACATACTAATAACATAAATGGAAGCTAATTAACAGGACAATACGAGCGTCACACTACATGTTGAAAGACAAACACATTGCCATAAAAAGGCGTTGTTCAATAACACAACAGGACTTAACAGAACATGTGACTTTAACACGCAACGGAAACATTACAAAATTGGTTATATACGAAAGCCAAACCGTTACATGGCTGAACCAGTAGTGTGATTTTAAACGGAGTCGACTGTATACTGGTTTTAATATCTATTTTATTTTTTGTAGATAATATAGGGTGTATTGTATAAATTCCTGTAGGTTTTCAAGCTTGTGCTGCCAGACAAAAATTATGTCATCGATAAATCTTTTCCAAAATATGTACGATACGACGCCTCATCGGGACACTGCGGTGCCTTAAGGGATGTTTATAAAATTTACCATTACACTCTTTTTTATAAGAACCAGTAAATTGAAGTTCAGCCTGGCTGTTCTTAATTTTTTCGAAAACCTGAGAATGCATTGTTTGTAATTATAAGCTCTGTAATTGCTAGCAATCGCGCTCTAGGGAAGTGTTCAAGCCTCGTTTGCAAACAAAGTGAGTAAGACATCCTTTATTTTCCGACAAGTTTGAAAGTTTGCCGAATAAGGACTCCTAGATGGCAAAAAACTCCTCGTTTTTAGATAAAACATTGTTCAAAGTTAAATTTTACAGCAGTTCATCATCCGCTTGGTTTTAACTTTTGACCAATTTAGAAGCTTGTTTTCTAATAAGACTGTTCTTATAAATAGGAGAGTGTAAAGGCAACATAATTATGTTTGAGAATTAAGATCACTATTTGATTTATTTTATATGCAGCGAGGTGGTTTCCCCATGATTATTTTTGATGGCACTGAGGGAAGCTTTGATACACTCATCTCGAAAGAAGTTTGTGTATAGCGATTTCACGTATTGGTGTAACGAAATCAATGGGATGCTAGTGTGAATATCGAAAGCGTGTTGTAAAAAATAGGGGCATGCTCTTTAACTTCAGAATGAAGGGTTGCCTCACACATTATAAAGCTTTCTCTTGCTCGCCTTTCTAAGGTTAGGCAAACACGTCGGTGTACTGGTGGATACAGTAGGCAAAGGCCTAAGTGGGTACGAGTTACCTTGATAATTATTTTAGTGTTACGGAAGCCGAGGGACGATTCCCCACATTTTTAGCTTTTGCCAGGGCAAAATTTTTCTGCAGGGCAAATGTGCAGCCACCCCCCCCCCCCATCAAATAATATGTGACGCCCCTGCGTAGGGTAGAAGATATAGGGACTGAGAGGTGTCAAAGACTACTTCAACCCTTAGCAACGGTCCTGAGCCCCCTAATCAGGCAAACTATAACCTACTTCAGGCTCCATTCGGGCACTCCCATCTCAATGAAGCAGAAACAATCGGGGAAGCCCCCCTAAATGTTAAGAATCCGCTACGCCTATGGTTATTTCCCTAATGACATGGAATCGATATAGTTCAAAAGTAATTTTGAATGAAAATTCAGAGTTAATAAGGTAACTTTTCATTTAAGTGAAATGAATAATCATATGAATTATGAAAATAAACCTACTTGCCTTTGGAAAACGAAACTGAGCTAGGAATAACAAAACATTTTTGCGAGGTGTTTATAAAATGACAGCCTCACTTTCATGTCCACAGCTATTTTGATATCATTCAATGTTCGGTCAAAGTGCGTCTCATATTTTAAAGCACGGAACCTTAGTAATTACGAACTCAAGATTTGATGCCAAGAGCAACCTGGATTCTTCTTCACACAACATCAATATTTTAAAACGCAATCTTAGGTGACAACCATGCAAAGACTTGGGCGAAGTTTAAATCTGAGATGTGGTGCTGGTTTAAAGCAAAGGGCTTTAGGCCGCGCAAGTCGGTACATTACACAACCGAACAAGAAAGGTAAGGAGGCTTTGTTATTCACCTTCATAAATGAATAGTTGCAATACCTACCACTCTCGCAATTACATGAGATTCTATCGAAATGTTTTAACGAAAAGTTGACAACAGTGTTTTGTAAATCATGTCAAATTTACTGGAAATCCATGTGAGTGTAAAGGAATTACATAACAACAATGATGAAATCTTTGAACATCCTAACTTCTCTTGGCATTGTTTTATAGGCATAAACAACTACTTGCATTTTGAAAAAAACTCTATGATTCTTGAAAGGCTTCGATGAAGCTATTATTACGAGGTGCTGTCTCCTCGATTAGCTTTGCTATTGAGAAAGTTCCTCCTTAAGAATTCCCCTTCGTGCCAATCCTCTAGTGTAGTGTCAAATCTTTGTTATAATCTATGTTTATTGTCTCCTGTATTTATTATTATTGTTGTAAGTAGTTTGATATTAGAGTATCTGTATGTAGTGGAATTTAAAATGAATGAATGAACTGAATGAGCTGAATGAACTAAATGAATTGAATGAACTTAATGACTATGGTAACGAAAGTAGGGAAGTTTTTAATGCTGTGCTCGCTTCCCAAGACAGTCTTGTCTACAAAATGTATAGAAAAACAGGTTTTGATCGTAAAGCACAATTAGGAATTAAGCAAGTAGCTTATTTCTGTCTAGACATATTAAATGAAAAAATCTCCTTCAGAGTTTTGAAAATTTATTAATTTTCATTTTCCAAGGCATAGAATTCTCTATGTAATAGATTGCAGTCACATTTACCTGCAATTTTCTTTCTTTTCAAGTCATTGCTAGACCATTCATTTGTGAGCCAAGCTTAAATCTTTATTACTTAGTTTATAACTTGTATTAAATAATATTTTGCGTACGCTTCATATAATATTCATGTCTCTTGTTTGGAAGTTATTTTTGTTAAATATCAAAAGCTCAATTGAATTAGATTCAACAACTTTTTAGTATGCAAGATCTTGCCCTTTATTTGCAGCACTTAATCCAAATAGACAAATTGCTATTGTACAAGAAAGAACATTCACTTCAAGCTGTGTTTTAAGTGTGAAGTTTACAGCTGCATTGAGACAAGAAAACGAAAACCCCCCTTCAGGAACAAATGGTGGTAAGGGACCTGGCAAGGGAAAAGATGGCCAGCTCTGTTGTCCAAAATGTGGTAAACCCTGTACTCATGTGGAAACATTTGTTTGTAAGTAGCATTTTCTAAGGTTGCATTTTCTTTTTCATGAAAACATGAATTGTCTTTCATAAGTGTTAAGAAAAGTTTATTTAAAAGTTGGGGATTACCAAAGGTGGTAAAAATTATTAGGATTACCAAGAAGCCCATGAGCTGACACCTGATGTCAACCTCAAGGATTTTGGTTTAGGCTTGTACGGCCTTTTCATAAAGTTTTTCATCAGCAATTGGGCTTTTGTGTACATTTTTCGTTAAGCTCATCATTTTTTCTAAAACTCTTCTCAAATGTAGCTGAAACACCACAGAAGTTGCCAAGGATTTGAGCTGTTTCTAAACTCTCCGCCCATTCCTTGTACAATGTGGTTTCTTTACTTGAAGTGTTCACACATCCTGTTCTAGTTAGATTGTCACTGATAAGTTGATGTCAGTTGATGTCTTATAGGCAAACAAAAATGAGTCAAAAACAAACTTTCTTGTAGAACAGAAAAGCCAACTATAGGATTAAACTACAGAAGTCAAGATGCTTAGAATTTTATGAAATATTACTTAAAAATTTGTTTTGCTTTAAGCTTTAAAGGATAGGGTTGTGGCTTCTTATGGAAAACAAGCGCTACTCTGCTGTTGATTGTTCAATGGGGGTTCTCTAGAGGGTGCTTAAGATGGAAGGCAAAACAGAATAAATGATATGATGAAACAAGTACCACAAAACAAAAAAGCAATTTGCAAAATTGTTGCTTATACAGTATGAAGCAAAAAAAATACCGATAGGATGAGATTTTAGTTATTGTTGAAAATATGTTGCATAATGAAACATGTGTGGAAAAAGATGATATATCCTTCCCCGGCCTTTTTTCTTTTAAATACTTTCATTGTTGCAAATAGGTTTTATGCAACAGATTATATGTTGTATTTGATGTTATTTCATCAATACATTAAACTTATTTATCTTATTTTTTAACAAACATGCATCTTATTTTTATTTCAGCCTCAACACGCTTCGTTAAATGTGAGAAATGCCATCACTTCTTTGTTGTCTTATCTGAACTTGATTCTCGTCGCTCTATGCGAAATGACAGTAGAAGGGAAGAAGAAACCAAAGGCCATGCAACAAGTAAAACACCACCGCCTCCAAAAAAGGTAAATTTTACACTGCTAATTGATGTTTTTGCAGATTTCCTTATGTTTTGGAGCATTTGTTCTGGAAATAGTGTTGAGAGCATATTATAAGAAATTCAATGACTCTGATTTTTATTTTGTGGCATGAAGGATTAAGCTCAAATTGAAACCATGTTTTGGTTGCAAATTTTGTAAGCTCATGACAGGTTGAAATACTCATTTTTCATACATGAAAACCTGGTTTAAGGATTGTGCTATTTATTTGAAATTAGACAAGTATATGGGAAACTTTGCTTGGATTTTTGAAGATAGATAGTTATCTTGTTAATAGTCAAAGCAAGTCTGTAAATACAATTATTTGTAAGTCTTCCTGTAAAGTGCAAGGTCTAAAATTTAAAAGTTCTTCAGATTAATCTCTCTCATTTATATTTTTTATTTTATATGCTCTATTAACCTCTTATTCAAATTTATCTTCAGATATACGAATACCTATCAAATTATGTAGTGGGTCAAGAATATGCAAAAAAGGTTCTATCTGTTGCTGTTTATAACCACTATAAAAGACTAAGTGTCAACATCCAATCAAAAGCAAATCCACAGAGTGAAAGTAAGCAAGGGTTTGGCTCCAGTTTTTCAGGATCCCCAAAAGGTAATCACCAAAAAATGTTTGTGTGTGTTATTTATGTATTGTGCTTTTATTTATTTATTTACTTCATCCACAAGTTGATTTATTGCAGAAAAGACTCGGTGCTACAAATATTCTGTATTGCCTGTTTGCTATTTTTACAGACAAACACTTCTGTTGTAGTAAGGTATACCCCTAATATATGAGCAACAAATATTGATAAAGATTTTTGGGTTCATGTGAAAAAGAAAAACATCCAAAGTATATAGCATATGAATACATTATCCTTTTGAAGTTATGTTATTAATTTGTCAGTACAAGTATAAGACAAGTTTCTGAATTTCAGTCTTATAACTTGATTATTTCTTTCTTTTGTAAGAATTTCTACAAATTTCATCTGGCCTTGGACAAAATAACGCACTGGGTGCAGGGCCTCAATCAAAAGATTACATTAAAGATGGCGGAAACAATCTTCAAAGGGGTAGTGAGGTTCTAGATTCCAGTGAAGATCAAATTCGAATTGACAAAAGTAACATACTACTTCTAGGGCCAACTGGTTCAGGTATGTTCCATGGTTGACAAAAAGTTTTTGATCAGTTTCATTTGAATTAAGGCTCTATCTGGTACCTAAAGGAAAAACTCATTTGAAAAAGCTAAAGAGCCCTTGGTAATATTTGAAGAAAATGCAAAGGAGCCTGGAAATTAAAGTTTAAATTGTGTTTGTGAGCTTGATAGGAACCACAATTAAATTTCAGATAAAGCCTTAAAAATTAAGTAATAGCCAAACAAAGAATAAGACAGAATAAGATAAAGCCTAACAAAAATCACTGATAAACAATAAAATTAATACATGGTTTTTAATTGACATCACATGACACATGACAGCATTAGGTGGTTGGATCTAGTTTGCTATTTTGTGACATCTTCAAAGCAACATGCATGTCTAGATTATGCCTTTTCTTAATCTCAAATACCTCAGTTTACAGTATAATACACAACATTGATCACCTCGTATGTTTTTGTAGGTAAAACATTACTCGCACAGACAATCGCAAAATGTTTGGATGTTCCATTTGCAATATGTGACTGCACATCGTTGACGCAGGCTGGTTATGTTGGCGAGGATATTGAATCAGTGATTACAAAGCTTCTTCAAGAAGCTAATTACAACGTGGAGAAAGCACAGCAAGGTCAGTTAGAGAGTTTATAGCGTAAACACGTTTTGCCAGACAGTCGACAACTCAAAGCAACGTACAACTTCTCAAAACGAACATTGTGGTGGTTATGACCAATTATTAGTAGATTTAAGCCAGTTTACATTGTATTGACCAGTCTGTACCATCTAGCCACACACATATTTTAGTTAGTTATGCTAGGAAAAACCTCAAGAGTTAAGTCCTAAACGGAGAAAGAGAGGTGGCATTAGGAAGAGAGCGAGTTAAGAACAAGCTTTTTTTACTTTTTGAATAAAGACAAGTTGTAAGGGCCTGGGAAACCGGAGAGGGGTAGAGCATTCCAGAGTTTACAAGGTCTAGGGAGGTAGGAAGAATTACAGGATTTAAGTTTGGCAAAGAGGCTTTGAAATGGTGAGCCCTGGAAAAGTGTTTGGTATTGCCTGCATGTCTCACAGGACCTGGGAGATGTGTTTGAATATTCCTATAGGGAAATCTACATGAGCATGAATACGGATAAGGGCATTCTGATAATATGACTTGATTTATTCATTTACTTTTATCAATCATTAATTATTTCTTATGATGTTACTAGTATTTCTTTTAAAATGACATTTCATAAATTCTTTCTCTCAATATAAATGAATTCGTCCCTCAGGCATCGTGTTTCTTGACGAGGTTGATAAGATCAGTTGTGTTGCTGGATTCCACCAGGTTCGTGACGTTGGTGGTGAGGGAGTACAACAGGTAAGATTCCTTCAAATAAACCGTACCAAAACTCACAACCCAAAATAAGGCAGTTACAACACAGGGTTCACAAAATGCCCTAACCCTCCTCAGGATGAAACTTTGCCCTACTTGCCTTCGTCAAAATTTTCCAGTCTTTTTCAGTTTCTTAGACATAGAATTGAAGTAAAATCACATATGATTTGGTAGTTATGCGTTTGCCTTCCTTTAAAACTACTGCTTCTTTGGATAATCTTCCTCCGGCTCACGGCCGTGAACCGTAATATTTCCTGAATTCTGTTACAACACCCGAGTGACATTTAACCGTAATGAATTAACAGTTATTTTGGCCTCTGCCCATAAAGAGCGAATGAATTTCAACATAAAAGGGTTTGTGGTGAAAATCTGCCAAGCAAAGGTTGTATAAACGATTTTCTTTCAGTCGATAGGCTGTGATTAATAACTTTCCAACTTTGTGTCTCAAAGTCACAAAGAGGCGTTACGGCATCACACTGTCTCTCCTATAAGGCTCATTTTAAAATCGTTTTTTCAGTAAATGTCCATGCTTTATTTGCAGGGTTTGCTCAAAATTTTGGAAGGCACCGTGGTCAATGTCCCAGAAAGAACATCGAGAAAAATGCGTGGTGAAAGTGTGCCAGTTGATACCACAAACATCCTGTTTGTTGCCTCTGGTGCATTCAACGGCTTGGAGAAGATAATTGCCAGGAGAAAGTCGGATAAAGTTAGTTTTGTTTACAGCTAGAATCATTGTCAATTATTTATTCTACGCTCCAATTCTTGATTTTTTATTTTATTGAACCCAGGGCCTACAGGTACATGAAAATGTTTGGCGCAGAAAAGAAAGAGCGTAATGTGTAAAAGTAGGACGCTCATCCTTGGAGATAAGATGGCTGTGCATAATTACATATCACAAATAGATCAAGGATACTTCCTACTTCCTACTTGAGTGGTATCAACCCTTTTTAACCCATGATTCCTTATGTCGTGTAAAGCGTAAAGCTATTTCCTCTTCGCATTTCACATCTTAAGTCAGGTATCATTTTCTCAAGCACTCAAATTTAATGAGCCTCTCGAACATTAAGGTTCCTTGTGTTTAAGCCCTTCTACCTACTGGATGTTTATACCTAGTAACTGTCAAGCTATTCCCGCAAGCGGGTAAGCCAATTAAGACTTGCTGGGGGAAATGGTTGACTGAACCAAGTACTTGATGGGTCGCCTGGGGTCAGGGTCAGCTCATTTGCGGATATGACATCAATTTGGCAAATAAATGACGTATTGCCTGTCCAAATTAACTATAAATAAACAATGTATTGTACAATGAGTTTGTATATTTTTTGTTTTGTAACAAAACTGGCTATGCTCACTGGTTTGTTTTTTGTGGGTAAATGCGGTTTTTCTGTTCACATCTTTTTTTGACATTAAATGATTAAAAGAATTTTCTTGGGTTTAAAACATGTCAGAGAATTTCCGTAGGATTATATTTCTGTAACAAGATCAAGTAACAAGTAAATTTTGCTTTTTGCTAGGTACTTGGATTTGGAGGATCAGGTACTCAAAAAGACGATTCCAAAAAGCTTGATCTTAAAGAAATTGTTGAGAAGAACACGAAAGAAGATGCGGCTGAAAAGGATAACTTGCTATCTCAAGTTCAAGCCCGAGATATGATAGAATTTGGCATGATCCCAGAATTCATTGGGCGTTTGCCAGTGCTTGTTGCGTTGCATTCGCTAAGCGTCGAATCACTTATTCGAATCTTGCAAGAGCCACGAAATGCCTTAGTCCCACAGTACCAGCACTTGTTTGCCATGGATAAGGTCGGTTACTTGAATTCCTTTCTGATTCACAGTACCAGCATTGATTGGGCAACTTCAATAGTCATGTGCTCGTGTTTCTGATTGACCTATTTTGACTCACAACAGGGTTTATATATTTCCTAGCGTACAATTTTCGATGTTCTGACGTTTTGTACATTGAAGAATGTCAAACGAGAAGCCTTAGTAACATTTTACAGAATGTTTTTTTCAAAGTCATTGCTATTGATTGCAGAATATTTATTATGCAAAGTAAATTTTTCGGGGGAGGGGATGGATCACAATAGGCTCTGCAACCCATTCGGGGTATGATAAAGGGGTAACATTTAGCATACTTACTAAAGAGGCAATTGTGCCTCCAGCCCCAGTGACTTTCCATTGTTAAAACAGTAGGCTTATTTTCATCATCTTAATGTAAGCAAACGCTTGAGACCTAAGCTGATTTCCCTTAGAAAGGCTTTGTATGTTAATGTGGATGAGGACTTACAGGTAGTAGTTTGGTTCATAGGCAGATTGAGGCAACTCGGAGAAAAAACTTGTACTATGTAATTCCCGAGTTTACCTACAAAGTATATAATGCTTTCTGGAATTATTATGTTGAAGCATTGTATCGACACTGTGCTTTGATTAACAACTGCTTCACGTTTTCTTTGAAAAAGATTCTCTTGAAATAGCCCAGACAATAAAGGTGAAAACTAAGGCAAGGAATATGTTGATATCTGCTATTGCTTGTAATAACTCACAGTTCATTGGAAAGAAGCCATAGCAATATTGAGGCCAAAGGAATATTAAAGCCATAGTAATTTGAGGCCATAGCAATATTGAGGCCATAGCAATAACGAAGCCCTAGCGATATTGAGGCCATAGCAATATTGAGGCCATAGCAATATTGAAGCCCTAGCGATATTGAGGCCATAGCAATATTGAGGCCATAGCAATATTGAAGCCATAGCAATATTGAGGCCATAGCAATATTGAGGCCATAGCAATATTGAGACCATAGCAATATTGAGGCCATAGCAATATTAAGGCCATAGCAATATTGAGGCCATAATAATATTGATCCTAAACGGTCTTGGTTTTCTTCGAAGGTAAATCTTCATTTCACGCCGGATGCCTTGAAGAAGATTGCAAGCATTGCAATGGAGCGAAAAACTGGTGCAAGGGGACTAAAAGCTATAATGGTGAGATTTATCAACACTTGTAGTCAATTAAATATGGATTGAATTGATTCTCATCAGAAAATTAGAAGCTGCAGCCTAGAAAAAACCATTTCAAGAAGTTAATCAGGCTGAAAGAAACAGTGGAGAGTGTTTATTATAAATTAAAGTACAGTCTGCTTTACTTTACTTTTAAAAACACTTTTCCTCGTAGATTGGCTGGTAATATCGTTAAAATCAGAAATGCCACAGAATAAATACCGAATTTGACTTATTTTTATAATTCTGGGAGGCCACCAGCAACTGGTTTCTGACCCCCCCCCCCCAACCCATTAAAGTAGGGGCCTTTGATTTTGATAGACATGATATCAGCATTAACCTTAGAAGAATAGGAAAATCTTAAGGCTGTCCTTCTATGATTGTCGTTGTCTTGGCAAAAATGAATGGTTTTAGTTGGGAATCATTTTACTGTTTTGTAAGTCCTGTGTATAAAGTAAGTCTCAGTTGTGTAAATTTCGTTGTTTTATGAGATCTTTGATGTATTAGAAAGCTGAAGTGCGAAATTTAGACATCATTGATACAGACATCATCTGGTTTTGTTAAAACTGAACAAATTTTCCATTGTTCCGTAGGAGAAAATCCTTCTTGATCCGATGTTTGATGTGCCAGGTTCAAACATCACCGAAGTATTAATAACAGAGGATGTTGTGATGGGCGAAGGCAGTGCGCAGTACATTACAGCTGATATTGAAGAGGCTGAGGAAGAATCGCCGGAAGATGGAAATGAGAACTTTTCGGTCGAGGAAAACGAATCGAGGACTACCGCATAAGCGCTTTAGGAGAAGCAATGTAATTTAATAAAGGCTCTATGTAATTTATCGGCATAGATTTGAATTTGCTTTCTAAGCTAAAAATAATTTAAAAAAGAAGTAGCTTAAGACAATTCATGAAGCATTGATGATTTGTCATGGTCTGTTTTTAGGGGCATATTTAGTTGAGAATGTATACCAGGTTTTCCTTAAACGCTTTTCATACACAGTGCTATTTATAACCGTCAAAACGACTTTGTTGTCATTTGTGATTGAAAATGCTTACCCACCAAAATGGCGTAGGTAGTTGGATAGTACCCGTACTACATCCATCCATTTTTTTTAAGAAAAATAGATTGAAGCAAAACGTAAAACGTTTTATGAGAGGCCACAAAATATTGACAGGAAAACTCCCCACTCTTCATCTTGTTCAAAAGGCAACTTTGTTGTGAGATATGATAATCATGTTCTCTTAAAAAACACCAAATCCCAATGTTCTTTCCTTCCCTACTTCAGGAGGATTTCGTGAAGTTGTGGTCATTAATAAGGGGGTTAGTAACATTTCCTGCTAGTGGCGTTTTCTGTATTTCACTTTGTGTCCAGAGGTACTCACTAAGTTTTACGCAGACATTAAATGCAGCTCATTATTGAATTTTTCACGTTGAGAGAAATTAGCTTTACTCTAATCCCCTGCCCCCGTTTCCTCTCCCTTATTGCTTGAATCCAACTGAAGTTTATAATGAATAATTTGTACGGATTTTTTACTGTGGAGAACGATTTTTTCGCTAAAACCCTGTACGTAGATGACAAAACCTGCAGTCAAGCTCCTTTTCCCACCTTAAGTCCTTCTTTATACGCGTCACATTTTCGAAATGTGTATTGGCTCTAAAGTAGGGACCGCGTATGCAATATTGTTACAGCATAATGTCAAATAGATTTTGTAAATAACCAGCTTCGTAGACAGGAGTGGTATTGAAAAGGTTTTGTTAAAAATGCTGTATTATGAAGCCATTGTTGTTGTTATGCAAATGCGACTGCACTTTCTCTCCAAACCAGTACATGTCCACTAGCTCTCATTATGGAGTAATCAGTATCGTGAAGTTTTAACTCAGCCTGTGAAAAGACTGATACTGTCTCTGCAAAATCACACAAATGAACAACATAAGCTCGAATGACGAACTTCTAAAGAAGACCACAATGTCTTTTGGAATTTCACGATGTATTACAGTGAAACATAATTGAAACTTTCCCATGTTTCATATCCGCCCTAACGTCAGCTTGATCTGACATCTGCAAGACTCTATTTTCATTTAAAAATTATTTACCCACGGTAGGCCCTTCTACCCACGGTAGGCCCGTCTACCCACGGTAGGCCCGTCTACCCACGGTAGGCCCGTCTACCCACGGTAGGCCCGTCTACCCACGGTAGGCCCGTCTACCCACGGTAGGCCCGTCAGTCATAATTACTGATTTTCAGAGTGCCGTGCCAAAACCTTGCAAAATAAAAGTCAACTTAAACCAATAATAAGAAATGGAAACTAATTACAATAATGGAAACTAACATGGATATATACATAGCTAACGTGTTGTAGTCATTCAGTTTGTGAGGGTGACTGATCTTTCGAATGCTGAGCGATTTTTCGAGTACTGAAATATTTTTTAAAGGCTGAACGGATTATAGATGCTGAACGATTTCGAGGCTGAATGACTTTTGCGGTAATTTTAGACTGAATGTGATTTAGAATTGTTTTTCTAAATGTGAATGGAAATGATTTGCTGAATGTGAAAATTGGTTTTCTGCTGAGCAAGAAAACATTTCCCTTCAGTGTATATATGTACATTATTTCATTCTGAATGTAAATGCCTTTTGGCTACTTGAATTTTGCTAGATACGAGCAAAAGAAGGTCTCAACGATATCATCAAGATCGGGTTTGTATAATTTGTCTTGAAAACAAACCGGTGCCATGAAATCATCTCAAGAAATCACCAAAAAGAATTTTCTGGACTGTTTGGACACTAAATAGCAGTCATTTCTCAGTTTCAATCATTTTTGTCACCAAGTGTTTTGAACACAACAAGTGTAACAGCAAATTAACAATATCCTCCACCCATGCTAAAGAGCAAAGAGCACAGAACGTATCCTTTAGGAACCCAATGTTTTACCTTGATAAGAATATTCAGTATTGACAACTATCTTGATAAGATATAAATAATAAGTATTTGAAATTATTTTTCAGCTCTTCGTCTTGGTTCTTTCAATATTGTTATAAGGCAACTCTGTAACATAGTTTGCTAGGATTGGTAGATAGTTGTGCCTGCAATTTCATTATTTACCCGCCTCAAATGACTGAAAAACAGAAAGTGAATTTTTGTTCAACTTTGTTCAACAACTTTGAAAAACAGAGAGTTACATCTAATTCTAGAAAGTAAGTAGAAAGCATGCATTTTGCAAGTCAAAGGTTTGGTTCACACTTTCACTGCTTTTAAGTTTCCTTCTTCAAACATGTTTGTGAAAAACCTTTTTTGTTTACAGTTCGCTTTACAAAAATTTATTGGATCGAAAGACAGAGGACTAACTCCATAAAATCAAAATTGCTTTTAACGACCACTCTCTTCTAAAATTTTAATGCAATTTTTCTTGTAAAAATTTACCACCTGACTAATCGCATCTACTTTTCACCCAGATATGCCGGAAGCATTTCAAAGTAGAAAAGGCACAAAGGCTCAGAAAAGGGCACTGGTAATATAGTCTTAAAAAACGATCAATGTAAGTAAATTGTACCAGGAAATTTTTTTTAAAATAATTAACGACGTTTCGAGCATAGCCCGATAAAATAATTAACGACGTTTGACTTGATAACGGGCTATGCTCGAAACGTCGTTAATTATTCTAGGAAAAATGTTTCCTGGTACAATTTACTTACATTGATCTTTATTTATTCATCATATTGTACCGCACGCATTTTAGTATATTTAAAAATGTCATATTTTAGAACAGAGACATTTCCTTAAACAGAGACAGTGTTGTTGTCGTTGAACGTTCATGGCAGACGTGCTTTAGCTTGCTCCAGCTCCCCGTTTCGACGTCCCCATAATTTCACCCTAGTATGCTTTGAAACTATTTTCTTCCCAAAAGATCACCTTTTCCATTGCAGATCTGTTGTGTCATTAAAACACGTGTTTTTGGAAATAAACTTTGGCACGATTAGCAAATCTGACTCGAGAAAAACTGAATTGACAATCACCGAAACCCCTAAAGATAGACTAACGTTATGTCAAAGATCTAAACGTAATAAGGATAAAATAACACCATTACTTTCATGCTAGAGTGAAGCCAGCAATTATCGATCTGTTAAGAACTTATTAAGATGTCATGGTGCAAGGGGGGGTTATGGTATTGACAACTGTTTAGAGACAATGTATGATATTGATAGCAAAGTGTTACCGAGGATACTCTTGAGAGAAAGACTTCTTCGACCTATTTGCGATCCAAGAGCGCAACAAACACAAATCAGCTCATATTTTCTGCCAACGAATTCTATGGAAAGTTTCGTTGTTATGGCATAAAGCGTGAAAATCCTGCAAATTGGAACAACCCTTTTCTATAAACTTAGGCGTGTTCAACTTTGCCTTTACGGAACGGAGCACTTCAAGACAGACCGGTAAACACAAATTTCAAAATCTGAGCGCAAACTGCAAATTTCGAAAACTTTCATTCCTACAAAGTTGCACGACAGATAAAGCATCTTTCGACATAAAAAATGTTATAGAAGGTTTGGTTTGATATAGTTTACTGCTATATTTTATTGCGACATGGGACCGCAGCCAGCACCAATATAGGCCTACGTTCTAGCATATTCGATACCACGTGTGGGTGGATGTCTCGCACAAATTTAATTGCGGTAGGAATCATGAATATTTCGACTTACCGAGCTTGGAAAACAAAGTGTCACGACAGTTAGCAAGAACTTCTACCACTATGTTTTTGGCATCGCAGACCTTGACACGAAACAAATAATTTCCAACCAATTCTTTTTAGGCCATGGCTGATATGAATGCAATGGGAGATAAATGTACAACAAATGCGCGTGCATCGGAGTATCTTGGGACGTAGAATTCAGGAGTCCAATAGCCCTTAGGGAGTAGAATTCAAGGAGAGAGTATACGGTCTCAGGAGGAACAACAATGCTAAAATGCAAATACCAAGAGAGAAACAGAAGACAATGGAAGCTCATAATGTAATTGTCTCAAATCCATTGAAAAATATATCAACTCGCAATGATAGAATATACTACATTCACGTGCTTTATTAAAAGACGATAGATAATCTCTTTCCATCACAATTTACTGAAAATCATAGCTCTTGCACACAATATAGGAGACGCCTGTGAAAGCCAATCGACAGATACAGAACTGGCTTAAACCAAAGTCAATAGAAGGGAGGACTGGTCTGGAAACCTATTGTTCTAACTCTTTGTTTACGATCAACAATTAGCCAATCAATATTCGTTACTCAAACTATTGATTAGCTAATAGCTGATTGTCAGGATTGCTTAAACCACTGACTGTCGCTTGGAAGTGTTTCCCCATATAGCCCTGAGAAAAGTTTTCACAATGTAGCCTTGATATAATTGGAATTTCATCAAGATTAATCATCCCTTAAAAAGTTTCTACAAAAAAAATCTATATGACGCCGGGGAAAAATTCAGGGATACGTTAGATGGGTCCAAACAGCGAAGAAAATGCAATAACATGTTAAGAATAGTGGTTGCAAGTTATCTGTATTCTGTACCACATTGCAAAACGACCACGCAACAGCATTAACTACCTCACAGGGAAACTGTTTGGAACTGAAAATTAGCATCAAAGCAAAACTCGAAAAGCTACTGTTTTAATTCTGAGCATAAGGTAAGATCTTTTTTAAATTACACACATTTCTTAGAGTTCTACTTAAAACGATTCTTACAAAGCGAGTTAAATAAAGATGGTTAAAATTATTACTGCTTATAAAAGCTGTTATCTTTAGCCGGATTTAAGCACAGCTCCGCATCATTCTATAAACGTAACCGCACGCAGGTATTAAGAATCCGGAGAAAGGTGCACCAGAGATTGAAAATACCATCTACTTGGTATGTTAAAAGTTCTTGATTTTAAGTATACAATTTATTGATGAATAGTTTGACACTATAAAACCGCAAGGACGAAAAACTAGTCATTCGACGAACTAGTTACCTCATGTATGCATGCACAACGAGCTAAAATTCCTAGCGCGCATGCTCTTCGAATGCATACGAGAGATGACTCAGTTTGTGTCCTCAACAAGTACTACTTTGCTGAGATCTCTCCTTCGCCAGATTCCTAATACCCAACTAGTTGCAAGCCCCGTATAGTAGCTAGAACATGCTAATGACAGTCAGCTCAATGGGGAGCGCGAACCACGACACAAGCTAGATTACTATGACGATTACAATCACACCCAAGGCGTTGCTTGTTGAATACCGAATTCTAAAACTCTCCAAGCTTGCCTTGGATCATAAATTGTTTGGTCCCTACACATTGCCCATATGTAATGGATATTTTCAATGTTGTCCTGAAATAAAAAGAGAAAAACAAATGAGAAATCCAAACTGAAAACAAAAAGATCAGTATCCATCTAAAAGCTCTTGATATAGCTGGAGAAACGGAACAAATGGAGGCATGAGGCTGTTTCATAAGGATACAACTGCAAAGACAGAACTCATCAGCAAGGGTTAAACACAACTAGGCCTCTCCAACCAGATGTATAAGTGGATATCTGGTTCACAGTTATAGTCCAGTGGTTGGAGGGGGGTATTGTCACCCGAGCGCAGAATTTACAGCACCAACTTTTTCTAATGTAGTTTTTGGAGAAAATTACGAATTTGCATGTTGATCAAGTGTTTGAAGGGGCGTTTTGGAGAAATTTTTTTTGGGGTTTGACTGTCTAGGCCCTGGACTATTATGACCGCTATTTGTGGCTACATCCTTCTTCAAGCTTTAAAACATAGTAACCATATGGTGTTGTGTTAAGTCGGTATAATAGCTTTTGGCACAATAACAGACAATAAACAACCTTTTTATAAAAGCTAGAACCTAGGGAAAAGTGCCAACTTCAGCCTGAATATTTCGTCTTATTTTCAACACCAGAGGCCTATGAATTGAATTGAACTGAATTGAATTCAATTCGAATTGGACCTTGCTCCATATCTTTCAATCTCATGATTGTATGAGCATTTCCAGCTTCGGTGTATGGGCATTGAAAGGCGTCAAGAAAAGATGCAGAGTTCAAAATATGAAATATTTCTAGCAGGAGAATGCAGAGTTCACAAAATGCCTGAAACTTCCTCCGGATGAGCGTTGCTCTATTTGACTTTCTGAAAAATTATCCTTGCATCTTTCAAATAAAAGTCTCTTAGAAATTGAATTTTAAGTAAAGTCATCTACAGTTCAGAATTTACGCTTTGTCAGGAAAAAAGAAATGGTCAAGCACAACGTTAAATGTCTCTCTCTATTTATACCCTTGTAAAATGAAGTATTTGCAGTGCATCGTTGGATAATCTTCCTTCGGCTGACAGCCGTGGAACTGTAATGTGTTTTGGTTCTGCGAAAATGTAGAAATTTGCTGAAAGTCTAGTTGTAAGCCTTGAAATCTGGCAATCTTCCAAGGATAGCGGATAGGTTTTGAGATAACGGAAATAAAGGACTTTACATACGGAACCTTTTTTATATCTGCTCTTTGTCAATGATTACCTAATATCAACATGAAAAGGTTGGAAGGGGAAAAGGTTGGAAGGGGAAAAGGTTATTGTTTTAAAGGCCTTAGAGAGAATGAAGCCGAAGGATGTTCACCTCATTTCCTTCTATTATATTTCCCCTTGTATCTTTAACAACCATCGTTTGTTGTGCCACGAATGTCATTATTAATACAGGTCCTTGTTCCATTATTTTTGCAACAGCAAGCTGTAAAGAACATAGAGGACAAGAGTATTAACTAAAAGAGCAGTAAAATCAGCTGCAAGTTGGTTCATAAAGGTTATAGGTAGTGGGATGTAATATAGAAGAATCCCGTTATAACGTTCTCGGTTATTACGTACTTTCGGATATAGCGTACTGGTGTGCTTGGTCCCTGCAAAAGGTGTGCTTGGTTTTAGTCAATTTTTACTTACCCTCGTTACAACGTACTTCGGATATAAGGTACTTAATACGCTGGTCCCTTAAAGTACGTTATAACCGGATTTTACTGTATAGAGATGTGAAATACAGGGAAATAAAGAATAACTTCAAAGATAGAATTTAGCAATAATTGATTCATCTCTAGTTTATCAAAACTGTTCACTTTTTGTTTAAAATTTTATTCAAGTTCTTGTCCATTCTGTTTGCAAAAGCCACCAAAAACTACCAACCAATAATAAGTTCTACACCATTTAGAAATAAATATTTGAAGGAGTTAATGAGTCGTATTTAATCATCTAAACAAAGAACTCGAAGTAGTAAAATGTCTTAATAATGGTTGCAAAATTTATTAAACACCATGGATTTTTCTCTCAACTGAAAATGAAGGCTACTGTATAAGCGGTTATTTTGCTTGAGTCTCGCGCATTTTGCTTGAGTCTCGCGAATTTTGCTTGAGTTTTGCGAATTTTTCTTGAGTCTCGCGCATTTTGCTTAAGTCTCGAGCATTTTGCCTTTATCTCGCAAATTTTGCTTGAGTCTCGCGCATTTTGCTTGAGTCTCGCGCATTTTGCTGCAGTCTCGAGCATTTTGCTTGAATCTCGCAAAATTTTGCTTAATCGCGCATTTGCAGTTGCAAGAAAAATTAAAAGTATAACAATAAGTAACCAGGCATAACAACACGGCTTTTAGGAAACACAAACTTAACAGGTATGTAAAGGGATAATACTCACGTCTAGGTCTCTTATGTCTAAAATTTTTGAATCTATAACTTTTCCTATCGATTTATTATGCTTGATTTGTTCTGATAATATGTTGAATGCCTAGAAGAAAAATAAAAGTAAAGCAATTGAAAACAGATCAATAAACAGTCACAACTCACAAAAGATCAATTTAGCATTTAAACAAAAATTAAAATTCCCAGAAGAGAGATAAGTAGCCAATAATCTATAATCTACTTTACTTTCCACACCGTGTCTAGGGGAAAAGAATTTTTGAATTTTTTGAAAGACAGTCAAACAAAGCGAATGGGATTTATTACTTATTATCTAATCCTTAAAGAGACACCAACGCAAATTTCGACCCCCGACAATTGCAAAAAGTTTTGGTCATACGAAGTGACTTTCTTCCCCTAAATTGGACCCTCTTTCTGTATTCCAGACACAAAGAGTCTTTTGCGATAGTCTTTGCCGTTCACACAACAAACTAGAACGACGAAAAATGTTTTTGGTGATGCCAATTCTTTTTGCGTTGATGCCTCTTTAAGTAATAACTATACACTTGAACAGAAGAGAACAAATAATGAAACGAGCTCAAATATGCTCGGTTACCCAATACGCTAAATAGTTATTTACAAAACCGGCAAAATTGATAAAATATAAAAAAAAATTATCAAAGACTCTTTTCGTGGTAAAAAATTATAAAGTGGCTTTGAAAAAAGGAGACACTCTTGTGTTGACAGAAGGAGTTCGTTTCACCTTGGGACTCCATTGGTAACATTTTCAATAGGCAAACGGCACCGATTGGGCAATCTCAACAGTCACGTGCTTGCGTTTTCTGATCGGCCTATCTCGATCCACAACTGGGTATATATATTTCCTAGCGTAGAGTTGATCTTCCGACGTTTTATACTCTGAAGAGTGTCAGACGAAAAGCTTTTGTATATTTCTAAATGAATGCTTTTTACAAAAATTATCAATCAACGACAGTATTTTCCTTTCAGCTTCTTTTAACCTCGTTCCATGTGAACTGCCTCTTTTGCAAAAAGTTGGGATGAGAAAGCAAGATAAGAGAGGACACAAGAAGACCCCATTTTCCCTTCGCTTTCCCTTGAGTCTATTTTACTAAGAGTAGATCAATCTTACCCCTTCGTGACACCAATCTTTAAGAATTTCTACATCGCCTCTTATGAATGCCTTAAAATAAAAAAGTATAAAATGTATAGATATTTTAAGTTAATTCTTGACTCCAAAGTCTTTCTTTATATTCTATTTGGACTGTAGAAATGCTCCTGTAGTAAGATCCCCCGGTAAATATCTCCATACCAACCAATAATGTTTAGTGGCAATAAAGCCGATCCCTATTTACAATGCCTGCCAAAAGTGTTGGAACAGTCCAATCATCTTTCCTACTAAACGTCTCCCTTCCCCCATGTATAATGTTGGATTCCGACTGGAAAATGACAACAAATGTATGTTGGAGCGCAAATTGTGTAACCCATGTTTAGCGACATGTTCATTTTCCTTCACAATATTGTTTAAGGGGGGAGGGGGTTCCGTCTGCTTGGAATAGGGAAATTAACTGAAAAATATGCATTTATTACGAGTGCAATCGCGGCGTTCCAATTACTTTTAGCGGCCATTGTAGCTGATTTAAAAAACAACTGGGTTATGTGTTCTAGAGAACGGTCGTTTGCTTTCAGCTGGTTGCTTTCAGCAATTTGGTACGATCCGATCACCAAGCTCACATTACACAGCTTAAGGTTAACTTTGAGCTGTTAGAAACTTTCAGTTATTCTAGTCCTAATCAAGAACAGGACTTATCAGATCGATGTTGTAAGACTGATGCAGTGGCAGTGCCAGCCACTAGGGTTTAAGGAGGGGGGGGGGGGTTGGGGTTGGGGTTTGGGTTAGCCAAAATTAAAAATCTTTAGTTCACGCCCTTTTAACTGTGAGAAAACGCCCTTTTACCAGCGGGGAATGGCAATTCAACGAATAGCGAAGTCCATTTTGGTAACTTTTGGCTTCGTAAAGGCATTTTCACCATCATAAAATTACATCACAAAAGATACTTTGCAAAAAATGTCACCACACCCCGACATTTTTGCATCGAAAAAATCGATCCTGTCAAAAACTGGAAGATCACCTTCCCTGTAGCGCCACCATTAGAGTAATGGCGTGTTTAGCAAACACAATTGGCTTACCTCTAGTACGGTGGGTATAATTTCTCGTTCGCACTCTAGGAGAAACTTATCTTTGTTAAAGCGTGGGTCAATTTTCGCTATTTCTGCCATGGTAGCCGCCATTTCAGAAGTTGAGAACACATCCTCTAGAAGATAGAAAGGCAGCTATGTCGAATTTCGAAAAAGGAAAACCCTAAACAGTAAAACAAGGGGAGAAATTCATAATGTGATTAAGATAAATGTTGTGTCTATTTTGGTAGATTTTAGGAAAATGTCAACCTGTAAATCGGCATTTAAACATTTCAAATGATCTCCAGAAAAATTTAGGGTATACCCTATTAAAGTCCATTGGTCTTTATTCAAATCCTTTACGATTTTGAATTTTGCAATTTGAAAAATTCACCCATACAAAGGCCCATGGGCCATAGTTTTGAGCTTTTGTATGTGGCCGAAGAGACAACAAGAAGGGAAATGGTTTGGATGTTCCATGCAAATACGGTCTAAGATACATATCCAAATACACATCTTCAAAAAAAACAGAAAAAATTATTTGATCTTTATTTAAAAATCCTTTATTCTGAAGAATCTCATCCCAAAATGACAAGTCTCTCGTTTGAAGGCCCAGTGAACCTTTAGCCGGGTATAAGCCCACGGGCCTTTGTACAGGGTAGGGTAACAAGGTACTGTAATTTCGGTTGTTAAATGCTCGTCAGAGCATGTAAGCAAAAGTGGAGGATCATAAGTTTCGCTCTCTGTCCTATTGGCTAATCTTAATAAACACCAAAATATGAAGAATGTCGTTTTGCGTGCAAAATATCATTCCTTTCGTAAGCCAAACGGAAATTCTCCAAAAGCAGAACTTTCAACTTTAAATGGGTTCTAGCGTCAGGAAAGAGGAAGAAAGAAAAGGGAAGGAATAGATGTTCTAAAAATCATGTTTTCTTCCTCTGAGTTAAAGTAAAGGTAACCAATACTTACTGAAAATGTCCGTCACTTTGTCCGTGACAACTCTTGTTGCTCTGATAACAATGTTGTCACTCTCGTCATACTTCATCTTAAGAGAGAACAAGCCTAGCAAAGAAAAGTGCATACAGTGAAATAGAATGCATACAGTGAAGACAAATGCATATAGGAAAGCAAAATGCATGAAAATCTTCAGTTCATCAAAAGCATGTACAGCTCCGCCTCTACAACAGTAACTTCCTCATTAAATTTGGATACCAATACTTCCGCAAGATCAATTGTTGTTACGATTTATGCATGATGACTTGAGGAAGTCTCGAAAGCAGTGTACAACTGAGAGATATGGAACCGCCCGAGAGGAAGGAATAGCTTTAACATTTCACCCGGAGCACTCAACTTCTGACTGAGTTTCTATAAATTTCTATATCCTCATTTCTATGTTCCTATAAAATTTTTTGTTTCTCGTGTCTTGAAAAGTTTCTTCAAAGACAGCTCGTTTAGATTATGAAAAAACTGGTATTTTAGGAACAAAGTTACAACACAAGACCGAAGGGCAAAGGAGGAACATTCAAAAAGGAGAAACATTCAAAAAAGGAGGAACATTCAATTTGTTTTATGACAAATAGGGGGGGGGGTGTTATACAGCAATGGAGGCGCTCATGGGGTAAATAATGCCTTTATTTTTCAACCCTTTTCAAGATATTGGTGTTTGACATTGGGTACTTATATATATTCAATGATGGATGGTACTCTTGATAAATCGCCGAAGAAGATAGATGATTAAAAGTCTTGGCACTGATCATCTTAACACAAATCGTTATCAATATGAGTAGAAGACTAAGAAAACAATTGGATGGGGCCTTCTTGCAGTCCCTGAATAGGAACACATCTCAGTTTTTTCTCAAAGGCCCTAGGTGCTTCTATTACGCCACTGACTACGAGGGACTTTAAAGAAGGAATTTACAATACAATGTACGAATACGGTACGAATACGATGAAGAAATAAAAAATGGAAAGAAAATAAATAAGGAAGAAAGGGAACGGGTTTCGGGGAAGGGTAAAGCGAGCTCTTTCGTGTTTACAAATTGTTCTGTCATTTAAATTTTCGTGTCAACCGAACACATTTGGAGGCTGAAACCGCTTAGAATTTATGACAAGAATTTGATTGCCTGGTGATACTGACGAAAGAGACAGAAAGCAATTTACCATTTACAACTGGATTGTTATCCTTGAAATCTTTCCATTGCTGTGACCATTTTGATTCAGCGTGGAGTACCATGCCGGTTGCATCCCTAACAAGAAAGGAAATAACCATGACATTGCAATTATCATAATGAGATAGGGTTTGCATTGCAAATCGTTAAAGGGCTTCTCTAGCCTTTTATCAAAATTACATGATTCATTTTTACTGACTTAAAATTTTCTGCTGCATGTAGTATGATAAAACTGTATCCATTGCAAAATAAAATCGCTTCAGAAGCGCTTATTTGAAGAGATGACAACCAAACACAATATCAAGACAGAAATTAAACTATTCTTCTAAAGGCAGATTTGTGATTAAAGACTCATTGCTAACAATGAGCCATTGCGCTGCGCAAGTATCCCATAATGCATTTTTAGACAGTCTGAAATCAACTTGGGTTAGTCCGTAGAAGTTTACTGCCATTGTTTGGATCGTCGCCACGCTTGCAGAGGCTCATTGTCAGCAATGAGTCTTTAAAGGAAACTCCTTCTTTTCCGAAACGAACTTTTTGTTAGGCTTCTTCGAACTATGTTACAATTGTCAATGAAAGAAACTTACGCGTTCGCTTCATATTCCTTGTCTTTTGACTTCTCTGATTCACTTTCTTCTACTGTTCGACGCCTTAGTACCTCTGAAGTAAAAAAAAATCGATGAACCCTGCGAAGAATAGGTAGAACAGGATTGCAATTGCCAACAGAAGAAAAGCAAGGGATTGGAAGTTGTAGCCTGCAATCCTTTTCGTTCTGAAACTCGCTGTGACACATGGCACAAAACAGTATTACACTTGAAAAAGGTGATACTAGACTCAACATCTCCGGCTCCATTCATCAGTGAAGTTCCTGCTCATTCGTTATTTCTTCCACGTTTACATAAAAAAGTGGAAAAAAAATTTACGACATGGATAGAAAGACTTTTTGTTCAATATTTCTCAGAGTGTGAAATGTCGGAGTGACCGTTTGATTGGTTCATTGTTCTGACCAATGGATGCCTTCAATTGGGTGAAAAGGACGCATTCCTTTTATCTTCACAGCAGGGCCCATGCCACGAAGTTTAACATGGGGGGAGGGGCAAGGACTAAAGTGGGAGGGGAGGGGGGGAGGGGGTTCAAAGCCTCTTTCACCTTTTATTGCAGTTTTGAAATCATCTGCTTCGCAAAAAAGAGGGGGCTTGACCCCCGACCCCCCCTGTGGCGTGGGCCCTGCACAGTATTTTGCTTATAAGTTAATCACTTTGGACAAACAAGTTCAATGAAAATCAGTCTAAAAAGAATAAAATCAAGATAATGCAAGATACAAACCAGGTCTTGAGTAGGGCTTAGATTGGTCAACGATATCTTCTAAGAGCTCCTTCTCAACAACTTTGTAGGCCTGTTGAAGCAGGGAGGAAAGCAAAACCTTTGGTCAAATTACTTCAGTATACTTTGAGCTATTAATAATGTACCCAGTGTATATTACGATAATCATTGCGGGACAGACAGCGAAGGTGACAAATTACTTGCAAATATCAATTCACTAACTCCCAAAAAGAATTTTTAGACCAAATTAGTAGATCTAAAAATTTCCATGATATACCCGACAATCTCTCACGGAACATTATTTTACTGCAGAAATTGGTTGAAAATCACAAGCTAACACCGACTCCCTTCAAGCTATGAGGTAGCCGCTGGTTAAGAATCTGGAAACTAGCTTCCCAGAAAATTTCAGAGTTGTCAGAAAAATCTGTAAAATACAACAAAATTACTAAAAAGAATCTAAGAGAAATTATATCAAGTGGTATATAGTCATTGAAATGTTCAATTACTAAAAGTGCATGTGAAATGCCATCTAAATTAAAATTCCTAACTTTTGTCAAACTGTTTGACGTAATTTTTTCTTGGGCAAAAAATTTTTTCTTTTTGCGGCCATGCCACTTGAAAGGAACAAGATACCTTCGATACGGTCTTGAAAGCTTCAGTTTTGCCAATCTCTTCACTTTGTTGTGATATCTTTGAAGCGGCATCCTTTGCTGTTTTCCCAACCTATTGAAGAAATCAGAGGTGCGAAACGAATGAAGATAACACCAATCAGACATCGAATGGTTGCATGCTTTTTAAAACAAATGGTTGCTGGTGATTTATAATAAAGTTCAAATGACAGTTGGCCAAAATAAAAAAAAAATTTAAAATTTGCTTTCAAACATCTTTCGTAAATTACCTCTTCTGAAAATTCCTGCGTTTTCTTGAATATATCAGACTGCTTGGCATCATCATATATCTGAAAAAAGGAAAGTTCAAGAGGCAATTTTGACACAAATCAATTTATCATCAATTTATCAACAAAGTCACATGCAATGCATCATAACCAAATATAAGTATAAAAAAAGGAGAATAGAGCTATCAAGGTTTAGGGCTAAAACAAGGTAAGAGAACAAAGACTACTGGATAAATATGAAGAAATTGATGCAGTTTGGCAAAAATTCAGCTTCAGGATAACAATATGACTACACAAGATTCAAAAATAAACCTTTCCAACAGATGATGATAAATTTTCAGAGGATGACTTCACTGTTTTTGACACTTGATCAGAGTAGCTCTGGACATTTTTCTGAAATAAACAACAGTTGTTGAGACTCAATTTGCTTCTTAATGGGTAACAAGCTGTACAAATAAGTATTTTGGTGAAGCATCTTTATTCAAAAGTACAGGATTAAAAAACAAACACAACAAATAAAATGTTTTACGTGATTTTGATGGCATCTGCCTATGCCTTGGTTGTACCACTTTTTCAAGGAAAAGGAGTAAACAGAATTGCAGTAACATCTTTATGTTATCCTGGTTGTGTTTTGACAAGCACTACTAACTTGTAAAAATGCACGAAACAAATTCAGAGGGTGTTTTTTGTACATTTTTTATCGCTTTATGTAGAATAAACCTAAATCTTAATTCTTATGTCAATAAACAACAATTTTGAGCAACTTAAACAATTTGAGATATTATAAATACCTCCAGGTCTATTATTAGATCAAATAATTACAATCAAGGAAATTTTGATACTAATAAATCATTTGACACAAAGTTTTGAATCAAAAATTATTTTTAATTGTCACAAAAGCAAGCTAAAACTATGAATTGAAGGAGTACACAAAATATGAAAAATGAATTAAAAGCATATTTGAAACATTTTGAAATCTTAACCAACAGTAGAAGAAATTGTGCAAGACTTTCTTTAAAAATCTGCTGGTTGCCGATCAAGGTCAATAATACTTTTATTGTATTTTACTAGATAAAAATATCGGCTACCTTTACTTTTCCCATGAATGACATTCTTTCCTTTGCGAGTTTAACCGCTTCTGTTTCCTCATATTTTTTTGCTTCTTGCTGAAACTGCTTTATGTTGTCCTGATAAAAAAATACTTCATCTAATAATTTTCTTAAGCAAAACAAAACAAACTATAAAAGTATGTTATAAAAGTATAATAAAAGTTTCATAGATCTTTTTACAAAGGAAGCATTCACGAATGAAAAACTAAATTTCTGTTGAAAATATAATTTTTGACAGGCTTTTAGCTTAATACAATGATGGGTGCAGAACTCTGTGCACACATTGAAATTTATAAATCATACAATAGAGTTCTAAAGTGTGACGTCATCAAAAATCTATTTTTAGAATCTTTGAATTTTAACCACATAGCGTAAAAGATCACCATGAAATACTTTTAAATACGCAAAATTGGCCAAATCTGTCTTAAATCGATTGAGATATGGCTAATGAAAGATTTGAAGTTTGCTAATGAATCACTGTTATTTTGGCTCTGTTCATAAAGTTTTGAACAGTGACAAAAATACAGAGGTTTGATGGGGAAAGAGCCAATACATATGTGGCCATATCTCTGCCAATTCGCGACACAATTGACTGATTTTGCACATTTAGAGGAACTTCATGATGCTCTTTCAGGTTATGGGATCCAAATTAAAAAATTCTAAAAATAGATTTTCTGACATCATCACTTTAGAACTCTATTAAAAGTGCATTAGACAGATAACAATATATTTTTTACAAATGACAATATATATACAAATGACATAAATGACAGCATTATAAATTGTTTACAATATTATAAATTGTAACAATAAATTGTTTACCTGCAAGGCTTTGTCTCTTTGAAGCCCCTCCTGCAAGTTTTCCAGAAATTTTTTGAGCAACCCTGGCTTCTGGGGTGGCTTCTGATAATTCCTCACCTAAACAAAAGATGACAGTTGTTAATTATGTAAACAAAAGTCTGATGATAAAAAAGAAATACTTAGAAAATCTAGAATAACAAAAACATCAAAATGGATAAAACATCAATGATTTTCAATACAGTACCAAGGAGAGTGTCGAGAAAACATATCTTGGGTCTACATAATCAAGAAAGGGTTTAAAAACTACTTATAAATCCTATTGAAACATATCTTGAGGGTTTAAAAAAACAATACGAAAACAGTAGATATGGAAGATAGAGGCAAAAATCACAGAGAAGAAAATCATGAAGAAGTAAATAATGGTGAAGAAAATCATGGCAGAAAGCGCCATAAAAACTCTATTAAGCCCCGGACCAGGTAAGTGTTATTAGTCTTACAACAGTTTTTTCCCAAAGCCATAGGCTTGTTGTGGCCGTCACTGTTTATTTTCATACACCCTGATTTGAATTTGTGCTCAAGGCTTCGCATGTCAATAGACTTTTATCGAAATTCTTTTGCCTTCAATCTCCTTTAGAAAATGTCAACAATAGCCCTTGCTAACATCTCTGTTAATAGGATTGCGTTTCTAATAACAGGAATCACTATTTCCCTTGTTTTTTACTCTGTGAATGTGGCGTATCGTCATAGAAAACAGGGCATAAAGCCTTTTATTTACTGGCATGTTATTAGTCTCCTCGATCTAATAACGCATTCAGGGATATCGGCAGCTTACTTCATGAAACAAATTGCATGAGTTGTTTCTCAAGTTCTTTTCCGTAATTTCAGCTGGTAAAAGTCTAACACACGAATAACCTTCCCGCTTATAAACAATGGCCTACCTAAAGACTTCTCTTCTCTAATAAAGATTGTTACAGTGTTAACGAGACATTTCCATGGATTTGCGGGGAATAACAAAAATAATACTTATTTTCGTTGTCTGGGTCTTGTGATGGGAGACTTTCAGAAGGTAAAGTTATCAAGTCTTTCTAAAAGTATTGTTTAGAGCTTTATTATATCCAGAATGGTCTGTTCTTTCTGTCCTCTATGGCCCCATTATTAGAAAGTCATTTTTAATAATGCAGTAGCCGAAATGTTGCTGGGGCTGCATTGATAAAACCCATGAGGCATTGGAGGTCAGCCTTGCCCTTAGAACGCATCGCAGACCAGATTGTGTCAAAGTCTATAACAACGACATGATTCAGATAATTGGCAGAGCCGGGTCGTCTTTTTATCTAGCAGCTCTGAAATTGATCTACATGCAAACCAAAAAACCGCTATTGTGTAGGCAGAAGGAGTTTGTTTCTTCTCTTGGACTCCAGTGGTAATTTTCCCATAGGCAGGCAGTACTGATTGGACAACTATACTGGTCATGTGCTCCTATTTTTCTGATTCGCCTATTTAGATCCACAACTTGATATATATATATTTTCCATATTGTTCTTTTGAAACCTTATTCTCACGTTTTATACTCTGAGGAGTGTCAGATGAAAAAGCTCTTAGTGTGTTGTAAAATGTTTGCTTTTTTCAAAGTCATTTTCAAATTTTTCCCGCCAAAAAATTGTTCAATCATGTTATAAAGTAACATACCTGCTCTTGGACTGGTGTTTGAACTGAGAGAGATAGACTACCATTCTTTGAAAGAGTATGGAAAAGATGATTTTCTCTAAGTGTTGTCCTGGTAACATGCAAACACTGAGTGGCAGGTTTAAGAAATATTGCCCTTGCAGATGATAATCTTGACACCTTTGCAAAAAATAAATAACAAAAAGTTAGCATTTAAGATATACACATAAGAATCTAAATGTCATCATCAATGTTGTTTATAACAATAAGGGAAATAACTAATAAGATATAAACAGCCTGTGATGATAAGCAGCTGAACTTCTTTCAAAAATTTTAAAGGGAACTAGGGACTAACTAAAACACTTGTTACATAATTGGATTTTGAGTTCTTCATCTTGACAATCTAGAAGCTAGAAATAATGTACATAAGTTCTTACAAACTGTTATTGTCATTGTGAGGAGCATGGTGGCAAAGTATGGCCTATGGTAGCATAATGGAAGAAAAAGTTGTTAGAAAAGCACAAATAAGCACCAAAATCTTTAATTCAGTTCAGTTCAGTTCATTTCATTTTAAATTCACCTACATAATAAATCTTTAACAAGATAATAAAAGACAAGCTTACACAAAGAAGCCTACACTTTATGTGAGTAAAACCCAGAAAACAAAATAAGATATGGTTGAATTTCTTTCATAGCTCATTGCTATATGCCAAGCATAATAAATCATGAATGTAAGCAGTTTTTAATAAACAGGGGTGTGATTGAGACACCCAATGTGCTGCAGATTCTATTTTAAATAGTTGATACCAAAGAATGTGAAAAACTATCAACAGTAGAATATAACATTAAGTTACAAACATCTTGAGGAATGGAATGCTGTGATGTTACGATTTGGGAAACTAATAGGGATTGGCAATCTAAGAGGAACTTTATAAAAGTCTTAAAGGCATGAATCAATAAAGACCAATAATTTGGATCTCTGTTCAATCACATTCAATTATTGATGCAGGCAAATTCGGATACCTTTTACAACCTATGTCGAAATCACCTCAGTAAATTTTAAAATTTTAATGTTGTAGTTGACTGGGCAGACATTTGTATGACCCAAAAGGGTTGTTAAATGTAAATGTAATGATGATGATGATGACATCACACTAAAATCCTGAACAAAACTGTTGAGACAAAATGCAATTTTTGTAATTTTCTACTTTACCTTGCCCATGTAAATTAAAATCCCCCCATTTCCCCACGAAGCAATGTTGGATTTTTATTTCTATCATTTTCGCTTCAAAATCACGCATTCAACATTGAATTCGGTAAGGGGGGAAAAGCTATTTTTCGAAGGAAAGAGAAAACATGAAGTTTTCTTGAAAATTCTCAACTATTTTTGTCCGAGATTATAGATTATATATATAGTCATCTGAAAAATCTGGAAATTCTCTGACTGGCCCATAAACAAGAATGACTTAATCCAGATTTTTTTTTCTATCCATGCCTTATATAGTGAATAGGATTAAAAAATGTTTTAGCAGTCTATCAAGGGTGAAAGAGTTAAGGTATGAGGTTGGAATCTTAGTCCTGCTGGCTGTATATATGGAAAATTCCTGGACAGACCATAAAAAACAAAGAGGTTATGCAGCTAGATACTATTCATGTCTTTAAAAAGGAAAGGACAGAAAAACATTAAGATAATTGGAAAGTATAAAGGAAAGAGTAGTAGAGGAAGATCAAGGCTTATAATAAGCAACTTATCTAAATGGACAGAGGTATTAGGGTGGTAATCAACAAGAGTGGCAGAGCATGGGAAATATGGAAGTCCATGATCTCATTTTGGGACATGATAGCGTCAATGGCAGATGCTTGTGTCACACTAACACCAAGGCAAATTACATAACTCCACGCTGAGATTTTCGGGATTGGCTACAACTACAACGAATGCACCCTTATTGCATCATAATAGAAAAGCCTAAAGAAAGCCATCTTGTACATAAAGCAAGCCCTCGCATAGGCTTCCTAGCTATAAATCAACGATAATAAATGATGCAAAAACAAAAATTGTAAACAAAAACTAACACGTTTCCCAAGCAGGAGTATACAGAAGATGAAGGCTAGCCTGAAAGGCCGGGCAACAATTCGGGCGCTTCTCTATCATAGAATTCCATATTACGCATATAAATAATGACTTTTAATGCAATATAAATCCTTGGCGAGTAAAACAAGTTTATAACACCTTCATTAAGTTCCTTGTGAACGCTTATAACCTGTATTCAAGCAAAACTAAGGAAGTTAAAGACCTGGGGCAAAATATATGCAACTTACCTGCGCCATCTTTGGTTGCAACATGCAGCGCACTTGGAACATGGAAAAGAGGCTCTAAAAAATGAAGAAAGATGACATACTTTGGAGAAAATTAGGCAGTGACACAATGACACCAGTGCCGTAGCTACCTTTGTTCTTGGGGAATTAGAGCCCTCCAAAAATCATAAAACTTTTTGTTTCTAATGGACAGTAACTTTTGTTCCAATTGATCAAATAAAATGGTAGGGGGGGCGGGGTGGCCATGACCCCCAATTTTTGCGAAGCAAATAGTTTAAAAGCTGCAGTAAAAGAGGTAGGAAGCCGTGGCCCCCAACTTTTTTAAGTCTTGGCCCCCCCTTTCAAATTCGTTGCGCAGTCCCTGAATTTTATCCTTTCAAAACCACTTCATTACAAAACAACAAACGTATGGAAGCATGATTATGTTACGCGATTGCACATTAATAGGAAACTTTCAAGATCGTAATTGGTTGCTACTCATTACAATTCAAAGATATTTCCCATATCCCGGCGCTGTTCTTTCAAAACTTTTTAACTCTGAAAAGCGTGACTTCTCGATAGAATTTGGAAAAACTAAGCGTATTTACGAAATCAGTGCAAGCCCCATGACGTAACAAAATTCGTTTTGAAAGTTCCTTATTGAGTTGTTACTATGATCCTTCCCAAATTTTCGTGGAACAAACACCATGGTACTTGATACTGATTAAAAGGCACTGCGGAGCATTGAGAAAAGTTGGGGTCTATAAATAGTGGGGGTGGGGTGGGGCTAAAACCGAATAAAAAAGGCTTGACTGGTGATTCATTGGTACTTTGTTCGCATTTTTGGCAAAAAGTGGGGGATATAGCCAGGGACGGATTTAGCGGGGGGTGTAGGGGGTGCGACACCCCCCAATAGTTCTGTGTCCTTCGGTAAATTTTGTTTCATTCGGTAAAAATCATTTGTTGTTAGTCAGTAGTAATGAAGTGGCGCCAAGATTTTCCTTTATTTATTTTTTATCAGTATTTATCTTATCTCCTTATAAATAGCGTAGCGGGGGGATACTCTCAAATGTATTTTAAGCTAATCTCAAGAGCTTCGTCTCAAAAATTCTCAGTAATTAGAGCCTCGATAGTCAGTAATTTCCCCTCATTTTGGGGTTTGTATAGAAAAGTCTTTCAAGTTTTTGAGAAATTCCTGATAAAATAGAAACTAAGATGCTAAAGCAGTCCAATCTTTAAAAAAAGTGGATTCTGAAATGCTTGTCGTGGAATTTGCTCCGAGTAAAACGGACTTGGTTGAAAAATTTTGAATACTGTTAATTTTTTTAAATATTTGATTACAACTTTGGAAAATCACTTTTTACACATAGAGATTCCTCGCCTTACACAATTTGGTGTTTTCCCAAATTCTTAGGGGTGTGATCAGCAAAAATATTTATTCTTTGGCCTACCAATCTTCCAAGCCTGGCTACGCCAAAGTTAAAACCAAATTTAAAAAATGGGCGTTTCCATCATTTACCAATGACCTGAAGGGTGTGGCACCAAAAATAATGCCTAACATCCGCCCAATCATTGTTGCTTAAATCCGCCCCTGCAAGTCGTACTCGAAGTTTAAAGGTTACATAAACAAAATAGAGAATAATGTTGATCCTCCAAATCACATTATTGTTAATATGCACTTGTATTTTACATGCAAAGACCTTGAATGTTGTTATCATGGAAAACCAGTTGAAATTCAAATACCAAATGTTTGCCAGAGCAGAGGATGTGCAAGCCACTTGCCTGCCCCCATCCCTTTTTACTCGTATCTGAACTCAAGTCCAATCGGCTTCAAATATTTCTCAATTGCCTCATTCATTCGCTTGTTCATCTCATCGTCAAAATAATTCTTCCAGTCTCCAACTTCTCCTTTTCGAATAAAATTCCCTTTTGTGTTTAGCAAACTTTTTCCCCGTAAACTCTCCATGTTTACAGCTTTGTTTTGTTTCATTTTTTTGAAGCTCAAATGGTCAACTAGAATCTGCACTTGGCCGTCTGTCATTTCTTTCTCTAGAAATCTTGCCACTCGTCTAACATTGCCAGCCAAATCAGCTTTCATTTCTTCGTAAAACAAAATACACATATTAGGGTGGTTTCTTCTTTGCCATGCCTCAGCCACATAGTCAAAGTATGGACCGTAGTAGATCAAATTCTCCATGAACAGGTTAAAGAAAGCCTTAAACTCACCAACGAAATTTACGTGCTTCATTAACTTTTGATGATGATAAAATGATACCACAGTGTCTTTAGGGTTTCGCAAACACAGAACCACTTTGCTCTTGTCTAACAGATCGTCAGGAAAAAGGCAGAATGCAAGGTGAGACTTTAAGATTCGTGGCGAAGCCATATTTTCGATGGCCGAGATATGATCATCATCAAGAAAATGGAAAAGAACAGGTTTTTCCAAAAATGGAACTCTCTCCATTAAATCGACGGACTTGGCCTTTCCGATGTCACAGTCATTCTGGACGCACCATACAAGCTCCTGTGTCCAGGTTGTCCCATTCTTTGGAAAAGCAAAAACATAAATATCATCTTTGCGTACATCCCAGCATTTGATTCTGTCTTTAACCTTTTCGTAAGCTGCAGGAGGGAAGTAATTCCCTGGTATTGTTTTGATCAATTTACTGCCTAAGTTCATAAAAGTGTTGGGATACACTTGCTTGATTCTCTCGGTGTCCTCTTCTGAAAGTGGCACTGTACCAATGGCTGCCATAATTTCAGCAGATGCTTGAGTATAAAGACCTTTGATAATACTTTTCTCTCGCTGAAATAACTAGGTTCTAAAATTGGTCTTACACAACACAACAAAACAGATGACAGCGAAGCAGATATTAACTATCCTTGTTGGGGAGATGAGCGAGCAAAAATCGTCAAATAAGTGAGGGAACCCTCCGTACTAGAGTCAGAGAGCATACGTAATAATAACTTCGTTTCGTGCGCATGCTCTTCGACTCCATGACGGAGGGCTGCCTCACTTATTGAAAAACTTTCTCTTGCTCGTCTCTCCAACAATTGCAAATCAATCCTTAGGATTCAAAAAGCATAATCTCAACAATGCAAACTGCACAAAAGTTAGGTATTCTGTGGCTGTGTAAAAAAATGCTGGTACTCTTAAGATGCTGTTGTAGACAATTATAAATACGCTGCTTCACTGATAATTCTTCAATAAGAGAGTTACCGCATCGACCCACTTAAACATATATTTTTCCAAAGACAAAAGTTAGAGATAGGAATCATTCTTGTCAGCACCAATTGTTTGAAAACTTCGCTTGGTATCATTATGATGCCAAGTAAGTTATATAACTATCCTTGAGCATAATAATTCAATTAATAAATAATTCCTTTCTAATAATCATAGATATATATCTATAAATACGATTATCTCCTAAAGAGTGAGTTATTCACGAAACAGGCTTGTAAAGATGAATCATGTGGTCTTATTTTCTTCAAATCTATGGTATATTACGCTCTACGTGCTAACGTATTGAGCACTGTGCTACGGAAGTATCAAAAGACAAATTTCTATATATATACATATGTCTATATATGTGGAAAATTACCTTTATGCTCTGTAAGAAACGGGCTAAAGATTAAATCATTTTCTAATTGTCCTTTTTCGCAAGTTATTTCTTATTTATAACATTCTGTGATCATTGATGAATACTTTTTGTGAAAACCCAAGCCAAGCTATCAATTTTTCTCCTCCATTGAGCAGTTGCTAGTCAATTCTATCAACACCAAATCCTACCAAGAGTGATTAGATGCCCATGGTAAGTACAAAGATGTTCTGGACGTATCAGCATTGCCCTCGGAACTTCCAATTCTTCGCGAAATGTTTCCGAATGAAAAAATTTCTACTTTCGCAGAGAATAAAGGAGAAGGTAACGGCAGAATTAACGAAATCAGAACGAAGTCTCATTGAAAAGGTAATTAAGATGCTGAAACTAGATTTTGTTGGTGCAGCTACATGCGCAACTGTTAAGATGTGAAGGAGATAAAACAACACAAGGGTTCGAGCAAAACAGAACGATAACTTAATATTAACTTCAAAGGTCTACACACAGAGCTGTAATACTGTAATCTGACAAGCTATATAAACATTGGTCACATGTAATAAAGCTCCTGCGCATAGTCTATTAGCGATCCTTTTCGTTGGCACGTGGATTGAAAACATGGCTTCAATCTACAATGCCGCAAGAGCACTTCAATGCTTTAGCAGTATTGTCGAAATCGATGCTGCTAATGAGTTTGTCTACCTAAAGCCAAACATTGTCATATAAAGTATCTCAATAAAGATCTTATCATTCAAAGTGATAAACTGTCTCGTCATTTCCTAATCATTTACTTTTAACCTTTAAAACTGCTAATCATCTTGCCCCTTAGGACCAACCATGGTTAGCCTGGAATAATGGGCTGGTTATCAGGCTAACCATGGTGGGCTTCCGAAATAAACTTAGCAGCTTCACGAAAACGGCCCCCTCATTTTCAAAATCTTAGCGTGGGCATTGAGGGTCATGTCCCCCTGGCCCTCTGGACTCCCTGGCCTCCCGGTAGTGTGGACCCTGTAAACGAGATGACCCTGTAGGTATCCCAGGTTAAGCAGGCTTTTTCGAAATACGCAGCTTGTCTCTTTATGATCACATAAAACCAATTCATCTCATCGATTCAACCAATCAGCACAAATCCGATAATTAACATCTTATCCATAAAATCGCATGAAACCGAATTCGTGCGCCCACTTTATAAAACAGTTGATGGAAAGACGAACAGCTATTTTTCAAGAAGTTTTACATTGGTGCCCAGTGTGAGTAGCGCCCAAGAAAGAGATCGACGCAAATCGAATCTAGCAAGCAGGCTCTACAAACACCTGCAACCAACAGACGGCCAGGTGATCTGCATCAACTACCAAAGGGTTGGGCACATGGTTTGTCTTGTAAAAGGTGCCCAGTAAAGCGTCCTTGGGAGGAAAAAGCTCCAATGGCCTATGGACGCAATGAGCCTGGTTTTGGGAGCCAAAAATGGAGTGAAAAAGAGCAACTACAGCCAAACAAGCTGCTAATGTTTTAAACGCCGCTCTCCGTTGTTTTGAAACATGTTTGTTATATAGTTTGGAGAACACTACATTCAACAACGTAGTTTGATCGTGTTCTTATTCTAATTCCAATTCAATACACTGTAACATTATGCCAACGGATAAATCGACACACCTAGACTGACAAACAAGCACAGTGAACCAAAAAAAATCAATTCTTAATAATACACACAGAGACAATGAAAAATAACATAATCAGCATAACAATTAATTTATTCACATAATGTCAGTAGCCCAGGTGCTGCTCACTCCACCAAGTCCGTATATTACCAGGTCAGCAAAGTGTAAACTTTCGTTTGACTTAACGGAAATGATGTCAGTTGATAATCAAGCCATTATTTAGATACAATATGAAGTGCATACCCTAGATTTAACTAAAATTGGGTAGTCACTGTTTTTTGCCTCCCATTGTATTGTTAAAATAGTATTGTAAAGTAGTTTTTGGTAGAGTTATCTGTAAATTGTATTGTGAAGTTTTACTAAGTAAAGAAACAAATCTTTTGAAAAAGAAAACGTTTTTAAATATGTTACTAATGCTTTTAGTCTGACATTCTTCAGAGTATAAAATGCCAGAACATAGGTCAAAATACTACGCTAGGATAAAATGTTCCACGTTGTTGATCGAAATAGGCCAATCGGAAACGCGAGCACATGGTTGTGAAGTAGTTTCTGATTGACCTATTTTGATCCACAACTTGGTATGTATATTTCCTTGCTTAGGGTTTTCGATCTACGTTCAGACGTTTTATACTCCGAAAAATGTCAGAAGAAAAATGTGACTGCACTTGCTACATGTTTCTCCATCTGAAAAATAAAGAAAGGGAAAAGAAGAAAAAATGGTAGGGAAGAAAGGGAAAAAATCTGAATAAATATTTTCTATATTTTTCAGATTACTAAATGGATAGAAAGAGATTTGTAGCAAGTCCAAAGTATTACATAAAATGTTTGCTTTTTCAAAGCCATTTTTGAATTCTTACCACGACAAGATTGTTTGCAAAAATATCAGTTTCACATCAATCCAGCCCAATCGTAACTCGGCTATCACTGGATGTCCAGGTGTACCCTGTGTCCCAGACCCCTAACTGAAAGTAGAGGACTGGAGCACAGTATAATCCAGGTGCCGCAGCCGTTCCTTTTACTATGATGACATCTTAAAAAATTACACGAGTTATATATATGCACAAAGTAAACTACGAATAGCCATTAAATGAAGTCGTAATTTATTTTTTACTAGTTGCCTATAATTTTCGTGATACGTATAAGCAAACCATTATTTTCAGTAAATTTAATCCCTTGGTTTCAGAAATATTTGTAGTGTTTTGTTGATTTTTCAGAGCTTTGACTTCATTTGTCGCTTAACAAGTCTTTTCCATTTTGAGTTTTGATAGAAATTTGGACAATCCAATGTATTCATTCATGGGAGCCACACCTTCTGCAAAGCGAATCAGTGTACCTTCTTTTTTAGCGTGCTATTTTTAGGCCTGCCACCTTTAGTTTAAGTTTCAGTAGGGATGAGGCTTCCTAACACCTCAGATATTCTTTCATTTTAAACTTAGTAATTCTTAGGAATCTGAGGTTAGTTCTCTTATTGAATTTAACTTTGTTTTCTACGAGAAGGTCTCTTGCGCAAAATTAATGAAATCCAAATAAGGCAGCATAGCCTTTTTGAAGACAAATCTTTATAAGAACGTTTTCCTTTGCTTGCATTTTTGTTCAATACTTAATTTCCCAGGCGGGTAAATATATCAGCTCAAATGACATTCTTGAATTGCTGAATAACACGAAGGTCAAAAAACTTCAAAATCGAGGCAAAGCAACCTAAATTACGACCATCAGCCTTTGAATTCCACGTGCTTGAAAACTGCAGAACCGCCAATTTGATGACGTCATGCAAACTTTAAATAGCAATAACTCGTTATCTGCAGGTCTGATCCTATTACTCTTATTACAATGTCAAACAAGATGGATGGAGCAACTTTGCAAAAGAGAGAATTAAAAATTTTGATGACAGGGGAAAATGAGGTCATCGATCACGTCATTTCTATTGTGTTACAAAAATGTATCCAAGGCTTAAAATATTCAGCAAGGTTGAAAGTACCGAAATCAAGAGCAAAAACTAAGGTTACGCACTTTGCTCGATTGTTGTTAAAAATTCCCTGTCTATATCGTTGCTGTGTCATGAGAACAGAGCATACGAGACAATAAGGGGTTTCCTATGATCAATTACGTAATAGACGAAATAGATACATTTGCATAACAGTGGGCCTAAGCGGTTTTTTATAAGGCAAAATTTTCTAAGGAAAACTCTTAACTGACTTATAAAATACAAGCTTAAAAACAAAATATAGCTTGGCGTTGAATGTATACAAGTTAATTTGTTAAACATTTTGATTAAGCCTCGTTTTGGGAAAGAAACCTTGTGGGTAAAAAATCGTTGAAGAAGAGAGTGGGAAATAAGTTGTTTTATCAGGATTGTGAATATTGTGAGTTTGTGTATTGGGACAAATCGGTACATAGTGACGACCCTGCCAGGACTACCAGGTGGTGAAATTCGGTCCTTTTGGTGATAATTTATTTCTATATTCGTGAGCATTTACCCACAATAAAACTTTTAACTCCTCTATAAGGTTAAGGCCCATAATATGTAAATTCATAAATTTTGACCTCAGAGTGTAGAGTTAACTTACCAAGCGGGATGTTTAAGGCAAAGTTAGGTGCTCCGGAGCAGGTTGAGGGGCCCGGGGAAGAAATAGAGGTACCCAATAATGACGAGAGGGAAAAAGAAAAGGAAATGGCAAAGATGAAATTTTATGGTGAGCAAGTAAATGATCTTATTGAAGAGAATGATATGCTAGAAATTAAAATGGCAAACCAGAGAATGAAAGACATCCATACCCAGCTGCTAGCTCTAATTACACAAGTACAGGAAGCCAAAATAAGTAATGGTGAAAGTAGCAGGGGTGTGAGACAAAAGAAGAAAACCATCAAAGAGAGCTTTATGCCATGGGTTAATGAGAAAGAAAGACTAACAAAGGTATTAAAAGAGCAACAAGAACAAGTTAGAAAAGAAAAGGGAAGAGAAATGTACAAGGGAAAACAGAGGAAACTTGAAGCAGAACAAAAAAGGATGAATGAAGTTCACAAAATGCAAACTAAGTTTCAAGAGTAGCTGGAACAGTTTCATCTTCAAACGTTATCAACCGAAAACAGAGTTGTTTGAAGATGAAGATGGAACAGCGAAAACGAAGTCATGGGAGAGCGGAGTCATTTGAAAACGAATTGTTTGAATGAGAGAATCGAAAACGGAGTCATTTAAAAACGAAAGCTAGAAAAGCTAGAAAACAAAGATACTAGTTAGAAAGGAAAAAGTGGGAAGACAAATTAAAAGCAGACTGGGAACTAGTAGAGAAAAGGTTAGAGGCAGGCAAACACCAACAGATTGATCAGGCAAAGCTTCCAAAATTGAAAATTACACCCTTTAATGGGACTGCAATTGATTGGGTGAGATTTGAGAACATGTTTACTACTCAGGTACACAACAAAGAGATGGCAGATGAAGTAAAGTTTGGGTATTTATTAGAAATGGTGTGTTCCAAAGTGAGAGAGAAGATTTCAAACCTAAAGCCAGGTACAATAGGATACAAAACAGTTTGGGATAGATTAATTAGAGAGTATGGACAAACACAGACAGTGGTGAGTGCACATGTCAGTGAAATGATCAATTTACATACGGTGAGAGAGACAAACAAGAAATTTTTTTTGAAAAGCTTAGCAAATATTATGATGCCCTACAAATACTAGAAAGCGAAACCAGCAGCGGTGGGCTCACGATGACAGCTATAAATAAGTTACCCCATGTCAAGCCAGATATTGTCCGCACAGATAATGACTGGAAGAAGTGGGACCTTATAAGGAACCTTGAAAAGTGGCTGAAAAGACACAAGCTAGAAGAATCAGCAGAAAGAAACATAGATAGGTCAAGAAGAGAAAAGCACTGGTTTCTAAATGGAGAAGAAAAATCAACTACAGGCACATTCAGGAAAGAGCCGAGCTGCATTTTCTCCAAAGAAAACAATTGGGGAGATGAATGCCACAACAATGAGAGCTTAGAAAAGAGAAAGAAGTTTTTTGTTAAAAGGAGGTTGTGTTTCAATTGTCGAAACTCAGGACATAGGGAAAGCAAATGTAACAGTAGAGGATGCCTGAAATGTAAAGCAAGACACCATACAAGCCTTTGTGATCAGATCAATCTCACAGGTTACACAAGAAACAACCATAAGTTAGATGAGAAGACATTACCAGCTATTGTTCCAACAAAGATTCAAGGACAAACATTCTGGGCACTTTTAAATACAGGAGCTGGCAGAGATTTCATTTCAAAAGATGCAGTAAATATTAGAATTCCACACGGAGAGTGTCTTGAAAGATAAACTACGGTTGAACGAACATAACAAAACAACTTATATGATCAGAATATAATACTAGGCCACATTACGTATTCAGCGTAAGAAACGTGTTCACAGCATGACTAAGCAAGGCTTAACTTAAAGTGTCAATCAATGATACTATGAGTCAAAACATGATAATATCAAATGTCTTGTCCCTCCCACTTGACAAATGTATATTGGTATATTAAGCCAAACAAGATAAGTACCATAGCGAATAATGAACAGTCCTTTCATTATGGTTTATCAGTTTATTCAACAGTCTATTCCCATCGTTGAACGCAATTTTTGAAATCTTTCTTTCGCAAGTCCTTTAGTCAAAATATCAGCCGTTTGTTGTTCTATAGGACAATATTCAAGCATGATATTGTTCTTTTCAATTGCTTCTCTGATATAATGATATCTTATATCAATGTGTTTTGTTTTTGCATGGTTCTTTGTGTTCTTTGAGAGTGCTATAGCTCCTTGATTGTCTTCATAGACTGTGGTTGGTTTTTGTTGTGCAAAACCAATGCTTTCAAGCAATCTCCTCAGCCAGACTGCCTCTTGTGTAGAAGAGCATAAAGCTATGTACTCTGCCTCAGTTGATGATAAGGCAATAACTGGTTGTTTCTTTTTTTTCCATGAAACAATTCCACCACACAATTTGAATAAATAGCCTGATGTTGACTTTCTTGTTGACAAATCACCACCCCAATCAGCATCAGAATAGCCAAGTAAGCTTGAATTCATTTCACTGAAGGATTCAAACTTAAGACCACAGTTAACAGTCCCTTTTATATAGCGAAATATACGCTTTATTCCTTGCCAATGCTTTTTGCTTGGGTGTGACATAAATTGTGAAAGAACTCCCACTGCCGCCGCTATATCTGATCGAGTGGCAGTTGCTGCATATGTTAAACAGCCAATTGACATTTGGTACCTTTGATCGTCAAATGGGGTCTCATTTTCTAGTAGTTTCACAAACTTCCTACCTGGCTTTGATGGAGTTGATACCTGCTTTCAGTTCTCCATATCAAACTTCTTCAAAATACTTTCCAAATATTTTGACTGTTTTATCATGAGTGTCTTAGCTGCTCTGTTTCTGTAAATAGACATTTCCAGTTTGTAGTGTAATTCTCCTTGGTCTACCATATCAAATTTTTGACTTAGCAGCTTCTTTTCTGCATTTATCACGGCATTGCTGTATGACACAATGAGAATATTATCTACATATAGAGCAATAATGACAAAGTTGTCCATCAGCTTTCTTCTCAGAATTTATGTAGAGACAGGAATCAGCAGTGCTACACTTGTATCAATTATCCTTTAGAAATGAATCAATGGCAGTATTCCAGCACCGTGCTGCCTGCTTTAGACCATAGATTCCTTTATTTAACCTGCATACATCATTTGTTTTATCAGCACTAACCCTCAGGCTGCTTCATGTAGATTTCACTGTCCAAATTACCCTGAAGAAATGCTGTTTTTACATCCATTTGATGCTGTATTTTTAAATTGTTCTTGTTTGCCAATGGAAATAATGAGCGTATTGAAGAGTATAGAATGACAGGTGAAAATACCTATTGGTAATCAATCCATTCAGCTTGTGAGTACCCTTGAGCTACTAAGCGAGACTTAAAGCGGTCAACAGAGCCATCTGCATTCTTCTTAACTTTGAATACCCACTTGCTCCCAACAATATTCTTTCCTTTTGGAATTGGAACTAAGTCCCATGTTTTGTTTTTGATTAATGATGAGTATTCTGCATCATTAGCTTCTTTCCATTCACTAGCATGTTCTCCAGTCCATGCATCCTGGATCTTTCTTGGCTCATCAATTTCGTCTGCTATAATATCAGCACTAAAACAGTTTTCATTTTCTTCATTGACTTGCTCAGCCAGCTTAGCAAAAGAACGTGTTCTTGCACCTTGCAAGTTTCCAACTTCTCTAATAAAGTTCTCTTCATAGGTTGCTCCCACTGGTAAGATATTGTGGTTGACTTCATGATTCACTTCTTCTATAACATTTCCATAAACGCCTGGATTAGTTTATCATCAAACTCAATACATATATGATCAGATTTTGATAAGACAGTTGTATCAAAGTCATGAAACTCTCTCTCTGAGAAGATAACATCACAACTGCGAATGAAATATTTAGCTTGAATATCATAAAGCTTATACCCCTTTGTTCCAATTGGGGAGCCAACGAATATGGCTTGTTTTGATTTAGCAGCAAATTTATGACGATATTTATCAGCAATGTGCACATTAGCTATGCAACCAAACACTTCAAGATTCGACATATTTGGCTTTACACCATACCAGCATTCAAATGGTGTCTGCTTATTAAGTGCAACTGTTGGGCTGCGGTTTCTCAATAATACAGCTGTGCTAACTGCTTCTGCCTAAAATGAAGCTGGCAATTTAGCATGATGTAGCATAGAACGAGCTGTCTCCACAATTGTCCTATTCATGCACTCTGCAACACCATTTTGCTCTGGATTCATTGGAGTTGTTGCTTGATGTAGAATTCCTTTTTCTCTTATGTGTTCTATGAATTCTTTGGAGCAATATTCACCACCATTATCGATACGAAGTATCTTGACTTTGACTTGACATTGGTTGTTAAATTTACAAATTCTTTGAATTTTTCTAGCACTTCACTTTTGTGCCTAAGGAAATAAACGTGGGTATAACGAGACGCATCATCGATAAATGTTACGAAGTACTTTGACTTTCCAATCGATTCCACGTTAATTGGCCCGCAAACGTCACTATGTATTGTTGATAATACCTCAGCTGATCGAGTTGATGATGCTTTCGGAAATGCATTGCGATGCTGCTTTCCCATGAGGCAACTTTGACATACTTGCTCACTCACTAATTCAGACATGCTACAATCCATCCCATCAACTAGACCTTCCTTCAGCATTTTCTTCATGTTGTCAGCTCCTAAATGGCCCAACCGATAATGCCATATTGATTGACTTCTGTCATCATCAACTGTAGAACCAAAACAAGAATTCTGAACTGGTTCTAAGTTAAGTTTGTACAGTTTTTCATATTTGTTGCCAATGGTATATGACTTGTCATCAATTGTTATCTTGCAAAATTGTCCTTTAAACTGAACTTCAGCCCCCTTTTCTGTCATTGTTGGCATAGACAATAACTTGTTTTGAATCCTTGGAACAAACAGAACATCATGTGGGTTAACGTTAACTTTTTGTGTTCAATCATATGCAAATAAAGCCACTTTACCTTTTCCATAGGCAAGTAATGTGCTGTTATCAGCAAGCTTTACTTTTACAGGAGTCCTAAAACTCTCGTATTCCACAATTCCCTTTTTGGTTGGCGTCATGTGCTGCGAGGCTCCTGAGTCAATCCACCATTCATCACCTTTCAAGCTGGTACCTTCTACCTTCTGTTGCTAAAGCAACTTCCGGAGACTTCCTGGATACATTTTCAACCTTGTTCGCAAATTCGGCGTTAGGCGGCTTCTTTTGATCGGCTTTCTTTTTGAAGCAATCCCTCGCAAAGTGACCTTTCCTCTTGCAATAGTGGCATTTAACCTTTTTAAGTCCATAGGCTTCTTCTGATCTTGTCCTCTACTGCTTATTAAAGCTTCCTGGGTAGAGTTATTACTTCCAGCCTGTTCACTTCCATTCTGAATTTTATCAGATTCATGAATAAGTCTATCGCGAACGTAATTCCACGTCAGTTTTTCACCAGCGATCGTTTCTAAAGCTGTTATTGAATAATTGTATTCTTCAGGGACATTATCACAAAATCTTTCTCAGCGATAGGGTCATCAACTCCTTCCAAATGCTCCGAAAGAGTTTTAACGTAATTTATATGGGTAATCATGTTCTCACCTTTGTTCATGCGCGCAGAATACAATTTTCGTCGATAGAATATTTTCTTTCAAAGAGCCTTCTCTTCGAAATGACTAGCAAGATTGTCCCATGCCTCCTTCGAAGTTTTAGCAGATCGCACGTAAATTTGAAGATTTGTTGCCACGGATAAACATACGCATGCCAAGGCCTGATTTTCTCTTTTCTTGAATATTCGTTGTTTTTGTGCAGACGCGGTCTTGTCCAATGCCTCTGTCCCTGTTACTATCTCCCACAGATCCTTACCGATTAAATACATCTTCATTTAGAATTTCCAGTTATGATAATTCTCACCAGTTAACTTTTCTATCTTGAAACCGATGTCCCCTGCAACAGCCATTGTGATCGATTCCGACAAGACTTCAAAAAGCTTCCAGTAGACTGTATTAAAATGCCGATACAATTCCGACAAAGAAATCGTGATCCGGGCCCATAACCTATTAGAATTCCACGGAGAGTGTCTTGAAAGATAAACTACGGTTGAACGAACATAACAAAACAACTTCAGCGTAAGAGTAGTAAAAACGTGTTCACAGCATCAATGATATTATGAGTCAAAACATGATAATAGTAAATGTCATGTCAGTTAACAAGTTGAATCTCAAGCCAGTCAGGCATGAAACAAGGCATCTTGTTACTGTAAATGGAACAAGAACGCAATCACTGCCTATCTATGAGATTGCCATAGATTCGCTAGATGGAAATCAAGAGAAAGAATTGAGGTGTCAGGGATCAATATGTCAGACTTTACCACAGTTGATAGACCAAACATGAGAGAGTTGAAAGAGAAGTATAACCAGACAAGAGACAAACAATTCTATACACAACCTAGTGACAGATCTTTGCAATTCACCTTATCTTAGGAGACAACACATTTTGTAGAATCAAAACAGAGGAGGTTTTCAAGGGACAGCAAGGGGAGCCAATTGTAGAAGAAACAACATTTGGATACATTATTCATGGCGGAGACAAAGTTAATAGCAGCTGCATGTATGTGAAAGAAACAAAAAAGGATTATGAAAGGCTTTACAGCCTAGATGTTTTAGCATTGAAGACAGAGGTGAAAATGATGTTTCAGACATTCACTATGAATTCAATGAGAGTATTACCCAAGATATCGATGATAGATATGAAGTGAAAATTCCTTGGATACCGGGACAAGAGATAAAGGAAAGTAATGAAGCACAAAGCAGATCAAGACTCAGAAATGTAGAGAGAAAGCTATCAAGAAACCCAGAATTGAGAGAAGCAAACCGAAACATAGTAGAGGAGCAGCTAAAGAAGGGATTGTTGAAAGGGTACCAGATAAACAAACAGAAGAGAGACAATTCTATTTGCCTCACAAACCGGTGGTCAGAGAGGAAGCAAGTACAACAAAAGTGAGATTGGTATTCGATGCCAGTGCAAGACCAAGCCCTTTATCAAACAGCCTAAACGAGTGGATGTATACGGGACCAGCATTGCAACCTCATTTATGGGACATTTTAGTCAGAGCAAGGATGGGTGCAAATTTGCTGATAGGAGACTTAAAGAAGGCATTCTTACAAGTAGGAATCGCTCAAGAAGACAGAGACGCATTTCGATTTCTCTTTAACATTAATGGGAAAGAAGAGCACTTGAGATTTGCAAGGGTTCCTTTTGGTGCAGAGGTAAGTCCCTTCATACTAGGAGCCACATTAAATTATCACTTTGACAAGTTTAAAGCCAGCCACACAGAAACAGTGAAGGATTTGAGCAGAAACACTTATTTGGATAATCTTATGACATTGGGAAGTAACAGAGATGAGCTAGAGATATTTAAAAGAGAGAGTACAGACATTTTAGAAAAAGGCAAGTTTTGTGTTCACAAATGGGAATCTTATATTCCAGATTTGGAAAGTGAAGGGATGTCAAACCCTAGAAAGATTTTGGGACTCTCTTGGGACAAGAAAACAGATACAATAGAAGTACAAGTCCTAAAGGCAAATTCATAAGAGAGTCAAAACATTACAAAGAAAGGGATTTTGAGCAAGCTGGAAAGTATTTACGATCCTCTGGGTTTGATATCACCTACTTTAGTTGAAGGTGAAAAGATTTATAGAGGCATGTGAAGGAAGCAATCAGTGGAACCAAGAAGTATCCTCAGAACTAACAAAGGAATGGCTGAAGTGGACATCACAGCTTAAGAATGTCAAAGTACCTGGAAGTCTGATTTAGTCAGGGAGATCATTGAAGGGTGTACACATACATCGGTTTGCAGATGCAAGTCAAATTGCTTGTTCCACAGCCACAATAGCAGTGATTGAACATGAAACTAGCAAAGTTATGGGCCTGCTCACATCAAGGTCAAAAATAGCAAAGAGAAACACTTCTGTTTCCCGATTAGAGTTGATAAGTGAAGTTATGGCTGCAAACCTGGTAAAGAATCTGTGTAAGGCGTTGCAAGATCTACCTATTCTGTCTGATACAATTTGGATGGACAGTATGGTTGCGCTTTTTTGGATACATAATCCAAGAAAGGCTTCGAAAACGTTTGTAGCAAATAGAGTTCGAAAGATCTCAGAGGCAACAGAGGAAAATAAGATGACATGGAAGCATTGTACAACAGACATGAACATTGCAGATCTTGGAAGTAGAGGAGCTTCCATAGAGAAAACAGAGAAAATTCGTTGATTTGAGGGACCAGAATGGTTATTTGATGAAAAACATTGGCCAAGACAACCAGAGTTCAAGCGCTGTAAGAAAGTGTATGAGAAGGCATGAGGAGAAATAGTAGCTTACTCTAAAGAGCAAACAGAGATTAATAGGGATGAGTGGGATCTGCAGTTAGAGAGGAAGGCTTACTGGACTACTCTTCGAGTGACAGCATGGGCACTGAGATTTAAAGAGAACTGCCAGTCAAAGATGAAAAAGAAACAGAAAGTACAAGGACTTTTGACTACAGAGGAAATTAGGAGAGCCAGAGACATTTGGATTGTCAGAGCACAGAAGGAAAAAGATGATAGTCTAGAAAGACCAGGATGGAAGCTAGAGAAAGATCCAAAGACAGGAATTCTTAGATGCATTGGGCGAATAATACATTTATTTGGAGAATAATACATCTACGCAAAAGCTAATTCAATACGAGCACGAGAGAATCAAACATTTGGGTTTAGTTAGCATCGTGTCTGAAAATAGAGAGAATTGGCACATACTGCATTTGAGAGCACTTGTGAAGCGACATATAGGCCAGTGTAATGTTTGCAAGGTATTCGCTACTAAGCCATTTGATCCAAACATCACTGCACTCTTGCCATTTGATCCAAACATCACTGCACTTTTGAGTACACAGGGGTTGACTTTGCGGGACCCATAACTTACAAGGTTAGACAAAGGGAAGAAGGAAAGGCATATATCACCATTTTTACTTGTGCTACTATAAGAGCAGTGCATTTAGAGGTGTGAAATCACAGTCAGCAGTCGAGTTCCGAAGAAAGTTAAATGCCTTCATTGTAAGAAGAACTAGACCAAGGACTTTTATATCAGACAATGCAAAAACATTTAAAACTACGGCAAATTGGAGAATTACAAGGAAGAATTACATGACTTTTTCGCGGAACAAGACATAAAATGGAAGTTAATTCTGAGTAGGTCACCATGGTGGGGCACATTTTATGGGAGACCTATCAAGGACATTAAGGGTGTTCTCTACAAAACCCTGGGTCGTTCTCATCTCTCCTTTGAGCACCTTGAAAATGTTATTCTAGATATTGAACATCATTTAAGCAATTGTCCATTAACTTACATAGAGAGTGAAGTTGGGGAGGGTAAAGTATTGACCCTTAACATTATAATGTGGGGCCAAAATGCTCACACCTTTGATGACATTGAAATTGAAGTGGAGAGTGTAACAAAGTTTCAGCGACGTCTAGAAAATGTTAGAGCACATGTCTGGAGAAGATGGTCACAAGAATACGTAAAAAGCCTGATGGATTACCAGAGGACTAACAGATCAGGGACAGTGGTTCCGGAAATTGGAGAAGTGGTTCTCATAGTGGGAGAAGAGAAAAACAGAGGTTTGTGGATGAAGGGGACAGTTCTCAAGCACGTAACTGGTAAAGATGGAGTCATTCATGGAGCAATTGTGTTACACAAAGGAAATCATTTGGAAAGGCCTTTACAATTACTGTGCCAATTAGAGATCAAAAGTGAACTGGTTGAAGAACTCCTGTCGGGAATACAGAGCAGACAAAGCAAGAAGACGAAGAGAAGCAGCTGAAGATGCACAAATGAATACGAAACTCATTTTAGAAGATGGGGAAACTGATTAAGTAAAACTTTAGTTTTCCACTAAACTTTTAGGGAGGTGTATAAAAGTTAATTTGTTGAACATTTTGACTTAGCCTCGTTTGGGCTAAAAAACCGTTTGGGTTAAAAATCGTCGGAGAAGAGAGTTGGAAATAAGTTGTTCTATCAGGATATTGCGAGTTTGTGTATCGGGACAAATCGGTACAAATGCGGCGCACTGGGCTATATTCATAGATAGCGCAAAATACCAAGCTCCTAAAGCTAAATCTAGTACAAAATTATCAATTATAGAGAAAAATACTAAAAAACTATACCCAATCAGAATTAATTCGAAACAATGTCACCTGAATATAGAATATGAATACGGTTCAGAAGAGTTCTTAGGTTCGTCTGTGTCTTGATGTTCTTCAGAATAAATTGTTCCTATTCTTTAGCAATGTCCGTGCGTCTTTCTCTCCAGAGTTATATCGATCGAATAAAAAACCAACACCACCCATCACAACTCATCAAAAAGGTCACGTGACAACAACAGCAAAGTCAATAAAGATAGGGGGCAAGAACCACTTTTCCCACATTCATGTTAATAATTTGGTTGTTGCTACTTCATATTTTCTACTATATGGTAATGTAATGTTTACGCTCTATCACAGAATATTGTTAGGGCTATGGCCTTTGTATGTGTGTCAGGGCTAAAGGAACTACATACACCGTCCAAACAGAATTAAAACAACAATGGATAATATATTGTTGCACCTAACTTCAGAAAGCACCTTCCTCTGTTCTGACGTTTTCTATTAAAAAGACTTTTATTAATCTCGAATGTCTAGTTGTAGTCGAATGTTAAAAAGTGACATTGAAAAAGTAGAAAAAATGTTGATAGTCTAAATTACATTTTTGTTAATATGCACTTTTATACTGGCAACTGAACGAAATTCAAATACCAAATGTTTGCCAGAGCAGAGGATGTGCAAGCCACTTGCCTGCCCCCATCCCTTTTTACTCGTATCTGAACTCAAGTCCAATCGGCTTCAAATATTTCTCAATTGCCTCATTCATTCGCTTGTTCATCTCATCGTCAAAATAATTCTTCCAGTCTCCAACTTCTCCTTTTCGAATAAAATCCCCTTTTGTAGTTAGCAAATTTTTTTCCCGTAAACTTTCCATGTTTACAGCTTTGTTTTCTTTCATTTTTTTGAAGCTCAAATGGTCAACTAAAATCTGCACTTGGCCGACTGTCATTTCTTTCTGTAGAAATCTTGCCACCCGTCTGACATTGCCAGCCAAATCAGCTTTCATTTCTTCGTAAAACAAAATACACATATTGGGGTGGTTTCTTCTTTGCCATGCCTCAGCCACATAATCAAAATACGGACAGAAATTGCACAAATCATCCATGAACAGATTAAAGAAAGTCTTAAACTCACCAACGAAATTTAAGTGCTTCATTAACTGTTGATGATGATAAAATGATACCACAGTGTCTTTAGGGTTTCGCAAACATAGAACCACTTTGCTCTTGTCTAACAGATCGTCAGGAAAAAGGCAGAATGCAAGGTGAGACTTCAAGATTCGTGGCGAAGCCATATTTTCTATAGCGCAAATGGCATCATCATCTAGGAAATGGAGAAGAACGGGTGCTTCTAAAAATGGAACTCTCTCCATTAAATCGACGGACTTGGCCTTTCCGATGTCACAGTCATTCTGGACGCACCATACAAGCTCCTGTGTCCAGGTTGTCCCATTCTTTGGAAAAGCAAAAACATAAATATCATCTTTGCGTACATCCCAGCATTTTATTCTGTCTTTAACCTTTTCGTAAGCTGCAGGAAGAACATAATTCCCAGGTATTGTTCTGATCAATTTATGGCCTAAGTTTAAAACAGTGCTTGGATATCCTTGCTTTATTCTCTCGGTGTCCTCTTCTGAAAGTGGTGCTGTACCAACGGCTGCCATATTTTTAAGCGGATGCTCGAGTACTTAGTCCGTTGATAATCCTTTTCTGAAATACCTTTGTAAACAGGTCAAGCATATCACCCAATGAAAGAGTAGTATTGTATTCAAAATTGAATCAAACCAAGTAAACAAACAAAAAATCCAATAAATCGTCGATGGTAGCCTGCGTGTGTAATGTCGTAGTGTTTGTGTATACCATTGTTTAGTGTTGACCTTTATACTTTGTATTTTCACGCTGTTACTTGTATGTAGTCCCTATTGTAATATAATCAGTTCACGAGTAAACAAGCTACAGTTCAGTCGTGTGTGAACTCCCTCTCGCTCAGAACATTACTGTATAAAGTCTGAACGCCAGTGTCAGGGGCGGATCCAGCCTGAAATTTTACATTCGCACAGGCAGAAAAACCAGCGTGGGGTCTGGGGGCGCTAAGCCTTCAAAAGGGGCAGGACATGGAAAATTTGACGTTTTACCAAATTCTAAGGGCTGAAATTTGGTCTGGAAATCGCAATATGAGATCTTGTATTTGATTATAATAACATTTAAGAACTTTTATGAATCTGTTATAATCTGTTTTCTACGGAACAATATATACACTATGGATGAAATAATACTGATACCAAAATAATGTCAACACCTACTTATACAACTTATCAAAATAGAAATGATAAATAATAATAATAATAAAAATAGTAATTATAATAATTCAATTTATTTCAATTAATTCAACTATAAAAGCAACAGTGTTAATTTTCTAACTCGTGAAAAAAATACCAACAAAATGAAGGACAAAAAGTTCCCTCAGAAATCATGCCCTAGGCATCAGAAAATCAGTCACGAGGCTACGTTTCCACATCATCGAGAACGAGTTGGGCCGTTGGTGCATCGGCGCAAATCGCTAAACCTATCACTGATTTAAACAGGAAGCGGTTATTTTGAATTTTCAATAATAACCTCCGAATTTAATCGATAAAGGGGAGGGAATGGAAAAGGAAAGACTCTTTTCCCCACCATAAACTCAAAGAGTTCCCCCCAATCCCGACCCTAATCATACAGTGGGAAACGTAGCCTCAAAAATCAGAAAGAAATAGAAATTAGGAACTCACCATACATACCAGCGATTGAATATGGTCCCGAAGACGAAGCGAGCCACGTTTTATTCAGTCGCTCAAAAGAGCGAGATTACGATTATAAACTCTCTACCTGAGAGAGTGCGCATTTTTGTAATTAACTCTCTACCCGAGGGGATTCATTTTGCAACCCTCTACCTGAGAGGGACCATATATAGCAACCCTCTACCTGAGAGGGACAATTTGCAACCCTCTACCTGAGAGGGTCCACGCAAAGCAAGCCCCTACCTGAGAGGGACAATTTTGCAACCCTCTACCTGAGAGGGACCACGCAAAGTAAGCCCCTGCCTGAGAGGGACAATTTTGCAACCCTCTACCTGAGAGGGACCACGCAAAGCAAGCCCCTACCTGAGAGGGACAATTTTGCAACCCTCTACCTGAGAGGGACCACGCAAAGCAAGCCCCTACCTGAGAGGGACAATTTTGCAACCCTCTACCTGAGAGGGACCACGCATAGCAAGCCCCTACCTGAGAGGGACTATTTTTCTTTTTTTTGCTTTTAAACTTAACCCTCTAGCCAAGAGGGATTATTATCACGGAGACAAACAGAAGACAGGCATACAAATATACAATAAACAAAAAACATGCAAAACACATGCAAGCAATTTGTATCACATTCTTATCAGATATTTAAGGATATTTAAACGATAAAAAAAATTAAAAATGAAAAGAAAAACCTTTCTAAAAAAAGTCACCTATCCTTCTAGGCAGCTTTATAACCAAAGAGTCATTGCATTTAATATGAATAGAAAATCTGAGATGCGACGATAAAGTTACAAGATAATCTCTTAAAAAGACAAACACAATCAAAATGTTCTGGAGAATCAAATGTGATAACCCAAACTTTCTAAGAATAAATCTCATACAGAGCCATATTTAAATATAAAAAGCAAGAAGCATTAAAGCTTGAACTGTCCCGAGTCTTTCAAGCCGAAGCCAAGCATTGAAAAGGCAACTTTACATAAACATTGTAGGCCAACGTCCTAAAGCTTTCGACAAATACTCTGGAAAACCCTAGAGCAGCTGCAGTTGTAGCCGTACCTACACGAAAACTGTGTAGTGTAGAATTGCCATCAAAACAAGCGACTTTAAACAAAAACTATAGTTTGTTAAAGAATTTGCTTTTAGTTAAAAGAGAAAAATTTTCGTGAAAAAACAAAGGACCCTGCTTATTACCCCGGGCAGGGGCGTTACTTGGCCAATAGGTTTGGGGGGGGGGATGAAAAAGGGTTTTTGCCCTGCGAAAACGAGTGGTGCCCTGCAGACCTCGTAGCAAAGGTTTGTCTATAGGAACCCTGGGTACCAGATCACTACCGTGAGTTAAACATCGGTGTAGGGCAGGAAGAATGAGGTTAGCCCCCCATTTGCTATTGCTTTTATTAACATTTTGAATACTAGGGCTCATTGTGAGCTTTATGTAGCAATACATCCCCGGGTCTGAAAACAAAAGTAACGTCATCTGATCAACTCATCAAATCATAGAGAGCATATTCATTAATGTACCGAAGTGTTGAATTTTCTATCCTACAATGTTAAATTTGTTACATGTCTTAGCAATGTTCCTAAAAAGATAACAAAGGAGCTAGGCAACATGCATAATAAAAATCTGATCTTACGGCAGATTTAACAAAATGAATTTCCAGTAGAAAATAGTTGACACCTATCATTTAAAGGAACCGACGCAACAATGAAAGGTCGATTCGTACCGTGCAAAGAAACACTTAAATGTTGAATCTGAGGGGCACTGGCAACAACAACTCCAAGAGGAGCATTCTTTAAGTGCCACAATCTCGTTGCTGACCCGAGAAATTTATGAAAACGTGACACTATTAGGAGGTATTATTTCCTTGTGCACAATACTGAGCAACTTTACTATGCTCGGGCCACACATCCGCGAAACGTTTAAGGTTACGAAATGCACAAGAACCCGAGCTAGCTACCAGCAGCATCAAGTATAACGAAACTATTAAGAGCTAAAATAAACTGCGCCCAGTCAAGCAAACTAAGCAAATTATACCAGTCTTTAGATAGAACAAGACAACAACTTTGAAAGGCAAGAAAGCTGTTACTATAACAACAACTATACCTTCCAAAAAGTGATCTCACAATACGTAGCTGAGCCGTTAAGTCTCTATAAGGGCCAAATTCCGAAAAAAAAATCAAAATGAATTGCAACAAAAGCCTTGTCACAGCAGTATTTTTGTCTCAAGAGCTTTCATTCCAAGAATAAATCCGCTGTTTCCATAGCATGGCTTAAATATAGTAATGAATAATGATGGAAGGCTAATGAAAAGCGCCTAAAGTTAATAATTCATTTAATTTCTTGCTGGGATAGCTTTCAATTACACATGGTCGTTCATAATAAAGAATAGTTGAAAATAAACTACGTGACACAAGTCAGAATAAATGTTATCAAGCAGCAATGAAAACTAGCCCCTCGAGTAAATTCTGCTAAGAAGGCACAAGCTCGAGGCGACATAGTGAATGTCGTGAACAGCATACAAATGCAACTACTCAAATACACACGAGAATTAAATTGCACTGCAAGAAACCAAGCTACAGACACCAGAGCATTTCTAAAACAGCCTCGTAAACATACCTGGAAGCCAGTAGAAGTACTAATACTTCGACAGTCACCTCCTCATCAGCAAGCCTGAGCCAAACACAGTGGCGAGAAAAGAACAGCGTGGAAACAGCATACAGCAAACAAAACCAAAACAAAAAGCCTAGTTATATTGTAGCTTTACCAAGCAAATAAACAGCACACTCTATTCGTCGCCTTTCACCAAGCAAAGAGAAACCAACCTATGCCAAAAAACCTCAAATACCTCTAAGAATAACCTAGAAAATGAAAACCGCCATGAGCCATAAATGTTGCCCTAGCATTACTAAACAAAACCCCCGGAGGCCAAGACTACTTCGCAATACCAATAAACGAGCAACGCAAATGCAAGAGAACCACGAGAAACCGTGGCACATACAACCAAAAAATGAATAACAGTCAATAATCAACTCAGGAGTAACAGCCAGTGCAAAAGCCCCTCGTGAAATTAACTCTGATAAAATTTAATTTAATCATCATCTTATTAAAGCCAACTATATACAGAAAGCGCCTATCAACATTAATTCTAAAATCTAAAAATATTTATTATAATTTATAAATAAATAATTCAAATATTTTACACATACAAATAATTCAATTCTAACTAGATATAGCCACGGTTTGATATGAACGTTTTGCAAAGCTTGCAGTTGCATTTGTCTGTAGTCAATTTTTTGATGCGACCCTTGAAGATTTCTAGGGTGATCACGTGACAACAACAGCAAAGTCAAGGATGATTGGGAGCAACAATGTATAGTTTACTCTTTATCACAGAATAATTTTAGGGCTATGCTTTTATCAACAGATAATCCCTCCTGGAGATTTCTATGACAGACTTCCTCCTCTTGGATCATTTTGCAAAGTACCAAGCTTGTGACAGTTTTAGCACTGTTGTTGAATAGTGCTTCAAGATTTTGATCATGACCGACCATGACCGGGTTTAGCTGATTTATTCGCTACCCACAAATTCCTTATCGTTTGCTTAGTGTGAGGCCTAGCAGATGCCATATCCTGCAAATGATTAACCAAAGCAGAACCATAGTTGGTTCCTCTAGTTGTAAATTGAAGAGGAGCAATTACCTTTGTAAAGAGCTGATTCAAGTCAAAGTTACCAAACGTTTGAGCCTCAAGAAGCCTAAGAACAGCCAGCCCATCTGACAACAGGTAATCAGCAACTAATTTCAGAGCCGGTTGTTTTTTTGTATGCATTAGGCAAAGCAAACGCACATCAGAAAGATTTGTTTCAAATAGTGCATTTGACGTTTCATTTTCTGGTTCAAGAAAACAAACATGCCTGTTAAAGGCAAGAAGCAACTCTATAATTCCCACAAAGATGTCATGATAAAAGAACTGATTATATGCATCAAAATGCTGGACCTTTGGGACAGTGGGGTCATCTAAAAAAGCTACAGCATGCTTTTCAAGGTGAAAGTTCCCATAGCACTTTCAGCTTTTCGAGTTTTTCGTGCAAATTTCCAAGCTTATGAAACGACCCTGAAAAATTTTCTGCAATCCAAGAAAACCTGAAAGGGTAAGTATGCAACATGCGAGCTTTGTGCCCCCAAACCTGATGATCTGCACCAATTATCACTACTTGGGAGATAGAAGGGTAATCAACCCAACCAAATGGGTGATCAAAGAGAAAGACGAAAGAAAGATCCCAAATGATGCTCGGTCTCACATGAGCATCACTTTCTTTAGATGTACCTAGTCTGTCCCACACAGTCTTTACAGACAAAGAAGATATAGGGTGTTCAGCAGGAAAATACTTTTTGAGATTGCCAAGTGCATTTTCAATGGAAGTGGGATCGAGCTATTCAGCATTTAAGGAACTGACAAGAGTCTTGTTGTAACTGATCAATATGTACTGATGGCTTTCCTTTCCTGTCGTTTCTGCAAACATTTTCAATGATTTATCAAAAGACTGAACTCGTTCCTTTATTTTATCATTAAAAGCTAACAGGACAGCAAGCTGATTGTAGCTTGCAGCTAAAATGGTATGATTTTTAGGCAAAGTTTGGGGAAAGATATTATTTGATACAGATAACTTTTCGATGGCTAACTGATATTGACCAAGAGATGCAAGTGCGCAACCTATCAGGCTTCAAGATAGCCCTTGTGGTATGCATCAAGCTCATTCCCATTCTGGTGAATAACAACATCTTTTAGAACCTCAAAGCATTCCCTCGCTTTTCCCATCTGCATCAGACAAACACCAAGATTCAGTTACACAATCACCTTCAATATCGAGAAGTTGCAAGCTAGTAAGTTTGGCAAAAGGGCTGTGTTAGAGGAAATTTCAGAGTTAGCCTCAAAATAACCATAAACAGTTGATGGGCTTTCAGTACATGGATTGAGGTGTCCAACCTTTCTAAGCAACTCTGCATACACCATTGCCAACACTTCCGGGATTGTCATTAATACACCCTCTACCTTTAACACAATTGATAAGACTAAGGCCTGGTTCAAACGTCGCACTTCTCATGTGCCGAACCTAACTCTGTTTGGAGCGACACTTGAGCATGTTTAGCGCGACTCCCGTTTCAAACGTCGAACTTAATTATGTCGCGCCAAATGGGTTTTAGGATTGTTACATGAAGTATCTTGGTTAAGGCGCGCAATCTCAAGTATTGGTTTGAAACGCATGCGCCCTCCAAGAAAGAAATGAATTCTGGGAAGGAAAATAAATTAAATATAATTATGCATTGAGTTCGGTACATGACAAGTTCGACGCTTGAAACCGTGCCGTGCTGGAGCCGTGCAGCTCGGCAAGCTCTGCTGATCCAAACTAGTCTGTCGCTCCTAACTAAATCTGCCGTACCAAATTGATTCAAACGTCGCGCCCCTCATGTACTTAATTCTCGAGTTAGGTTCGGCACATGAGAAGCGCGACGTTTGAACCAGGCCTAAGAATGTCTTTAATAGCTGTAAAAGTTTCATTTCTTTGATCTTTTATTTTCCCCGCAATCACTAGTGATAGTAATGCGCTCTTTGCTCCAACATTATCAGCCAACCGTGGTGTTTCTGTTTTTAGCACCCACTCTGCTGTGCATATTGGGTCATTAAAAGCTTTAGGTGGGATATTTGTATTGTCATCAGTGCTATGTTGAGCCATTGCCTTAACAACTTCATCACAATCAAGATACTGATGAATTTGATGAATTGAGACAAAAGTAAGTTTTCAGAGCCTATTTAATGTACCAGGGCTCCAAGCGTACTGAGAAAAATCCCTTTGCAGAAAGTCAAGAATTTCAGCTCTTCGCAAGCTTCTGGCAACCATACAGCGAATAAATTTTTGAAGTTCGTTATCCTCTGTCCATTCGTTATTTCTTTTATATTCTGGAGCCATATGGAGCAAAATCTCCCTTTCTTGGCTACATAAGCCAAAGGTAATTTATTTTGAAAATCAAAAAGGGCGCGAAAAGCTCCATGGAAATGAGGCGCTTATTCTTGCAAAGCATTGTGGTCTATGAGAACGCTGGGCCGATCGTGACATTTCATTTTGAAAATGAAAACGAAAATGTTTCTTTTGACAACTTTCAATGTGATTTTCAGAAACAAAAAGAAAATATTCTATTTGAAACTTGGAAATGGAAATGATTCTTTAATTTTTTTATTATGTTTATTCTGCTTTTTGACATGTTATTTTATACTTCAAGAAAATAATTTGATTTTAATGTCAAATTTACCACAAATATCTGTGATTTTTTTAAATTTCATAAAATATCTTTCTGTTTTTTGAATGAGAATGCTGGGCCACCATAGAGGAGGGCTCTGTTTGTAAAGATCTATTATGACATTTTTGTCTGGAATGAACTCTAATAGAGATGTTAAAAAGTGAGTGAGTTATTCAGCATTATGAATTGTTGTGAAAATTGTTGTGCATTTTTGGATTGTTTCAAGATTGTTCATCTCAATCCAATGCAAGTTTGATGGTGTATTTCTTATCTAATTTTTGAGCCCAAATGATACCCAGAATTGTCTTGCTAAATAACTGTCTTTGAGATCTTTAGTATATGAGTAGGAGAGCCCACATATATTAAATAGTGTCATTAAACTTTTACTACATGTCAAAGATATATCATTTGATAACACCTTATGCACAGGGGTAAGAAACCAAAAGAAGCTGATGTATTGCCCTGAAATTTTCAATCAAGGCATCAATCTCTTCATTTTTTGGAATTGAAAATTGTGTGTTTGTGTTATTTTTTTGTTTGCGAATTGTGAAATTTGATTCTTTGCATGTCATTTCTTTTAGAGCTCTATTAACAAAGAAATCTTGCAAGAGAAATTTTTTCCAAAAAGTGTCCTCAGAAAGACTGCAGTGTCTTATGGAGGAATTTGCATGTCTTCATGAAGCTGACAAGAGATCTGCAATCAAGAAATTGCGGGATTGAATGACCAGGCTCGCCTTTTTCAAATAATAGGAGGTTACTTCCTGAAAAAATCTCTGGTGACAAGGGTGCTGTAAAAGTCTCCATTCTTAAACCATGGCATCTTTCAATAGAATTGTCAGTGCAAATGACAGTGCTTTGCCCACCTAATTGGCGGTTTTCAACCTTTTCAACTCCGAAGAAAGTGCACAGCAATTGCAGACCATCATAGTCTTCAATTTTGTCACCACTAACTCTAAATTTATTTCCAAGGAGGGGCTTTAGTCTATGTGTAGTCCTACTCTGGGCTAAAAAGCAAGCATCTTTGTAGACTGCCTTCCAAATGTGGCATGACAGTGCTCCCTTGATAAGCTGGTATATTTTCAGGTACTTTAGACTTTGCTGAAGAGCTTTCTTTAGGGAAAAGAGGGGAGACTGCCGCATTGCTAAATAGAACATTTCCAGCATTTGAAGAGAGTGGGGTTGTACTTTGCTCTTCTTGATGACAGACTGCCTGGAAGGGCTAACCACAATGGAATCTGAGATTTCATGGTTGTTTATGGGGCTGTCAGTAGTGTTGTTAAAATACTGATGGTCTAAAGTAACTGTTTCTGTTGTTGACAGTTGTGATTCATGAGTTTATGGGATGACAAATCTTGTTTCATGGGGATTGTCTCTTGCTACATTTTCACTTGGCAGTTTTTCAAATATGATTTTATGTTAATTCTTTTTCAAATGTATTTTTTTTATCTCTTAAAGCTACAAATTGCATCTGCAAAATCACACAATTTGCAGTGGTAGTGGCAAACATTCTGTTCAGATGAGTATGAACAGTTTAAAGTTGGATATTTGAAGAGATTTGTTGTTATCGCTGAGGATGGTTTCTTTGGGTGTAAGGTGAAATATTCACCCACTTCATTGCCTTGTGACATGATTGTTCAGAATTAGGAAGTATCAATGAACAAAAAACCATTAAAATATCACTTTCAGCAAAGCCAATACCGCCTCACGCTGTTGGATCTCTCTCATCACCCCCAAAATACCCAATAATCCATACAACATAAATACTTTCTCTGTATCTTCTGCCCCCCTCCCAAACCAAAAATGCCAATCAAATATCACAAAAATATTTGTTCATCTCCTTTTTAATCCAAATACCCACCCTAAAATACCCACTCACAAAATACCAACCCAAAAATACCCACCCACAAAATGCCTACCAAAAAATACCCACCCACAAAAAACCCACTCACAAAAAACGCACCCACAGAAAAACCACCTAAAAAATACCAAACCAAAAATACCCACGCACAAAATACCATCCACAAAATAGTGTTCTTTAATTATTTTGTTATTTTGCCCGCCCCCTCTAATATAAGCACACCTTTTTGTAGACTTGGGCCCACACTTCAGATATTCACTTCAAATGCTTTAAAACCAAAAACCAGTTGTTAACTAACTTAACTAGGGGTATCTCAGACCCAAGCACTATACAAAGTGAATTGAAACAACAGCTAAAAAGGTAATCTACAGTATGAAACTAAAAAGAGAAGATTCTGATGAGTAACACAGCAAACACCTGAGAAAACGGTCCTCGGCTGGTAAAGTAAACTGAAGTTCGATTCCCGCAACAATTTAGGTGCGAAAGGCGCAGCTCCTATTTCCCAGTTTATGTTTATGTTCATGCGCAGTTTATATTAGGGTTTTGCCCTTTGTATGTGTGTCAGGACAAAAAGAACTACACCTTCCAAACAGAATTAAAACAAAAATGGATGATATATTGTTGCACCTAACTTCAGAAAGCACCTTTCTCTGTTCTGACGTTTTCTATTAAAAGGACTTTTATTCATGTAATTGTAGTCGAATGTTAAAAAGTGACATTGAAAAAGTAGAAAATATGTTGATCCTCCAAATTACATATTTGTTAATGTGCATTTTTATACTGGCAACTGATTGAAATTCAAATACCAAGTGTTTGCCAGAGCATGGGCTCCGACAAAGGTTGAAAAGTGGGGGGGGGGCAAGAGAAAATTTAACACTCATAACAGAAGATTTTGAAAAAAACTCTATTGTTTTCCAAAAAAGTGTGGGGCCAAGGCCCTCCAGGCCCCCCTTTGTCAAAGGCCCTGCAGAGCAGAGGGTGTGCAAGCCACTTGCCTGCCCCCATCCCTTTTTACTCGTATCTGAACTCAAGTCCGATCGGCTTCAAATATTTCCCAATTGCCTCATTCATTCGCTTGTTCATCTCATCGTCAAAATAATTCTTCCAGTCTCCAACTTCTCCTTTTCGAATAAAATCCCCTTTTGTAGTTAGCAAATTTTTTTCCCGTAAACTCTCCATGTTTACGGCTTTGTTTTCCTTCATTTTTTTGAAGCTCAAATGGTCAACTAAAATCTGCACTTGGCCGTCTGTCATTTCTTTCTCTAGAAATCTTGCCACTCGTCTGACATTGCTAGCCAAATCAGCTTTCATTTCTTCGTAAAACAAAATACACATATTGGGGTGGTTTCTTCTTTGCCATGCCTCAGCCACATAGTCAAAATACGGACAGAAATAGCATAAATCATCCATGAACAGGTTAAAGAAAGCCTTAAACTCACCAACGAAATTTACGTGCTTCATTAACTGTTGATGATGATAAAATGATACCACAGTGTCTTTAGGGTTTCGCAAACATAGAACCACTTTGCTCTTGTCTAACAGATCGTCAGGAAAAAGGCAGAATGCAAGATGAGACTTTAAGATTCGTGGCGAAGCCATATTTTCGATGGCCGAGATATGATCATCACCAAGGAACTGGAAAAGAACGGGTGCTTCCAGAAATGGAACTCTCTCCATTAAATCGACGGACTTGGCCTTTCCGATGTCACAGTCATTCTGGACGCACCATACAAGCTCCTGTGTCCAGGTTGTCCCATTCTTTGGAAAAGCAAAAACATAAATATCATCTTTGCGTACATCCCAGCATTTTATTCTGTCTTTAACCTTTTCGTAAGCTGCAGGAAGAACATAATTCCCAGGTATTGTTCTGATCAATGTACGGCCTAAGTTTATAAAAGTGCTTGGATATTCTTGCTTTATTCTCTCGGTGTCCTCTTCTGAAAGTGGCGCTGTACGAACGGCTGCCATATTTTTAATCGGATGTTGAAAATATTAGAGGACCTTTAACCCATGTTCTATTATTCTATTATTCAAGACAGTACCAAAAGAATTTCAGGTCGTAGTCATATTGCATATCCTAGTTCAGTTAAGTGGCGAAAAAGTTAATGTGAGTGGCAGCTAGAATTCGGTTTTTACTAAACTATGGAATCACCCAAAACGTGCCAAAACGACCCATAACCAGCCATTACCAGCCAGCCAAAACCAGCCAAAACCGGCCAAAACCGCCCAAACCGCCAAAACCGGCCAAAACCGGCCAAAACCGGCCAAAACCGGCCAAAACCGGCCAAAAACCGGCAAAACGGCCAAAACCGGCCAAAACCGGCCAAAACCGGCCAAAACCGGCCAAAACCGGCCAAAACCGGCCAAAACCGGCCAAAACCGGCCAAAACGACCCATAACCAGCCAAAACCGGCGAAAACAAGCCAAAACCGGTCAAAACAAGCCAAAACCGGTCAAAACAAGCCAAAACCGGCCAAAACCAACCGTGACGACCCAAAATTACACAGAACGACCCAAACGATCCTAAAAGTTGCAAATAGCATCGAGCAGAACGACCATTTTCGCGCCTTTTTTCGTCCTGTGCAGAGGGGGGCATCGTCTTTCAGGGTATATCTATATTATAGTTTACTCAAAGGCATTGGTTCTTAGCCCGGGGGGCACTCATATGTTTTCGCATACAAGGATGTGCCGACCAACTGCGTATTGTTTTCAGACTTAAGACTCAAGGACAGGGTATCACTTTTTGACTCTGACCCCATGACAGGGTTGTACTTTTCTTTATTGGACAGGGTTATAATGCGTGAAACCATAGCAAAAATAAAATTTTGAATTATGACAATTTAAATTTTTGATAAACTAAACAGCGCAGAATGAACCACAATTGATTGCCGAAACTGTAGAATGTTTTTTGAAACTATAAAGGAGAATAATCTATGCTGGTTGATAGCCTTGACAAGTTCCGGGACAGGGTATCAGTTTTTTTAATTTGAATCCAAAACAGGGCGCCTTTGCGTATTTCATGGGGCTTGTCCCCGTATTTAGTAAAGTGTAGTACCCCCCTCCGGGATTGTTGGCAAATGCTACAACTACTTCCACTGCCTTTAAGAGGAAATTATACCGTACAGTTCATAATTAATTTTGTCATTATGGCTTAACAATGCTATCTTTCACGAGAATTTGGCAGCTCGTTAGTGGAATATCGAAAATTGTAAAAAATATCGAAAAAAGTATATTAGTGATAATTCCTAAGAATTTTTAAGTAACAACAGTGAAAGCTTTTGAGTTATCTTTGAAAAATATCAGTAAATTACCAATTTTGTGCATGGAAGCAACTGAAAAACGTCATGTTTTTTGCCCCCACCTCAACAATTGGGTTGAATTATTGTCCACGTTTAATCATTTTCAATTTTTTTGATTTAAAACAAAGTAACAACAGAACTTTCTAAATAATAGCCATCTAAAATCCATGCCTCAAACACATTAACATAATAAAATGTTCTCAATAATTCTTCAAAATTTTGATGCCATATCAAATAATGTAATCTTTGTATACAAGAATTTATAAGAAACTTAAAATGTTTTTCCTTTTATTAGCTATGATACAAGTATTGTTAAATATCTTAAAAATATCTATAATGAGTTCAGGAGATTCTGTCAAGAGGATTCCTGCCAATTGTCGCCTCAGGTTCAGTTCCACTGTTTCAATTCTCTCCTGGGCTGGGGAGAAAGTTGTGTTAATAAACTTTGAGGTGGAAGAAATTTATCGCCCTCATTTTCTTGGTTGTCCACTTTCAGTCCCCGTACACAGGATGAAAAAGGGGGCGAAAACGGTCGTTCTGCTCAATGCTATTTGCAACGTTTTGAATCGTTTTGGGTCGTTCTGTGTAATTTTGGGTCGTTACGGCTGGTTTTGGCTGGTTATGGGTCGTTTTGGCTGGTTTTGGCTGGTTTTGGCTGGTTTTGGCTCGTTATGGGTGATTACAGAGCTTAGTTCAACCGGCTAGAATTTTTCCAAAGCGTCAAAGCAGCAAAAATATATCAGATAACGAGAATGAACATAGCTATAACTGACAGTAAGTTGCATTCCAACAAAAGCATTAGGGAGTAGGAACGTCCATTCAAAAACCCATCAAATTCGTTCTGAAGGCATGCAAGGTTGCTCATACAGAGTTTATCATGGACCAAAAGCATAAACCAATGCTCATATAGTGAGAACAAGTTGGGCATCTGGCCATTAAGGATAGATTTTCTTCAAGTAATTACTTACAAAACCTTGGCTTTTTATCTTATTGTGCACCGAACAGGATACAAAGCAGATAAATCATGAAAGTCTTTTGAAATCATCTTTTGAAAAACTAAAACAGACATATTATATGCTTAATCCCCTTATAAAAATCCTTTCCAGGAAGTGGGCCTGCGAGTGCACCAGCCCTTGACTGCCTGGAGAATAATTCTCTTTAAGGTCTGTGGCAACAATGGAAAACTGTTTTCCGGCTGATGCACTTGCCCGCGAGGCGACTGTCTCCGGGGGAAAGCTTGAAAGCAGAAATTGGAAAAGAAAAATTAGCCAAGAAAAGGTAGAAAGAAAAAGAGAGGAGTGGATGGGTAGAGAAGCTTGAAAAGCGTATCTATCTGTCTCGTTCTGCTTGCAGAAGGATATGCACTAGCTACCGTGCCATGTGGGCGTACCATGACCACATGGGGAAATTAAGGGAACGGAAGAACTATTGTTGACAGGACAATAGGTAATCAAGTCACATGTGGTATTTTTACTAGTGGATTAACTCTGTTTAACCATGTTTTTACGATGGTGGTGACATCATCAAATGTCACACGTTAACCAGGAGGTCTTGATTAAGGTGCCAGTTACACTACATCGGATTGCTATCGGAGCGGAGTAACTTTCATATCGGATAGGGGTTTGATTTACACTACGCCACACCAATCCGATACACAACGCTCTGATTAGCGGAGTGAAAATCACTCCGCTCTGGAGGTGATACAGAAATCACTCCGAAGTCAATCCGTAGCGTAGCGTTGTAGTGTAATCGCACGAATCCGATATGCTCCACTTTAAAACAAAGGATTTTCTTATTGCTTTCTGCTTGACGCAATTCGATCGATAGTGAACAATGGCGCTTTCTGAGATTTTGTTGCTGTTGGATAATGCAAAATCGAAATCATCAAAACATTTTTGTATTTGGATTTCATCTGTTCCCAAATTTTAATGAAGTGGCCCTTGGGCGAAAAACATACTTCAAAACATCAGATAGCAACACAATATCGCTATCCGTCCTACGAACCCCATAATTTATCTCTCAATATAATGGTTGTTTTCGTTATTTTATGCATAGCTATTGAAAACGAATTCGCAACAGCACATAGATTCGAAAATATCATCAAAAAATTTTATCTGGTGGATTTTGTGTATCAGAAATACAAAGGAATGCAGGCTTATGAGCGAGCGGAGCGTCGTAGTGTAACTGCTACCCTAAATAACACTCCGGAGTAAAAGTTACTCCGCTCTGCTCCGCTCCGATAGAAATCCGGTCCAGTGTAACTCTAGCCTAAAACGCAGAAGCGCTGGTTGGGACCGGACTGGACCGATTCGGTTTCCTGTCATTGTTCGATGATTGGCCCTTCCTAGAAAATCATTCACTATATGCTTAATTGTACTGCAATACAGCATGGTACCAGCGAAATTGGGACCAATTTTGGGTTTGATGGACAGAAATACTAAGCACAGGGCTAGATCGGGACCGACTTTATCGCTATCAAATTCGAGGGGCATTTCACTTAAAAAAATCCCGTACAACCCCTCTGAAAATCCGAAAAAAATCCGAAAATCTGTGTCGCGAATTGGTTGAAGCGCGACAACAAAAAACTCACAAGATTTGATTTTCCATCTCCATCTATTTTTTCCAACCAAAACGTACAGCGATAACATAAAAACCACAGCGGAAGCTCGCTCCCACACTGTTCTCCTCACAATCACCCGTTCTACTCGAACCGCTCTTTGTGTCTAACAAACAATAAAAAGGTTAAAGGTCATTCAAGATGATATTGTTGATGAAATTTGTCGCAAACCTCCCCTACATTCCCCATTTGCGCCCCTGATTCAGTGTCTCAATAAGTTGATACATTTATGCTTTGCAATTTAATATAAAATATACTTGAGATGATTGCGTTTGAGAATGCTGGAATGGAAAAATGCTGACGCAGATGTTTCAAAACTTTATCTTCTATCCATATCTTAGAAAACGGAAGCTTATTGCTTGTAGATATCCCAAACAATCTCCTTTTCTGCTTTTCATTTAATAAATAAAGGTTGCTACGTGCTGAAGTTTTACTTTTCGATGTTTCATTATAATTCTATTAAAAATGAACGGATAGCTATGTCTTGACAGTATTAATTTGAAAGGTGTCTAGCTGTTTGTGAAAAATAAGGACAAACGGTATCAAACAAAAGCTATTCCTAGCTTTTGAAACAACACGGGCTCTTTAAGCTCGTGAATTTTATGGCTGTGATAAACAACTATGGCAGCCATTGAGATAGTGACGCTCTCTGAAGAAGATACAGAAAAGCTAAAGCAGGTTTACCCAAACCCGTTTGTCAAATTGGGGCTGAGGTTCATTCGAGTGAAGCCGAGCAATTGTGTGCTCCCTTCTGCTTATGAGAAGTACAAAAACCAATTCAAGAACTGGGATGTGCGGAAAGACGATGTCTACGTGTTAACGTTTGCAAAAAACGGCACAACTTGGACACAGGAGCTCGTTTGGTGCCTTCAGAACAACTGTGACATTGAAAAGGCAACAGGTAGTCTCTTACATGAACGTGTGCCATTTTTAGACATGGCGGTTCTTTCTGACCATGTGAAGCATTTGGCACCAGTCAAGACGGTAGATCCTTTAATTCTGGCCGAAAACATGGATTCACCAAGGGTTTTAAAATCCCACCTCCCATTTTGCCATTTTCCAGATGACATGCTTGACAAATGCAAGGTTGTCACATGCTTGCGAAATCCAAAGGATACTGTTGTTTCCTTTTACTTCCACGAAAAATTGATAAAACTTCATGACTACGATGGAAGTTTTGAAACATACTTTGATCTCTTCATGGAAGACCTCATACTTTACACACCGTATTTCGAGTTTGTGGCTGAAGCATGGAGGAGAAGAGATCACCCGAATCTTTGTATCTTGTTTTTCGAAGATATGAAAGAGGATTTGGCCAGCTGTGTCAGAAAGGTGGCTAAGTTTCTCGGGAAAGACGTCACAGAGCAACAAGTTCAGATTCTAGTTGACCATTTGAGCTTCAAAAAGATGAGAAGAAATAGGTCTGTGAACCTGGAAAGATTTCAGGATGGGAAGATCTTGGATAAAGAAGGGAGCTTTCTTCGGAAGGGAGAAGTAGGGGATTGGAAAAATTATTTCACTGATGCGATGAACAAGCGAATGGAAGAGGCAACTGACAAATATCTAAAGCCGATTGGACTTGAGTTCAGATACGAGTAGTCAAATTTGTCAGGATAAACTTATACAAATATCATTAACACTGGATTCTTTTGTTTTATGTTTTGTTGTTCTTTGTCTGCGACAGCATGGGAAGCCACAATGGATTGCCTGCCTTTTCAATTTTGTCAATTGAGAGAAAACGGTTTACAATGCTGTTATCCCAAGGGACCTTGCCATGCACCATGCCATGCACCATGCCATGCACCATGCCATGCACCATGCCATGCACCATGCCATGCACCATGCCATGCACCATGCCATGCACCATGCCATGCACCTTGCCATGTCAGGCAACCGCAGCATAGGTTCCAAATCTTTGATTGGCTGAGCGACCTAAAATTCTGCATACCCCATTAGCCAATCAGAATTCAAGAAAATGACAACAAACGTACCTCGCAGCTAAATTTAGGCCTATTCCGGACGTTTTTACCACTACCCACAAAAATAATAGTGTAAAATGTGCTGACATAAATTTTCTTTAAAAAATTGAGTCTTTGATGAATTTACGAAGAAACTGCCGTTGTACTCAGCAAAAAGTTTTCCGCCATCGTTAGTTACAAAGGCTTGAAACTGTCTCTTTCAAATCCTTATAATCATTAGGTTGGAGGGAGAACAGAGAAATGACAGTTTTTTAACCTTAAAGTTGTTTTATCAACGTAATTAACAAATATGAACTTACCTTCACAAGCCAATGTTAAAATCTTTTCTTGTCGGCATTGATGTTTGTGTTAACGACGAAATAAATCGCTAAATTCCACTGAGAGAAAATGCAGTCCACCTTTCTCTTAATTGTACAATTTCCTTTGCGCTCAGGTACTTTGAATATTCATTTTAAAGACTTGGAGACTGATGAGAAGCTCACATCCACTGATGTTCACTGCTACGGCCTTGTAAAAGCTGACGCAATTCGTCAAGGATGAAAAGGGCGGGAAAATGAAATATGCATCATTCTTGAAAAATTCCTTTGCTGCAACTAACGCTTTTAAAGATCCGATAAAAACGAAGCGTGTCGAGCAGGACGGACAAATCCCGACATCGATGGCTGGGCCTACAAACATGAAGTTCTTCCTAGATAAATTTCATTCTTTTTTAATCTAAGGCCCATGGGAGAGGGGCATTTGCGAAATATTTGTACAGGAGTGTCAGATCACACGTTTGACAGGCTGATCAATCAATAAACCAAATTTTTTCCAAATTGAAAACATCCACAGACTTGCAATGCTAGAGTACAATATGAATACAAACATATTTGAAAAGGCCTTTGAAAGAAGCAAAAATGTTTTATTGTTCAAAGGTCTCCCTTTTCCCATATGCTCTTTTAAAGCGTTTATAAAGTGTTCGCTAAAGTCATTTTCAAATTTGGTACCGACAAAAAAGTGTCACAAAAACATCTTTACGACAGGGTGAACAAACTGTCCATTCCAAGACAGATTTCTCAAGAGAATAACCCAATTGCTGTTTTTTGGTTATAAAAATATAAATTGCTTGCAGATTTTTACTGAGACATTGGGACCTATTCACAGTCTCTTTAAAATCTAGCCATATTTGTCGCACATTATGGCCCAATATTAGAGTGCCCACGGAGCCCTCACTTCAATCACAGCCTGCAGAAATTAAATAAACGAAAAGTTAACGTGCAGTTAGAATGTGTGGAAATTTTCAAATGGCAAGAGCTACACATGTTTTGCAAAGGGTCCTGTTTGTAAATTTCCCAGTTCGTAATTTCGTCGTTAAAGAAAAAAAGATAGCTGTTGCAAGGGAAACCTAAATTACTTGTTACAATATTAGATACAAAAATGTTACTTTTAACCGTAACCAATTACAATATTTTCATAAAGCGCGTTGGTATTTAATGCTTATTTTTGTTTACTCAGCTTGCAGAACTGACTACCTAATTTTCTGGCAAATTTTGCTTATTTGATGCTTCTGGGTATGTTGCTACAAAACGTCTCCAATGAGCCCTACTAAATTTTACAGTCTTTGTTATTCATACTGTATAGATTATTCCCTCCTGTCACGTGATTAACTTATTGCCGCCATGATGGATCACAACCTAGTCTTATTTACCCAATAAGGATTTGAAACAGACAGTTATCTTCGCCGATTTCGAAATAGTATTCATCTAGAATCGCTGGCATGTGTATTTAGCCAACTTGTTTGATTTAGTAAAGCATGATAAAATTCGATTTCGACTTAAGAAAAGCTCCGTTTTTATCTCAAAAGATAGCTAAATAAGAATTCAATAAAGTCAAAATAAATGGTTTTATAAGGCCATCATAAAAAATAATGATAAAATAATACATTTGTTTATACAGAATTTGTCATTTCAGCAACAAACGTGCTGTTATCAATAAAGGCTCTGTTACTGAATAACATAAAAGGAAAAAAATTGAATACACTAAAAATTTAATTACTTACAACCAGAAAATTAGATTTAGTTACAAAAGAAAGATAAAGTGATTTTGACAAATGACCATCTGCCCTTAAATACGTTTCTTACGATAAAAGTGTTATCTTGTCTTCCATTCAACAATTAAGATATGTTCTAGAGAATATATGTCTCTTAAATGTTCTTTAAAACTGTACGGTCCTTGAAAGTTAAGGAATTTTTCCGTAGTCTCTGTTTTGACCAAGTCTCATGTTTCGGACATTTGACCAAGTCTAACATGAGATACTTTTTATGCAATAGATTAGAAAATAATAATTTACTTGGAGATACAAAATACATTCACTTTCAATAAAACTACAATAAATTTTACAAGCCTTGATATTCTTAAAAAAATTTCGCTTTGTGTCTAGATATATTCTTAAATATTTTTTGGAACACTCTGATCTGGTTTCTCGGGGAACCTTACCAACCCACGAAGAAAACGAGATGCTCGGTCATGCAATTATCTGTTACAAACATCGGAAAAAGAGAACTGTTGAACAATAAGACTCAATTATACGATCTGAGGCAGAGTGAAATTCTAATGATTTTCTGAAAAAATCAAAAAAGGTTTCTTCTTTCATTAACTACCCTCAAAACCCTTTAAAAAGTCAGTTGCATGTTCTCTTTACTAAATTAAAATTACACGGTTCCAGGGCCTAATTTAGTGTGGTTTTCCCCACAGTTTGTGGTCTTGGAAATCCAAAATGTGGTCTTGGAAATTCAAAATTGTGAAATGGGTTTTTCATTTTGGTTATATTTTTGTTATAAATATGTTTTTCTGTTGATAGAGTTTTGAAACTTTATAACATAACAGAACAGTACAAAACATCCATGATTCGTAGCGCAAGTTCCTTGGTCCAGATTAAACTGGTTGAACAAGAGCGATTATGTTACAGCCAATCAGCTTTTTGCTCTCAAATGGTGTTAAAGCCAATCAGAGCTTATAAAAGACCCCTGAATCTAGCGACAATAACGACAATGGCGGCCAAACAGCCACCAAGCTGCTTTAAAAAGTGCACGCTTTTCCAAATATAAGGAAAAAGCGCCCTCTGAGAATCTACAGAATCGTGGGCCAGCTCAGGTTCTGCAGATTATGAGGTACTCTTTCAACGATGATGAGTACATGGTAATTCGAACAGCCCTCGCAACGATTGTAGCAGCTAAGCCGCATTCTGCAGACGTTGAACGTTTGATCAGCACATGCAAGAAAATAAAAACAAATGACTGTGCCTTCCTGTCTCCGCAAAGCATGTTCAATTATCTGTATGTGTCTCAAAACATGCCAAGCGTATCAGAATTTGACCCTACTTCAACTGCTTTGTTTTGGATAAACAAAAAGCAACAACGGGAACATTAGGTATCGAAAGCAAAGGAGCAAGAATGGTTCCTTAAAGTATTTCCGGAAGCAGTTGATGCCTACAAAGAGAGAAGGATCAGAAAAAATGAAAAAGCAAACCTGATGTCGATTTCTGAAACCTGAAATAATTGAAACGGATCAGCTTACTCTAAGGCCCCCAATAAATGGATTCCCCCCATTATTAGTTTCTCGAAAATCTTAAGTTTTACTTTTCGATGTTCAATTCTATTTCTATTAAAATTGAACGGATAGTTATGTCTTGACAGTATTAATTTGGAACTGTCTAGCTGTTTGTGAAAAATAAGGACAAACGGGATCGTTTATTGGAAACAAAAGTTCTTTCTAGATTTTGAAACGACACGGGCTCCCTAAGAGCAAAAGTATTGTTCCATTTCGAACCTTGAAATCTTGCTGTTCAATATGAGCCTTCGCTAACAAAAGAGTGTCTACGTGAAGTATTTGCAGAATTATCAGACACCGTAGGTCTCAGGTGAGATTCCTTTCATTATGCTCAGTACAAGACGTTCCAATGGCGAGTACGGTTCTAGGTGTAATCGACGGCAGCATCAGTAAATAGCGCTGTGATTTCTATGGTTGTGATAAACAACTATGGCAGCGATTGAGATAGTGCCTCTCTCTGAAGAAGATACAGAAAAGCTAAAGAAGGTTTACCCAAACCCGTTTGTCAAATTGGGGCTGAGGTTCATTCGAGTGAAGCCGAGCAATTGTGTGCTCCCTTCTGCTTATGAGAAGTACAAAAACCAATTCAAGAACTGGGATGTGCGGAAAGACGATGTCTACGTGTTAACGTTTGCCAAAAACGGCACAACTTGGTCACAGGAGCTCGTTTGGTGCCTTCAGAACAACTGTGACATTGAAAAGGCAACAGGTAGTCTCTTACATGAACGTGTGCCATTTTTAGACATGGCGGTTCTTTCTGACCACGTGAAGCATTTGGCATCAGTCAAGACGGTAGATCCTTTAATTCTGGCTGAAAACATGGATTCACCAAGGGTTTTAAAATCCCACCTCCCATTTTGCCATTATCCAGATGACATGCTTGACAAATGCAAGGTTGTCACATGCTTGCGAAATCCAAAGGATACTGTTGTTTCCTTTTACTTCCACGAAAAATTGATAAAACTTCATGACTACGATGGAAGTTTTGAAACATACTTTGATCTCTTCATGGAAGACCTCATACTTTACACACCGTATTTCGAGTTTGTGGCTGAAGCATGGAGGAGAAGAGATCACCCGAATCTTTGTATCTTGTTTTTCGAAGATATGAAAGAGGATTTGGCCAGCTGTGTCAGAAAGGTGGCTAAGTTTCTCGGGAAAGACGTCACAGAGCAACAAGTTCAGATTCTAGTTGACCACTTGAGCTTCAAAAAGATGAGAAGAAATAGCTCTGTGAACCTGGAAAGATTTCAGGATGGGAAGATCTTGGATAAAGAAGGGAGCTTTCTTCGGAAGGGAGAAGTAGGGGATTGGAAAAATTATTTCACTGATGCGATGAACAAGCGAATGGAAGAGGCAACTGAGAAATATCTAAAGCCGATTGGACTTGAGTTCAGATACGAGTAGTCAAATTTTTCAGGATAAACTTATACAAATATCATAAACACTGGATTCTTTTGTTTTATGTTTTGTTTTTCTTTGTCTTCGACAGCATGGGAAACCACAAGGGATTGCCTGCCTTTTCAATTTTGTCCACTGAGAGAAACGGTTTACAATACTGTTATCCCAAGGGACCATGCCATGCACCATGCCGTGCACCATGCCATGCACCATGCCATGTCAGGCAACCGCAGCATAGGTTCCAAATCTTTGATTGGCTGAGCGACCTAAAATTCTGCATACCCCATTAGCCAATCAGAATTCAAGAAAATGACAATAAACTTACCTCGCAGCTAAATTTAGGCCTATTTTGGACGTTTTTACCACTACCCACAAAAATAATAGTGTAAAATGTGCTAACATAAATTTTCTTTAAAAAATTGAGTCTTTGATGAATTTACGAAGAAACTGCCGTTGTACTCAGCAAAAAGTTTTCCGCCATCGTTAGTTACAAAGGCTTGAAACTGTCTCTTTCAAATCTTTATAATCATTAGGGTGGAGGGAGAACAGAGAAATGACAGTTTTTTAACCTTAAAGTTGTTTTATCAACGTAATTAACAAATATGAACTTACCTTCACAAGCCAATGTTACAATCTTTTCTTGTCGTCATTGATGTTTGTGTTAACGACGAAATAAATCACTAATTTCCACTGAGAGAAAATGCAGTCCACCTTTCTCTTAATTGTACAATTTCCTTTGCGCTCAGGTACTTTGAATATTCATTTTAAAGACTTGGAGACTGATGGGAAGCTCATATCCACTGATGTTCACTGCTACGGCCTTGTAAAAGCTGACGCAATTCGTCAAGGATGAAAAGGGCGGGAAAATGAAATATGCATCATTCTCGAAAATTTACTTTGCTGCAACTAAGGCTTTTAAAGATCCGATAAAAACGAAGCGTGTCAAAGGCTGACAAATCCCAATATCGATGGCTGGGCCAAGAAACATGAAGTTCTTCCCAGATAAATTTCATTCTCTTTTAATCTAAGGCCCATGGGAGAGGGGCATTTGCGAAATATTTGTACAGGAGTGTCAGATCACACCTTTGACAGGCTGATCAAGCAATAAACCAAATTTTCTCCAAATTGAAAACATCCACAGACTTGCAATGCTAGAGTACATTATGACTACAAACATATTTGAAAAGGCCTTTGAAATACGCAAAAATGTTTTATTGTTTAAAGGTCTCCCTTTTCACATATGCTCTTTTAAAGCGTTTGTAAAGTGTTCGCTAAAGTCATTTTCAAATTTTGTACCGCCAAAAAATTTTCACAAAATCATCTTTACGGCAGGGTGAACAAATTGTCCATTCCAAGACAGATTTCTCAAGAGAATAACCCAATTGCTGTTTTTTGGTTATAAAAATATAAATTGCTTGCAGATTTTTACTGAGACATTGGGACCTATTCACAGTCCCTTCAAAATCTAGCCATATCGGTCGCACATTATGGCTCAATATTAGAGTGCCCACGGAGCCCTCACTTCAATCCCAGCCTGCAGAAATTAAATAAACGAAAAGTTAACGTGCAGTTAGAATGTGTGGAAATTTTTAAATGGCAAGAGCCACACATGTTTTGCAGAGGGTCCTGTTTGTTAATTTCCCAGTTCTTAATTTCGTCGTTAAAGAAAAAAAGATAGCTGTTGCAAGGGAAACCTAAATTACTTGTTACAATATTAGATACAAAAATGTTACTTTTAACCATAACCAATTACAATATTTTCATAAAGCGCGTTGGTATTTAATGCTTTTTTCTATTTACTCAGCTTGCAGAACTACCTAATTTTCTGGCTAATTTTTAAATTGAAATAGAGAAAAGCGCAATTTTGCTTATTTGATGCTTCTGGCCATGTTGCTACAAAACGTCTCCAATGAGCCCAACTAAATTTTACAGTCTTTGCTATTCATATTGTATAGATTATTCCCACCTGTCACGTGATTAACCTATTGCCGCCATGATGGATCACAACCTAGTCTTATTTACCCAGTAAGGATTTTGAAACAGACAGTGATCTTCAAATCGCTTTCATGTGTGTTTAGCCAACTTGTTTGATTTAGTAAAGCTACCCTGGGTACCAGAGCCGCAAAAATTAAAATTAAAAAATTTTCTTCTCTCCTCTCTCTTCTCTCTCCTTCGCCTCCGCAGCTCTCACTCTCATAATTTTTTAATTTTAATTTTTGCGGCTCTGGTACCCAGGGTATAGTAAAGCATGATAAAATTCGATTTCGACTTAAGAAAAGCTCCGTTTTTATCTCAAAAGATAGCTAAAAAAGAATTCAATAAAGTCAAAATAAATGGTTTTATAAGGCTATCATAAATGATAATGATACAATAATACATTTGTTTATACAGAATTTGTCATTTCAGCAACAAACGTGCTGTTATCAATAAAGGCTCTGTTACTGAAAAACATAAAAGGAAAAAAATTGAATAAACTAAAAATTTAATTACTTACAACCAGAAAATTAGATTTAGTTACAAAAGAAAGATAAAGTGATTTTGACAAATGACCATCTGCCTTTAAATACGTTTCTTACGGTAAAAGTGTTATCTTGTCTTCCATTCAACAATTAAAATATGTTCTAGAGAATATATGTCTCTTAAATGTTCTTAAAATTGTACGGTCCTTGAAAGTAAAGGAATTTTTCCGTAGTCTCTATTTTGACCAAGTCTCATGTTTCGGACATTTGACCAAGTCTAACATGAGATACTTTTCATGCAATGGATTAAAAAATAATAATTTACTTGGAGATACAAAATACATTCATTTTCAATAAAACTACAATAAATTTTGTCAAGCCTTGATATCCTTAAAAAAAATTCGCTTTGTGTCTAGATATATTCTTAAATGTTTTTTGGAACACTCTGATCTGGTTTCTCGGGGAACCTCACCAACCCACGAAGAAAACGAGATGCTTCGGTCATGCATTTCTCTGCTACAAACATCGGAAAAAGAGAACTGTTGAACAATAAGACTCAATTATACGATCTGAGGCAGAGTGAAATTCTAATGATTTTCTGAAAAAATCAAAAAATCGTTTCTTCTTTCATTAACTACCCTCAAAACCCTTTAAAAAGTCAGTTGCATGTTTTCTTTACTAAATTGAAATTACACGGTTCCAGGGCCTATTTTAGTGTGGTTTTTCCCACATTTTGTGGTCTTGGACCTCCAAAATGTGGTCTTGGAAATTCAAAATTGTGGAATGGATTTTTCATTTTGGTTATATTTTTTTATAAATATGTTTTTCTGTTGATAGAGTTTTGAAACTTTATAACCTAACAGAACAGTACAAAACATCCATGAATCGTAGCGCAAGTTCCTTGGTCCCGATAAATCTGGTCCAACAAAAGCGAAAATGTTACCGCCAATCAGCTTTTTGGTCTCAAATGGTGTTAAAGCCAATCAGAGCTTATAAAAGACCCCTGAATCTAGCGACAATAAGGACAATGGCGGCCAAACAGCCACCAAGCTGCGTGAAAGTGCACGCTTTTCCAAATATAAGAAAAAAGCGTCCTTTGAGAATCTACAGAATCGTGGGCCAGCTCAGGTTCTGCAGATTATGAGGTACTCTTTCAACGATGATGAGTACATGGTAATTCGAACAGCCCTCGCAAGGATTGTAGCAGCTAAGCCGCATTCTGCAGACGTTGAACGTTTGATCAGCACATACAACAAAATAAAAACAAATGATCGTGCCTCCCTGTCCCCACAAACCATGTTCAATTATCTGTATGTGTCTCAAAACATGCCAAGCGTATCAGAATTTGACCCTACTTCAACTGCTTTGTTTTGGATAAATAAAAAGCAACGACGGGAACATTCGGTATCGAAAGCAAAGGAGCAAGAATGGTTCCTTAAAGTATTACCGGAAGCAGTTGATGCCTACAAAGAGAGAAGGATCAGAAAAAATGATAAAGCAAACCTGATGTCGATTTCTGAAATCTGAAATAATTGAAACGGATCAGCTTACTCTAAGGCCCCCAATAAATGGACTCCCCCCATTATTAGTTTTTCAAAAAATTTTTAGCCCCCTGTTCTTATTAGAACCCCCCGCTTTTTAAATTTTTTGGCTCAGCTTGTCTTTCAATAGCAAAATAAGTATGAATTATAGAGCTTCTAGCAATGTTAACCTTTAACTACTGTTACTGTCGGAGTCCATAAAGAATAGGCTATAATCGAAACATATTTGTAACCGTGTTATGTTGAATATTTTTGTTTTACACGAATAAAGAAAAATGCTTTCTACGGCAACGGTCGATATTTTGAAATTCCATGCTTCATATACAGCCTTCTTTTCTTAGAGTATGGTCTTGGAAAATTTCCATCAAATAGGCCCTGCACGGTTCCAATATTAAAGCCCTTATGAATAAAAATAACATTATTATTCCAAAAGAACCAGAGTTTAGTGCTCATTCCTTATGACGTAATGTGTATCCTGACGTATGAAAACGTTCTCATTTGAGAATTATTCGTTGAATGAAATCTAGGCCATAAGAATTTTATAGATCAATTTTGAAGAAACTCGGTGTTTTCCGTGAAATATCACCACATCATCTATAACTCAGTCCTTTTTGGTTGAAACAATACAACTTCGGTTCGCTTAAAGATTCAAGAACAACAGTTCAATGTGAAAGAGGATTTTTTAGGCCACATGATGCTCACTCGTCAGTTACAAAACAAAAGAATCAAAGATATTTCTGAGGGAAACTTCCATACCATACATGCCACAAACCAAGCAGAAAAATTCAAACTCAAGAAACTCTCTCAAGGTAGGATGGGAAAGAGAAGATTGTACCTTAATGTACAATAATGTATATGTTAGGCTACTTTCGAGTTTATTGTTTTCATGCATCTACAGGATCCAAATGGTATCCGTTATTATTTAAAATCGCAGCTTTATGGATGCAAAAGCTGCAAAAAGATACGTCATGCTGACGAGAACTACGTTGAACAGAGAAACATATTGATGCACCAAAATAACTTTGCAAAAGGACAATAAAATTAACATCTTGAGGTGAAACTTTTATCTAGGCCTAATGTGATATTCCAAAATTCCAAGGCTCTTCTGCTCCACCATTTCGATATTGTTGCCAATTAAAATGAAAATGGACAATGGTTTATTCCAGCCATCTTTCAAACCCTAACTTTCATTTTCTAAAGTTACTGTTCTTTTTCAAAATATATTCTGAAACTGAATCAACAGCAAACCGTTTGATGAATTTTAAACAATTTTCTAAACTACAATTTGGGGCAAGATACTTCACGTTTTCATTTCCCGTACACAAATAGTTAATATTTGCTGGTTCATCTTTTTAAATTCCATTCTTTTTTCGCCAGAGGGCTTTTTGGTATGGGAATGTTACTAGATTTAATTTCCCCATAACATTTTTTGTTAATGCTTTGAAATTTTTTAGAAAATAAATCCGTTCAAAAACTTTATCAATATTCGAACGACGCTCGAACCTTTCACTCCAGACAACTGGGAGAAGTCATGTGATCTGAGAACACACAAACATGATAACATACCCAATATTTATAACCTGACTTAACCTTTTTTGCATGTTCTTAAAGTCAAAAATTATAAAGCCATAGACGGTGGTTCAGATAAATATGTAATTATCTATGTAACTATATTTTAGAGTTGAAGAAAGGCAAAGTACACGCTTCATTTCTACAAGCCTCTTTCGTGAATAACTCACTTTTTAGGAGATGTTATAATTATCTATGTAACTATGTATCTATTTAGATAATTTAATATTTATATATAACAATAAATGCACTGTATCTTTTTATAGTACACAAATTAAATAGATATTACGCACAGATTATGTTAGCGGTTAGGATTATTCGAAGTTTCATACAGAGCAATGGCAGAGAAAAGGAGCTTGGACAAGATAACCTTGAAATTGAAGATTTTCATAGAAATTACAGTAGGCATGATTAGGATGTGATGGTCATGTGCTAGATGCTATCGTGCGGGGCGTAGAAAGCTCGCCCAGCGTCGTGTCCTGATGTTGCCTATATAGCAACCACTTCTGGGACCTAAACACGTGAATAGTGTGGTAATAATTCTGATTGGTTAAAGTTTAACTTCCAACCAATCAAGCTTCTGCAGCGATGCAGAAAAGTATCCATCGGTGCTAACAAACATCAATTGTGGGACATGCTAGGCCTAAACAAGCATCTTTTTCCACATATTTTAAACTTTACAATGAAATTACCAATGGCTGTAAAAGACGTCATTAAATTGCTTACCATAACATTTCTCTTGTTTAAGGTATTGACAGCTGCAGACATGCTCAATTTCTTAAGTTCAGAAGAGAAGAAAAACTGCTTCTGAAGACCCTTGCTAAGTTCGATAAAGAGAAATCAAAGCATATCTCAGAAGACGAGCAGTTCTTCTTGAAGTATTCCCCTGGGGATGGCGTCACAATGTTGTCATACAGCGATCTTCTCTCAGGGGATGGTGAGGGGAAGGAAGAAGAAAACCAAGATTTTGCTCAATCTGATCAAGAGGACCTAGACAGGTGGGAAGTTTGTCAAGATGAAATTATTAGTCAAGATGAAAAGAAAGAAGAAATAGAGTTTGATGGCGTGATTACAGGTGAATATTTTTATAAAAATTAGAACTGAATATTTTATTGATTGCTGTAGAATTTGATATTTGATCACATATTCTATTCCTTTAAGATTTACGAAGATATAAGCTCTCCATTTCGAACAGAGATGAAAACATTTATAGTTCAATCCTTTCATTCGACAAATATTGTTTAAAGCTATAAAAAGCGGGGTTCTGATTGTCCTATTTCGTTCGACAACGGGGTATATATTTGTCATCGAATTCTTTCGGACCATTATTCTGACGTTTTATGCTCTGAGAAGTGTCAAACAAAAAAGCTTTTAGCCAATATGTTAAAAAATGTTTGCTTTTTTCAAAGCCATTTTCAAGGCTACTATAATAAGATATGCTATGAAGACTTGCCCTAGGCTCTTGCTGTAAACAATTTCTAAATATTCTCTTTGACATATATAGATGGTCAATAGCTGTAACTGTGTATTATCTGGTTGTTAATGATGCTTTTTAAAAGCAATCACTTTGCCCGTAAATTCTTGAATTCTTTACAGAAGGCCTGTTTTATTAAGATTTTTGGAAGTTGCGTTAAAAACTGCAGCTAATGACGGTTTCTACAAGAATGCAGAGTTACTTTAATTGTTGCAAGCATCATAAACACGGCCGGTTTATACAGAAATAGACGATCCTTCAATTTAAAGGCTCAATCTGTTTTGGATTTATTGTAGATAGTATTCCCTTGGTACTAATGGTTACCGTTGTCCAATTTATGACAGATAAAGAAATCTAATTTCCAACTATCTTTGTTGCAAGAAAGGTTTAAAACAGAATGTTTTAAGAATGTTGTAAGAATGTTTTAAGAATTTCATGAACAGTTTAAAAGCTTCATATAAGAATGCATCCTGGGTCGTGAGAAAAATGGGACGCAAGGACATCGTCCACACATTCAAGAATAGACCTTATCAGTAAGAAATTATTATATAGGTTTCTGGTACCACAAATTTGAAGATGGCACGAAAAAGTGGGAACATAGCATGCTGAAGAACTTTTCGGGCGACACTCTTCAGAGTAAAAACATCGGATCATGACCGAAAGTAAGCTGAAAATTTAAATCCAGTCGTGGATCGAAAGTAACGCCTCAGCAATAATAATCGGGAAAGATCCATAATAGGCCTTCCTTAAAGTTTAGCATCCCATACGCTTAAGCTTCTAAGTTTTCTTTTTCATGTCTTTTGCACTTCATTTTGTAAACAGATAAGAAAATTGGTGAGTTGCATGAAGAATTGAGGAAGCACAGCTTAGGGGATGAAGCACGTGAGCAATCGTCTTCCATCGGTTACGGAAATTTTGAGACGCATAGTAAAAGTAGTGGACAAAATATGACGACACGAGGATCTCATCAAAATGCAAGAAGAAGATTCTCGCTCGATTCACAAGATGAAGTTGTTCCATTTTACATGAAAAAAAAATACGATCATCATATTGACGAACAAAGGCGACGATTACTGGGTAGAAGAAAGACACTTACCCTAGAAGATGAGAGATATTTATTCGAGAAGCAGCTGATGGGGCCTAGTGCCGATTTGGGTACAGTTTCATTTAAGTCCGGTGTTGATAGATCGTGGTTGAATGCAGATTTTAGAAAAGAGAGAGAAGAGGCGTTGAAGAGAATGTCAGAGTGTGAAATTGAAATTGCATGCAAGCAAAGACCAAGTTCAGGTATCATTTGTGTGCAAAGAAGCAAACAGATCTGTTTGTCGCTTTATTTACGGTTGGTGCAGATATTAGTTTTATACAGCTGTGTCTAACCGGTATATGCTCGAAAGATAAAGTTAAACTGTGATCAGTTGTTCTGCAAAGGCTATGCATTTTTGCAAACAGTTCAGCAAAATTTAGTTCAAAGCATTAAGAGTTTCAGTTTTAATAGCTCAAGGCTGCTACATATCAAAATTTTTTTCGACTTGGTCATAAAAATTTTTTTGTTTACATTATCAAAAGTTTAACTATATCCTCCTTAATATAACTGTATCCTTCTTAACTATCATAACATGGTAAAATCAAAACCACTGTCAATAATCTTTAGAATATCAAGTAGCTCAAGAGCTTTTGGAAAATAAATCAAAATGAACTACAACTACGACCCGATATCTCCCTTCACAATGTCATTTGCAAATAATTTTGGCTAGACATTTTAGATTGAATTTTGCTGCTTTGTAGGTTTAAGAAGAATACGAATGGCGTTAGAACGACTTCCAAATGAGAGCCCTCATCTCGAAAGTCCTAATTCCTCTAGCAGAGCTATCCATTCAAAAGTACAGGTAACAGACAGTGTTGAATCGACAAAAAGGCGGCATCCGATGTTAGGCCACGCATCAACTACAACTTCAAAGAATGCATTTGAAGACAAAATAACATTGCTAAATCAACGTCGACACACCATCGGCGAAGTACCAATACATTCGTTTTCTACAAGAAAGGTCAACTTGGAAAATTTAAAGAGCTTTAAGGTGAGGTTATTTACAACAAAATATCCTTTTTAACAAAGATTTCAATGACAATTATTCTTATGTTACTCTTTTATACATTCAATACCAACGCAAAGTGCCCCATTACGAATCTTAAAACTTTCTTCCAGTATCATAAGTTGATCCTTTTGCGCATTTTGAAAGAGTGTTTTATTCAAAATTTCTCCAACTTGGAGTATCTTGAGCCTTAAGGGACTCCGTTGAAAATATGTCATATGCAGATGAAACCATAGTCAATAGAGAACAAGTTTTCTATTTAACTTTTTTACTATTGACTATGATGAATCATACGCACGCAAGCGTCCAATTCTTGGGTTTCCGTGTACATGTACACTGAAACTTTTTATATCCGATCCGCCGTAAAAGAAGGACAGTTTTCAAAGTGAAGCAATTCGCTTTAGTGTAATTTATGACAACGAACATTTCCTTATTGAAAACGAGGCTGATTGAATGAAAGAGCCTCGATTTCAATCCAGTATAGAATCATTGATGATTTATAGGCCATCGCTTATAGGCTTTATCGTTGCGAATCAATTTGTTAACGATCAATCAAAGAAGCATTGCAGGCAAAAAATATTAAGAATAAAATCCTTTTTGCTTGACAGAGTCTGCGAGCAATCGACTGTTCCGATGCGCTGTCATTTGAGGACAAAGGAATCGTATTCCCAGCCTATGAAAAAGATCGATCATATTCCCTGAAGGAATTTATTTCTTTACGCAAATGCAGGTACTTGCGTTTATCCAGGCTCAATTTGGAGAGCTTGGTTTGGCAGTCAAAACATCAAGCATTGCTTAACTACTGAAGTATATATGTTTGATTTGAAGCACAGTTTGTTAAAATACGTTTTGCAACTCACTGCTGTAATATAAATTAACACTAAGATTCTGTGATTAATTTATTAAATATGTTATGTTAAATGTGCAACAGTTATAAAAAGATTTTGCCTAAAAACATTCCTACAACTTGTCTATGGTCAATATTTGTTTTGAATTATCTTCAAAGCCATTTTCAGCTTGTTTAAATTTTCAAATTTTTAAAAAGATGTTTCACATTTGCTTTGTTTGGATATGTTTTAGATCTTAGGTAACACATGTAAAATAAATTCCTTCACGGTTGTTATGTTGAAATGTTATCACTTGATCAAATTCAAAGTTCATTTGCTTGGCTATATAACGATTTAATTGAGCAGCAAGACTTATTTATACAGTGACACTGAGAGGAAGGATAAGGACAGAGTTCGTGATGTGGGACAGAGTTCGTGATTTGGCAAAGAGACTTTGGAAAGGATAGGCACAGAAAGAGCTTCTAATGATTCTAACATGTGTCAGGGAACCAGGGTAATAACTTAGAACCGTGTATGCTTGGTCGCAACTGTAAAAATCAATAGGTCGTCGACAACACTGATGGGGGAGAGGCAAATTGCGTTTGACTGGGTTTGACAAAAAGACACTGCAAGCAAGGTCGAATTCAAAACTTTCAATTGGCTAAAAAACTATATACGTGAGAAAAACCCATGTACCCTAGAAGAACAAGCTTCGTATTGAGTTATACGTCTATCAAAAGTGGCAATGATAGGCTACCAATTAAGGTCGAGCAAAACAGAAAATTGTGTAAATGCTGTAAAAAGGCAGACTAAAGACAGTGAATCTCGATTTAATGTACCCCATTTAACTAACTTCCCGGTACAACGAGCTGAAAATCTAGGCCTTTCAATACCACTAACATACGCAATGAACTAAAAACTTAGCATCGGACGCTTTTATTAATAAGAAAGGGGATATGTCAATCAAAGAGTTTGTAACCAACCCAGGCTCTTCAAAGGGCCTAGAGGAGATCAGCAGTAGATCAGCAGTAGACCCTTTCGCCAGAAGAATCAAGCTTGTAGGTCGTAGAGGTTATCATCAAATTCTTGGAAATAAGTATGTCAGAAAAATATTATAAATTGCTTTGAAAAAAGCAGACATTTTACAACATATTGGCTAAAAGCTTTTTTGCCTGACACTCCTTAGGGCATTAAACGTCAGAATAAGGGTCCGAACGAACACGATGACTAATATTATAGCCAATATTATAGTTTTAAAGAATATCATAAGAAATATTATAGTCTTTAAGATCATGGTCTTATAAGTCGTTTGGAATTTTTCTAAATCTGTTTCTTGTAAGTTTTTGATTACCCTTCATCAAAGATAGTAGGCTATCCTTTATCGCTTTGATAGTCAGAAGAATTCCTAACCAATGTATCATCAACGTTACCAATAATTTGGCTTCTCAATTGAATCGTATTAACTATCGGCATGAACCTTTATATTTGGTTTGTCTTCTCCAACCAACAGATGATTAACCTCTACAAATGGCGCCAGAATAAAACCACATATTCCGATATCAGTGTCAGTGTAGATTCTTCAGATTCTTTCAAACCAGATCACAAGATTGTATAAGCAATGGTTACAATGCCTGCCAAAATTACTTGGAACACCCAGCAATTTACGCTGCATTTGATATCTTTCATTCCTTTCATGAGAAAAAATTGCTACTTCCGCCCCCTTCCCCCTAAAACAACGTTGATGATTTAGAGAAATATCATAAAAGAAGCGCAAAAGAAAGTGCTTCCTGAAATCCTAACCCGTTTGATAATAAACCAACATTGTTCTGTAGGGGAGAGGGGGATGATTGATTTTGATCTTGGAAATTGATGTCAGTGTTCCAAGACTTTTGGCAGGCCTTGTATATCTGGACTGGAACCTAGGTTGCCGATTGCGTACAAGAAATTTTGTTCAATGTGTGAGGCCACCCCCATCTTAGAGTAAAGTATACTTATGGAATTTGATCATTATTACGTATGCCTGTTACTCCATAACGAGGGGTGTCTCACTCTTCGAAAAACTTCTCTTGGTCGTCAGTATAGAAATATATTAGTTTGATCTTATAACGTGTCTCGAGAATTTGCAGAAAGGGAAAACTAGATTTAAATGTTTGCGAAAGAAACGATGGTGTAGCAAATAAGTTATGGTGCCCAGAAGGTTTCACCTGAAAAAATTGGTACGATCAAAAAATAGAATTCTTACGTACACGTCGCAGAGATTCCTTCTAGGAATTTTTGACCACATGTCATAAAGAAGAACAATATGAAATAAATCTGCTGGTGCAAAATCAGCCAAATATGGTAAAAATTAAGTGTGATACAGCCAGTGTAAGAGTGTAAGATTGGTATTTAAAAAAATTTAGAACAGATCCGAATTCAAATTTTCATATAAATAGATTTTATTTAGAAAAATTCACATGAAACGGTTTTCTAACAGCCCTGTCCACACTACACAAACTAACCCAGGCTCGCACTAGGTTAAATTGAACCTAGGGCGAACCCTGTTTGGTCCACACTTGATTTTCATGTTTTGTAATGTGGACACAAAGCAGCGTGACCAGATCTAGCATAATATTACGCTTTTAGCATGATATTGACCAAAAATCGTCATATAGCATAACATCTAGCATAATTTGAAATCTAGCATAACTCTGGCATAATTTTGATATTTTTAAAAAAATCATTGTTTCCATTGATCCGTTGTCTATCGTTACCAAATGCAAATACTTTACATCAGCATCTGTGGTTTCATTTTTGGAGCTAATTGTGACATCCCCTTTCAGGATTTTGCCAGATGTTTGGAATGGCTGACAGCCAAATATTATATGGTTGGCACCCAAATTCAGCCAGCTAAATGCAGATACAGAAAAGCTAAATTTTTGCTAATTGTGGGGAGTGATAGCGTAATCAAAATTAGCATTTGCAATTTTGAAATTATTTCAAAAAATTTTGAATGTTATCTGTGCAAAAATTTTTGTTTTCTTTGCGTTTTTGTTGCTTTTTTGCAAAATGCGGCCGGAATTCAGCCAAATTTTGCTTCTTCGGCCAAATCAATTTATGACGGCCAAGGGGTTTTGAGAAACTGCCAAAATGGAGAAATTTGGCCATCAAAACCATGATCTAAATCGCTTTTTTTATGAAGAATGACAACACTCGCATTTAGATGAGAGGTCAAAAAGGCCAAATGGCAACTCTGGCCATTTTTGATATTCTGAGCATACGTTAGCCTCTTCCTCGAGCAGGGTTGCCTTGATTTGAAATTTAGCATAATTTTTCTAAATCTTGCATAATTTAATGACAAACTTAGCAAAATTCCAAAATTGAGATCTGGTCAAACTGACACAAAGTCGGGGCGAACTCAGGTTAGTTAATGCTACGTATGCGTAGTTAAATTACACAACAACAAATCAACGAAAAGACAAATATTCCACAAACACGATCAAAATGGAAGTTGCCGAAGTTGCAGTTTATTGTATTTTGTCTAAAAAGTTTTTCTGGCAATACAGTTTATTCAAAAGAAATATCAAAAGCCATGGCAGTCAAGATTAAACAGAATATTGGCTGCATCTCGCAAACGGATTCGACAGTATAAGAGATTCAGATCACAGAGGAGGAAGAAATTTGAAACATGTCAGAAAGAATCACTTTAGAGTGCATGCAATCAGTAGACGTGGAAAGAAAATACTGGTGTAAAACCCAAAGTAAAAATTGGTGGGACTCAATCGTGTTGCATCATTTTGAGGCATATGATTGGCATACGCTACAAAGACTAACCCGGGTTCGCCTCAAGTTTGTGTCCGCACCGGAAATTTATAAAACTTCTGGGTCGAACTTACCTCTGGAGATGGGCGAACCCAGGATAGTTGTGTCCACACTGCAAAATCTAACCTGGGTTAGCGAAAACCTGGGACGAAACCAGGGTTAGTTTGTGTGGTGTGGACAGGGCTTTAATGGCAATATCAAATCACCAACTGCTGAATTGAAGTTTGGCTCACCCTCAAAAGAATGCAATTATTTGTACACGTAAGGATATAACTGAAACAGCAAAGAAAGTTCAACAGTGGACCATTAGAGAGATGGATCCTGATTGTACGAAAGAAAGCACGTAGTTTTCTGTATAATCATTTCTAGCAATTTCAAAAAGTATTTTTTTCTCTATTTCAAAATGTGGATATATTCTTATATAAAGTGCTTAACACCTAATATTCTTAAATTAATCAGTGCAAGAAAGTTGAATGCTTTAACTCCTATATAAATACATGATTATGGAATGCAAAGTAGATGGCTCTAAAAAGTTTGTTTGGTTTACTCCGTTCGGGAGTGAATTATTGAAGGAACAAATATTCTGACAACTGAAAATGCAAGAAATGGTCAGGGTTACCGTGCTAAAAAGTAAGCGGGACTGTGCTATAGGCAGCTAATATAAGACACACAACAGGCCACATCCATAGTCACAGCCAATATTCCTGCATTTGTTTCAAAGATTCTAAATTGCAGATTCATGGAAAATATGAAGCCCGAACCTCTCCGTCCACGACATCATTTCAAATAGTCAGATGTGACGCTCAGGATACTCACTGCAACCTTCTTAAGAGTCACTGAATGAATAAATCGTATTTAGAAACAGCGGTCAATACCATTTAATAAAGGCAAACAACAACTCTACCAACAATTATAATCGGTCCTAAAAAATAGTCCTGAAAAGCACATGGGTCCTGCAGGGGTAGGCCGTTTCACTAGCTATATTTTGTGTTATCCCTCACTGTAGCCTCAAAACTTTCCAGGCACCTTCACAGAAAGACAATTCTTTCATTAGTAGCGACTGTCAGTGTAACAAAATATCGAGCTTGATCAAGCACGATACAGGTGCACGGGTTAGAGTTCTGTGTGTGTATTGCTTTTCTTATCCACACCCTCCTCAATAGCTTCTTCTTCGTCTTCAGGAAAGCCGTCATCGGGTTGTTCCTGCTTATCTTCCTCTGCACCTTCGTCTTCAGGAAAGCCGTCATCGGGTTGTTCCTGCTTATCTTCCTCTGCACCTTCTTCCGCCTCTTCACCATCTGAGTTTTCTTCCTCGTCCCCCTCTTCTTCAATGTCGGCCCCCATGGGCATCATTTGTCGAATTTTTTTCAAATCCTTCTCCGTCAGGGCGTCAATATCTTCCATTGTTATGTAGTTGTCATTATTCTTGTCCGCAAGGTTTGTCACCTAATGATTTTGAAGTAGAAAGAACAATAAACAAACAAATAGTCGAAATCGATCGGTTAAAAACCGAAAATGTAAAGGATTCAGTGTTAAATGAAAACTCAGAAATGAAAAATGTTTAAGGCTCGGAAATGAGGAAATTCAGAAAAGAATATGAGATTTTTTATGTAATAACATACCAATAACGACTTTATTCAATTTTGTGAACAGGACTCGAAACAGAAAAAATTAAGTATTGAATGCATCAACGAATGAATTGATGAAAGAAGAAGAAGAAGAAAAAAGAAGAAAAGAAGAAGAAAAAAGAAGAAAAGAAGAAGCCATATTTGGGAAAGTATGCTTCTTGGAACAAATCTTTCAAGGAGAAATAACTTTTTTCCCTCCTAAGTTGCTTACGTGATATTATGCGTAAACAAATCTAAGGACGGCTTTCTTCAAATGGACTAGATTTATCGACAATATATTTCTCAAGAGCTTTTGAGAATGTTATAATTCTTCTACAAATATCAATACAACTAATCATTAAAAAACTTTCTCTTTCTGCATGTCACTCGTCCTCTTTTAGATTTTTCTTCCCGAACTTACAAAAATTCCTTCTCCTTTTTTCTTCTTCTCCCATCTTGGAATCTTCCTCTTGTTCCTATCAAACAGCTTGCTCTTTGCATCTTAGACTTCCTTATTTCACGTCCATTTATACAAGGACTTCTTCATCTTCCTTCAGGCAAGATATTTCTCTGTCATGTATCTTTCAACTTCCCTAGATCTCTTTTAGCTTCTTGATTGCACAATACCACCAAATAATTCTTCTCTACCTCTCTCAAGACAAGCCCTTTATAAACCCTTGCAGCTTCTTCATTCTTCTACTTAGTTAGGTTAGAGTAGGCAAAGCGAGGTTTCTATTTCTCTGGTGTCAAAAACTGGTATGATTTCCCTAACAGCATTCGAGAAAATGAATTCATCGCTCGTTTTAAAACAGGGTTTAGAGAGTATCTTTTGAACCTTTCATAGGACCCAAACACGACCCCATGGTAGAACAGCAATTCGCATATTTTATGTATTTATTTTTATTTTTATTTATTTTTTTTCTCTTATTATTGAAAAACAAATATTGCAAATAGTTTTTTTTGCTGAAAGGTATCTCGTTTAAAATAAATATTATTTATATAATTATTGATAGTGACTTCTACTGCAGCATCTCCTTGCGGTTCTTATACCAAAATCTCTAACATCTCGTATTTTTCATTCTTCCTCACCTCCATTAAATTTTCCATTTCTAACTTTTTTTAATTAGATCAAAACAAGAAGTCACTCTGCTACTAACTTGAAAACGGCTTCTACATCACATGTCAGTACCCAGTTTCCTACCGCAGATTTGCGCTAGTTTTTGCTTTGACGACTCGATTAATATAAAAACCTTGACGACTCGATCAATATAAAAAAGTACTGCGTCCTCTTTAAAACTTATATAAAAAAATTTCAATCAGAAAAGCAACAGTTCATGAACATGTTTTTTTGTAATGTAAAAGTTTACATAAAAGCACGTGCTTGACGATGTCCAACTTGTCAGTCATCTAAATGAAATTCCTAAGACATGTGTTGGGCTTTGTCTATTGAAAAATTGACAAGGAAAGAGTACAAGTTTGAGTCATCAACCAAAAAAATAATTTTTGATGTCGCAGTTCCTTTTGCTGTTAAAAGCAAAACCAGTATTAATTTAGGATCGTTTCATTTCTAGTCTAGTCTCCTATTTCACCATGGCACCCTCTCATGGATTGATATTGTCTCTGAGAAGATTAGTTAGAATAAATTAGAAAAGGGCCGACGGTGAAAAGATTGTTTTGATTATGAGCAACTCTTCTCATCAAGAAGACAAACGTCCATTCTCCTTCTTTATCATTATCTGTATTTCAACATGCAAACATATATTTGGCGTGGGTCATCGTACGGTATAATTCATAATAGCATCTTTTTCATTATTATTGTCATCATGAAAAGGTGCGTGGTTTTGAGCTAGGAGGGCAAGTCATTTTGAGATCCAGAAGTGAAATCTTAGACAGAAATCATGTGGGCATGTGGACACCTCAAACTGATATTGATATAAGGCCAACTCTGATTAACTGATTGGAATCATCGATCATAATTAACGCACGATCAATGATCAATCACATATCAAGACGTGTTTGGCTTAACAACGAAAAGTTACAGATGACTGACCAATCATTGCTATCAGGTATAAATGCCTAATTGAAAGAAACATCAGACGCGAAGGCATGACTGGTTTAGCAATCAAACATGACTGATACATTGATAAGACTTCAACTAATGTCTGTCTAATGAACGATGAATTCATGGTGCGCCGATTTATCTAACATATAGGATGATAGGCTGATTTATAATATAGGAAGGGAAGCAGAGTTAATAAAAATGGTATATTAAGAGAAGTGATAGGAATCTTGGCAGAAACATTATGGAAATGACGATGGCTTACATGTCCTCTGAGGCCATGACATTTAAATATTAAAGCGTGTATGCACAAAGGAAATAAGTAGATAATACATTCCAAATGACGTGAATAATATTTAGAGTTGATGCATACTAAAATATTAGCCATAAAGAGATGGTCAAGATCATACACACCCAAAAGCCTTGAATCACGACATTCTGTCAAACAAGAAACGGCCATTTTGATTAAAAATTTCATTGTAGATCTGTAGATCCAGTGTTGCTTATGGAATAAATGCCATGTAGACAAGACTCTGTTAGTCTCATTTTCAATTAAATCTGTTTAAACCTCTTGGATTAATTAACGAAGTCGTCATCTTGAGCGAGCCCGTAGGAAAGAATCGTCTATCAACCATAATGGCTTAATTGGCAAAAGTTTTTCTAACCAGCAAACAATTTAAATTTGAAAGTATAGAGTTGAGATCAAATGTTAGTAAAACGAAAAAAAAATCCAAGAAGTGTATGCGCTTGTCACTATTTCTCGAGAAGAGTCAATTGCTGTTCCATTAAATGAGAGTGCAACCAAAAAAGACCAAATTACTACTTTACAATAAAAACTCAACCAAAGGCCTATTTAATCGAAGACTGGAGACAAAATTTGCAAAATTGATAGTGTTATCAAAAATCAATACATTAGGAATGGTGGGATTAAGGGTAGATTCTCAGGTGCGGTGAGACAGTGGCATATAAGCAAGCCATAAGCCTAATTGTGATCACCTTCTGTCGGGTTCTTATTCTTTTGGTCTAAATTATCTTCAGGTGACAGAAGGTAAAATATGACAGTGAAGTAGAATGGAGAAATGGATTAAATAAACAAATCTGTGCCAAACTATCGGTTTAACGTCTCGAGGGTGAGAGGAAAAATCTCTGATGATGTTTGCGTTCAGGGCCATTTACAGTTTTCACTCAAGCGATTTTTACAGTCAAAGAAGCGAGGAGGGTTTCTACGCCATAATGGAAGCAAAAATTGTTTTCTAATGAGAGCAGAAGTGCTCTTTGTGATTATGAATGCATGTCAAGGAGACGGTTCAGATGATGGAACATAGTTTGCTGATTTAGTTTCGCTGATCTAAGCAAACTGAATGGTTAATCATAAATGAGTGAAAATCATACAATATCCCTTGATTGTATCAAGGGAGACGGAAGCCTCCAAAGTTTATAAGCTACTTTCACCTTAGGGATTTGTAAACGATAACATTGACGAATGATTTAGTCTTCTGATACTAACATTGGTCTTATGGGCATTGAAAGAGGAAAAGGAGCTTGGGATGCATAAAAAACAAACATGGGAATTCAGAGCTTAAAATAAACGAATTAAGCCCTGGTCAAACGATCCAACATTTCACGCAACCTTTCGCTCAATACTTTTCTTCTATGTTGGACAATGATCCAACATGATGATCAGTGATCCAGCATTTTGCCCAACATTATGTTGTTGGGCGATAGGTTGGGTAAAATGTTGGATCGTTTGACCAGGGCCTTATACGAGTTGTTAAAGGGGGATTCTTGAAATGAAAAGATATATATTCAGAAAAGTCAGAGGAATTTAAAGTCAATAGTTAAGATATGTGAGCAGCAACAAATGATAATAAAAAGATGAATGCAACAAATTGCAGTACACTAAAATAAGTTGGTCGTTTGACTCAAAGCTGGGTCAAATAGTTCTTGAAAAGTCGGCAGTTTTGTAAGCTGAATGTTTGCCACAAAATATTTTTACGTAATAACGCAAAAAGACCGCCCTGCTTTCACTTTGGATAAAAAATATGATCTATTGCCGATAAATTGGAAATAAATTGTGCTTATTACCAGTTGATAAAGTTAGCTCATAAAATTTCAACCTCTACAAGTGATCCGTATTGAAAAACAATTTATAAAAAATCTTGTTCGTTCTGTCTGCTACATAGAAAATTATTGGACAAGATTACAAAGTCGAATTTGTTAACTCAAATATAAGCAATAAATTTCGAGACAAAAGATCGATGTTAATGTATATAGGAACTTGAATTCGCAAAATAACGAAATATTCTGAGGCCATTTACAGGTATAAAAAAAGCACAATGGGGAATGACGTACCAGCCATAATCAAATTAACCCATGAAAGAACAAGCAAGAAGTTTGATTTGAGCGAAATAGGATGAAGCACGGTTGACACTGTATAGTCAAACATTAGGATTTACATCAAAGCGGGAATCTATTAGATTGAAAGGAGGATGAATATCTGCTCCCACGTTCAAGTGTATTCAAAAATTTCGTATCAACGTCCCCAACAATGGTTGAATTAATGTTATAAAGTTCTATAAACGTTGTTTATCTAACATAGGTTCAAGCTTTCAATAAATAGACGGCGCTAAGACGCTGGAAAATCACTTGGCATCAGTCTCGCATTTCCACGATTTTGTCGTCAAGACACAAATTAAAACAATCTATGTTACAAAATATGTTGTGCAAAGATGGGACTTCCAACAGATAAACGAAGAAGATAAATTATAAGAATCAGGACGAATTAGGATTATTATGACGGATGGATTGGACTAGGCCAATACGAAATAAATGGGGATCATATTATCAAACAAAATATAACGAGGTGGGAGAAAAGAATTTAGGTAAATACAATTTGGGGCAAAGAAGAAGATAGGAAAGAGGAAGAGAGGGAATTAAGAAACGAAAGGAAATAGGTAAACAAGAAGAGACAGGAGATCAAATAAAAAGGCAAATACTGGTGTAGAAAAATAGAAAACTTGATAAAGGAAGAATAGAAGAAGAAATTGGAAAAGAAGAAGAAATGAAGTAAGGAAGACGAAAGGAACTAGGGAAAAAAGAAGACATGACGGAGCAAAGAAGGATCATAATAATATAAATTATTATAAGATATATATAAAGGACAAGAATATGAAAAAGGTAGAAAAAATATTTTGAGAGACACGAAAAAAGGACACAAGAAAAAAATGACAGAAATGAAGAAAATATAAAGAAAGAGGAAAAAAGTAAAGTTGGCTCGAGACAGAAGACCAAGGCAAAGCGTATAGATTACTAGCAACCCTTCGCATGAATATCATCTCACAAAATTAAAAAGAAAAATAAAAATAGGTCTACCTCTTTTATCTCCGAACGTTGTCCTTGCAATGCATTCTAAAAAGAGCATGGATATTTTTACATTTGGATCACCTTACTTCTGCATGATTCACAAATGCAAACCAGTCAAGTCACTGGGATCCATTATATGAACTAAATTAGCAAAGGTACAGTTTTTAAATAAAAAACAGCGAAAATCTGACCAGATCTTGCCAATATAAATTGGCATTTTGATTTCAATTGAATGTATTTCACTAGACATTAAAGAATCAGCTTTGGTTCGAACAAATCATTTATGTTTCGGATAAAGTAACAACTAAGAAAGAACTAATAGTATCAATTTCTCTCTCCCCCCCCCTCCTAATCTCAAACAAATAAAAAAGAAACAGCCTAGAAGATAGCAAATGTTTTATTAGGGCACACCAACAAGATCTGGGGGACGGGGATGCACAAACAGATCAGACATATTTACTGTAAAATTCACAAATTTATCCCAGCAAAACATAAATTTTTGTTTTGACTGATGACTGAAAGAAATGGAAGATATTGATCCTATAAATCTGAATTGTTAAAGTTTCTAGATCTCCTCAAAGGGCAGCTGCTTTTAATTTACCGGAATTAATATCTTTAAAATTACGTCTTAAAAATTGATATTATCAAAAGTCTAACAGTGTCTTGGTCGTTTCTCTTTAAAAGCGGTGCAAATCACTCTTATGTCGAGACAATCTATACAATTTAAGAATTGTGAAGATTTTCTTAGAACGATTCTGAAAATTTTGACAACCTAAGAATCAAATCAAATTTGTTGGGACGATATTCTAGAGAAAGACTTTTAATGTGTGAGGAAATCCCCGCTTTTGGGGTCCAAGAGAAGGATTACTGTGTTTAATAATTGTTACAGATGCTCTTAAACCCCAGCAATGGGGATGACCCACTATTTAGAAGACGCAAGTTTGTTTGCATTCAGACACTTTGCTATTACTCGAGAGATAGTTACAAAAGCAATGATATTTTGAAGTTCTTTTATCTAAGTACTTACCATTAAAAATTTAGAAAAGTTCTTCTTGCTTATTTTTCCCTTTGCTTTTACTTCAAGTGCAAGAAGTTGCCTTAAAAATAAAAGCAGGAGAAAGAGAGTAATAGAAAGAGAGGAAGGATGCAGGGAGTTGATATTGTCTGGCTCCGTTAGAATTTGACTGAAATGGAAGGTCGAGTAACGATTGCGTCTGGCATTAAATAAAAAAGGTGTAGTGTCTAGCGCCGCAATAAACCCATTTAATTTCTTTATTGTTCTTTTTATATTTTTCAATACTGATTGATGTTTGTAAACAACGATGGAATCAGGCAGGTTCCATATTATTAACTACTATCACAAGAGGTTGGAGACTTCAACTTTGATGCGCAAATTTACAGCATTAACAAAGATAGCCAGACACAATATTTTTATTTAAAATTGAGTGACATGGCATTTTATAATGACATAGACAGTATAATTAAATACAATATTGCTAGAAACAGGCCCGTTGAAAGGTTCTGCAAAGTTCTGGTAACACAGTTACGCCCTGGGTTCAAGGGTGTCGACTATCCTCTATAACCTATTTGACGCTTTAAAATCCAGGGTAACACACTCAAAGAAAGGGGTGAAAACGTGGCGCCCTGAAAGCAATTTGCACAAATGACCTTTGATGGATATGTTTTTCAATCAAGCTTTTAAGATAGCATGGATGGCTCTGCTAAGGACTGGGATGTATACATTTATTGTTTATACAATATAAAATCTGCAAAATCTGGGAAACGACTCTCAAAAAAACATGCGGAAGGAAGTAATTCACTTGATACCACACATGAGTGCTGCTCCTCTTCTAAAATCGAAAGGATTTGGCCTTTGAAACCATTGAACTCTCACCATGCAAAAACGTTATATACATAATCCAGTTACATTACCATATACAGCTGTAATCAAATTTACTTTTATATGTAATTTCTAGTACAGTGCTAAGCTTGAAAGTAGTACAATAACCCTAGTAAATCGTGAAAAATAAAAGAAACATACCGAGCCCCATCATTCGATTTAAGTTTGTAGTTTTTCAGTGGGATGTAATTATCTTTCCAGTCCTTACCATCACAATCTGACTCATTTATCTTCAGAGGGTGGGTGAACCAAACATTAACAGCAATATTTCTGTTGTATGACCGAACTTGATGAAACCAACTAAAACAAATATCACAGGCATAGAAAACTATTTGCCACATAACATGGCTTTATGGGGGAAAAACTGGTTTAAACATCATAGATATGTGCCATTGTACTTGTTTTCAATAAGTGAAGCATTCGAAGCACTCTACATTCTTCGCAGTCAAATGTAAAGCAACTTTCCTGGAGTCTGAAGTTTTTAAATTTCTGCTAAAAAATATATCAAAAGAAATCTGCAAGTAGTGTTTTTCATTTTCATAAAACAGTGTTTCTCATCTCTCTTTAAAAAAGCAACATATAATTGCCATATTTTATAGAAATTGAAGAAAATTGTTGACAGATTTATTCTGATGTAGTGCCTCAAAGTTTCACTAAATTTCATTGTCAAAACAGCAAAATAATCAGTCAACATCTTTTCAACCAGAACTCTTTAAAACGACGAAGAATGCTTCTCTTACAATAATCTACCATAGCAAGCTTCTTCAAATCACAACATTTTCGATAAATTATATGGTTTAGGCCCTTGGTTGTTGTAAGCTACCATTTCTTCCACCTTTTCCAGACTTCAGAAACTTGAAAAGAATTGTATCACGTTATTATCTGTCATTAAATTCACCACTAAAAAGAATCCTTTGTCAAGATCATGATCAGAGCCATCGTAAACTATGGTGCTCAGGTCTCATATGTTGACAAACTTGTTGCAAGGTCAATTATTTGCCGAACAAGTCCAAAAATTTGTCAAAGAAGCACCCCTACATTGTAAAATACTCCTTGTTTTAACAACAAATTTTTTTTTCCGAAAGGAATGTACCCTCAATGCCCCAGCATAGTGAGAGCCCTGATGAAAGGATTGTTCTCAAAATCAATATACCTAAGGGGGATGAACAGGCAGTCTCCAGCCTCCATTTTGGCTTCCCACCAAGGTGCGCTTGCGATGCCGGGGTACTTGTCCAAGTCGACAGCATCTGGGTTGACCTTGCTGTATCCACCGTTTGGCTCATCAATATCAATGTGTTCTTGGTGATTCTGAAAGAATGAGAATTTATGTAGATAATAGGAAATAGCTCACCAAGAGGTGAACTGTGACAAAGCATGTTACTTTGTGATAAATTAGCTATTAGTTATGCCTGTAAGAAGCATTGACAAAACAAGTGCAGTGGTATTAAAAAGACTGACAACACACTTTGAAAATTATACTGCCTTCTAATACATGAATTTGTGATTTTGCTAACAACATAGAAAAAGAGTTTAAAATGTATCAATTACATGTAATTGTTTTTAACCTAATATACATAGACCCTGATAAAGGAGAAGAATGAGAAGTTGGTTGATAAAAAATTTTTAAAGGAAAGTTGACAGTCTTAAAAAAATGGTGATCAAGATGATTCCAGCCACTCAACAGGTGCGAGAAAATAGAAAGGTTTAATTGGGGGAGATTCACGTTTACAGAATTGCTTTTGAAGTTTTTTTGAATGTTCTTTTTGGGGACTCTTCTTTTTAGATCCCCAGACTATTCATCTCCTGCCTGATACCCCTAGAGCTTGCATCTGAAATGTAAACTTAACTCTGTTTTCTTTTCTAGTTTTCAGACATCACTTCTCTAACTCACCAATAACTGCCCCAAATCTAGATTTCTGCCTATTTTGAGTTTTTGTATTGTCTATTTGATTTTCTTCTTGTCGCTCAGACTCATGCTGGCCAGACAGGAAAATCCAAAGGGCTGGAACTGTATGCAAGACACAAGATATCAAAGTTTACAACCTATAAGTTATTGATGACAATACTGTGTTAAACTTTTGCAACAACCAAGTTCATCTAAAAAGAACTGACACATTAAATTACCTTATCGACCATATACAGCTCTTTTTCTCCACTGAATAGGCAATTTATGTTGTCTACATTATCAGCATGAAGGACAGACTTGGTACCACCACTTGAAAACCACATTACTATATCCTGCAGCAAATTTACATATCCACCACACGTTAAAGTTGGTAACAATGTTACATCCCCTGGAAAAAACAATAATTGTTCTGAAGCAAAGATAATATTAGTTACATAGTTGCTAGATTATCACATAAAGTGTGCAACACATTGTCAGCACATCCAGAAGTTCTGGATAGTAACTATATTTGGAAACAATAACTAAATCTTTAGAAGGCTATGTTCTATTAATATATAACTAAAGGACATAAAAACTTTTGACATTGGAGTTCAAAAGTTCAAAGAGGAATCCCTCAGTATAGCATGGATGATAGAGCAGCAAATGTGACTAATGGGTATGTTTTTGGGGCAAGAACCCCATAAATTATGAAAATCCTTTTGAGCAGTTCCATTTGTTGCTATTGTTCTCAAACAATGGTGTCCAAATCATTCTTATTTTCATAGAACTGATTTATGCATCATAAGATAAGATAGCCAAAACCTCTTTGTAGCCCACACCAAGATGACATGATATACTAGGCTACCATGGTTATATAACAGGAATTGAGTAGAAACGACTAGGAAAGGAGTTAGGAAAAAGAAGTTTGGAAAAAATAGAAACAACTATGAAACAAGTAGGAACTAAGAAACAAGCAGAAACAAGTTTAAAAACTATAAAATAAGCAGAAATTGGAACGAAAAATATCAACTGAGGTACAATTTAATTAATAAATTTAATTGAATGCTGCCTTAATAGCTATGATGATGCTAGTTAACATTGTATTGTGAAAGGAGGAATTAATTGCTTAAGCCAGATGTGAAATGGCAGCATTGCAAGAGCAAATATAACTGGCATGGTGATTGACATGGAATAACTAGCAGGAAGGTCAAAATTAAAATCTCACCTAATTAAAAACAACTAGCAACTTAAAATCTCAGCTAATTAATCACTTGGGCAACCATCTGTTTTTTCCTGGATTCAACTTGCCGAAACACCATGGGGGCTTTGGGGTCAGGCCCCCATCCCAAACATTGATCAAGAAGTAGATTTTCAACCTATACAGCTTGTTCTTCTCGTGCATTGGCTTTTGTTCTTTCAGATTCTGTTTTTTGCTAAACAATAGCCTGGTATAAACAAAATATACATTTTCACTGGGTTTCAATAACCTTACTGAACAGGTAGGCCCCAGTGATGAAGATCTTTTTTGCTAAGTCACAAATAGTCTTCTCCTAGTTTCTCCTTGCTTGTGTTGGTTTCTTGTTGTTTCCTGTTATAGTAAACATGACTAGGCTACCACAACCAATCATGCAAGATCAAAATGAAATGTTTATAAAAAAAATAATATCACACCTCTCATTTCCTTCTGTATGCTATGTACCATATATACATCTTCAGTTTTATATTTATCAACAAATTCTTTCATTGTAAAAACAAAGGTTCGCAAGGATCTGTTTTCTTTCTTTCCCTCTTCTACATCAAACTTGAGATCTGCAAAGTTTGTTCTGAAAAGCAAGGCAGTTGCATCTTACATAGCATAAGTACAAAAGATTTTAAGAAGATATTGTAGGCTCTATACAGAGCTTAAGATATGCCAGCTCTTTAGGTGTTTACTGTGACATTTTAAAATCTTTGGATAGATTATGGTTAATAGAACTTTCAACTTTCATTTTAACCATAGCCTGACAGTCAGGAAAAGGTTTCATCCATCATCCATCCATTTTTGGCTTCAAGCATTGGCAAAAAGTGCACAAGTTTTATTAAATATATGTTTGTATTTAGATGTGCACCAGAATTTGATTTGCCTCATCTTTGACCTAATTATATACTGCTAATCCCCAATTAAATTAAATGCCAATAACTTCAGAATTTAATTGTACAGAAGGATTAAATATTTGCATGAATATCTAGCATATAAAAGAACATGCTAAGCACGAAAACAAACCTCAGATACTCATCATCCCATTTCTTGAATGCAGGCATCTTCTTTGCAGCCCCTTTAAAAACAGCTGGTCTCCCTGGAGTTACGTATTTCTCGAAAAACTCGACGGGACTTGGTAGCTCCGTCAAAATATCAACATGGCCTTCGGGAGTCCTTTGCAAACCTAGCCGCTCTAAATGCCCTTTAAGTGCTGCATTGCATAAAAAACCTGTTCCTAATAATAGATATAGACTTAAAAGAGTATAAAATGTATCCATCTTTTCACACGACCTTTTCCGGGGCAACCATAAAAAAGAAACAAGGAACAGAGGCCGATGGAACAGGAAGAACTTTACCATAAGCAACAGCAACAACATGGTATTTCTGGCAATATCCACTCTCTGGGAATCCTCCAGTCAACCCAGGCACCGCGGAGCGTTGAGAAAAATGGGGGATCTAAAAAAAGGGGGGGCTAAAACTGTATAAAAAGAGGTTATTCTGATAGTTTGATACTTAATATTTGGCATTTTTTGCAAAAAATGCCCAGCCCCCCCTGCGCCGCAGTGCCTTGAGCCTCAAAATTTTTCTAAATTTTTGAAAAATCTAGACGTAGCAAGTCAAATAAATGACACACAAATCCTTTTTTTAAGAATAAAACACCAAAGTTGGGTACTCCAGTTTCTTAAAACTTTAGGAAAATTCCAGTAATCATGGGCAAAGCAAAGGAATTCTTTTCAGAAGGGTACAGAAGTACAGAAATGACTTTTGCTGACAAAAAGAGGATGTTTCACACTTCAAAAATGTGGTTATATGAAAAATCTTATAAAAACTATTGAAACAGGTTTTGAAGTATTCTGAAAAACAAAAAGTCAATATATTCAATGAAAATCATGAGTCACTGCCGCACATTTCAGAGTCAGAGGTGCTAGACAAGTTTGCAAACACTTATTCAGTTCAGTTGTTTTTCCCACAATAATCTTTGGTGTTACAACCTTCATATCATACTTCAGCAAAAAAGTAGGGTTGGCGCTACAGTCCACCATGCCTCCTGCTCCAAAGTGTCTGAATAGAGATTATTTCATAACAACAAAACACAACAAAAACTACATATTCATTTCTTCAATTATCCTCAATCAATACCCTTCTTTCCAGTTAATTAGATCTCTAGGCGATTCACCAGACATGAATCTTTTAAGATTATTTGCAAAGAAATCATCAAGTTCATATTCAAATGAAAGACCTGAACAATGCGGTGTGATGAAAACATTTTCCATATCCCACAACAAGCTATCCTGTGGAAGAGGTTCTTTCTCAAATACATCCAAAATAGCACCTCCAATCCATTTTAAATTTAGCGCTGTTACAAGTTCCTTTTCCCTTATAATATTTCCTCTGCCAATGTTGACAAGAATACTTTTTCTCTCCTTGCAGTTTTCTAGAATGCCATTCATAAGAATGTTATCAGTTTTTGGTGTCTGGGGCAATGAGTTACAAATGTAATCACACTTTCTCAGGAATTCTGGCAAACTTTGCAACGAGAAGTGGTATTCATCAATGAAAGGATGCATTTGAGCTTCAGGAATTTCTTTAGACACCATTCCCAATACATTCATACCAAATGTCTTGGCAACACGTCCAACGTTGCTACCAATTTGGCCTACTCCTAGCAGGCCTAAAGTAAGGTTGCTCAACAAACGATACTCTTGCCTATTTCCCCATTCATGAGCCATCTGGTGCAAAATACTTTGCTTAAAATTTCTCTCCATCGCGATTATTTGTCCCAAAACATACTCAGCCATATGCTGCCCAAAAGCAGAGAATCTAGAGAGCTTCCACGTGGGGTAGGGCTTTTTATGATCTACAAACTTCGTAATGGCATCCACACCATCCCATGTACTCTGAATCCATTTAACATTCTTAAATTCATATAGAAATGGTGCAATTAAATCTGGATCGCCGACAAGAATACTGCAATCCCCTTCTATCTGTCTGGCAATTCTGCTTGTGCGTTCACTCTTTGAGATTTCAAGAACATCGCTTGTAGTCAACCCTGTCTCTGCAAGCCGATCGGAAACACATGTGTCCAGGTCAACCACATCTAAACATGTCAGTCGCTTCGCAATCCTAGTGCTTAAGTTTGGAAGAGCTGATAACAAACCAATTTTCACCCTGTTTGTCATCTTTCTTCAATTTCTACGTGTTCAAAATCCAACTCAGAGCTCCGATATTATCGTCGACATTCTCACAAAACCCACTGATCTAGAACCCACTGAACCTCCACCCGACCAATTCAATTATTTAATGCAGGAACCTCGCTTCCGCACGACTGCTTTTGGCGCAATTGTCTTGGCGCCAACTATTGGCGCCAATACTTTGTTTTGATTTCGAGACAATAAAATGGATATAAAACACCAGGTAAAAAATAACAGACGAAATACGTATCATCATCAGTTAACCAGGGTTTATGAATAAAGTTAAAGGATACTTCCTTTTTCGGAAATTTCTTGATCAGGGCCCCTATGGGGAGGGGGTGGAGTATTCTTGTGGCATAAGGCCCCATTTTTTCTGTTACCCGATGCATGGTCTTTTAATGGATGTGAAGCACCATTCAAAAGTTTAAAATTTTCCATTAATTCTAAACCGGATATATGTACCCACCAGAAGGCAACATAAAGTGATCAGAGGCGTTGAGATGAGGGGTTGGGCCAAAAAACGGGGGTATGGGCCATATTGGGGCCGTAAAATCTACACCATGATACATAGTTTTGAATGAATTTCTTTGAATCTCTTGGCAACTTAGATTTCTAAGTTGAAACTGAGATTGATGGAGATATCAAGAGGGTATCTTGGGTACCAGAGACTAATATATTTGAGGAGGGTAAAGGAATTGAAAGAGAAGGGGGAAACGAGAGAAAAAGAAAAGAGAGGCATGCAATTAGCTTGACGAGCAAAGGCGAGCAATGTTTAATGCTGACTCTCTTTTTTATAAACCTTAAACAAGATGTTATTATATTTGCTAAATGAGAGTCCTCCTAAATAAATCAAATTTGAAATTTATGTGAATATCGAATATGAAATAAATGAAGCTGGAATAAGGCTGCTAGTGTCAGGAATTATAATATAAAATTCAACAAAAGAAACAATCATGAACAAGTGGCAACAGGCACAAGTCAAGATAAAGCCTGGGGTCTTGATTATAAGGTAGCAAAAATGTCAAAATTAAGTTGGGAGGCTAATCTAGAGCAAAGCGAATTATTGTCAAATTCCTTGAAGAAGCTAAAATTATTCTTAAATTGTACAATTTGAAAAAAATCGATTTTCTGTAATACCTTCATAATAGACATTTCCCTAAATTAAGCAAAGAAAACTTCCCTGCTTTATAAAGAGGTAATGATTCACAGAACAGTAGACTTTAAGTACCAAACAATTGGTCAATAGAGGAAGCTCTTCTCCTCTCTATAATGCGTACCTTCGCTTTTGAATGACAGGTCTTAGATATCTTAAATCATCAAGGTGTCTTGACTTAAAATAAGTAAAGTAGGTGTATCTAGCTAAAAGAAATATCTAACTAGCTTCCATTAAAGTTTCGTGATAATCTCATTGTAGAGTTACTATGAATGAACGAAAAAAGTAACTTTGGCAATACAAAAATGAAGCAAATCAAACTGAGTCTTTTTAAGGCACAAAATTTAGAAAATAGTCAGAGATTTAACAGAAGTACAGATTGATTACGTCATAATTCTAGTAATCTGCACCAGATCCAACTGATTTTGTACATTAAAGTTTCTGGTGTTTTTTCACGTCAAAACTCCCAAAATCAAAATTAAATTTTGTAAGGTCTTCTTTTTGCCACTCTGCTCAACTTTGAGACACGAATTAGCGAGAAGAAGCTTCAGGATAAGCAGACTACATCTGCCAATAAAAGCTCTGAATTAAAAGAAGGTGAAAACAAAGGCAACAAAGAAGGGTATTCAGAAAAGAATACTGACGTAGACACTACTGATCCTCTTCAAGAAATAATCTAAAATGATCCGACTTTTGTACAAAATAACATAAATTTCTCTTCTGAGTTAGATTTGCTTCCCAGCAAAAGTTCACTAAAATTCCCATATGTAAAAAATGAAATTCCTAATCTAGGTAAGCCAATTTTAATTGATTTCATGAATTATTAGTCATTCCCATTCTTCAGCAAAGAGTTCACCTAAGTACATTCTCTTTCCAAATTGCAGTGTCACAAATACTCTTTGCTCAGTTCGATAATGCACTTTAAAAGTCATTGGCTCCGAGCTTTCCAGAATCTCACCTCGCCCACAACCACAGCCTCCTCTTGTTGGTTCATTAGGCCCATAGAAGCGAGGCCTTTTGCGTGGATTACAGTATGGACCACGTGTATATGGTAACATGTTTGAGGGCATGACTGGTCCGTTAACTGGAAAGTGAACCCTGCTCATGTGTTCATGAATGTTATGATCGTGAATGCTATGGTCGTGGAGTAGGTGATTGGAACGATTTTCATCCTTACTATTGCCACAAAAATGCTTCCCTGTTTCTCCTGGAAGCACATGACAATCAGAGTGAACATCTACAGTGGTCTCAGTTACCATTTGCCCGGGTAAAGATCCATCTGAAGTCGAGCAGACAGGTATATCCGAATGCAGGTTGGTTGGCTGACTAGTCTCCAAATCAGGTGGCCGAGTTTGATGAGCATTTGGCTCCTGAATTATAAAAAAAATAATTGGAAATTTCTCGCAGCAAAGGACTTTTTGACAACAAATTAATTGGCAAATGACAGGTGGTTCAATTCACGTGTAGTTAAAAGAAAGAAAAATCAAACAAAATGTTTCAACAAAGTGTTAAAAAACACGAAAACGTTAAGAGGTTGGAAAGTATACACAGACATTTTTAGTCTGTCACCATGAACATTAAAAACACATAGGATATTGACATTGATAAATTGAAATTTACTTCCAAGTGCAGGGCAGTCACGTGAAAGGAAATATAGCTTATTGATTGGCTCTCTGATTTGACCAATCAACAACTACTAACCATTCATCGTGATAAACAAACAGACAGACAAATAATTAATCGAAATAAAATTGGTTTAATAAAATTGACTTTATGGTGAATTAAAATGAAAATTCGTTGACATCATTTTCAACCCAGCAATAGGAAATAGCTTAACTATGACTTAACATAAAAGAAAACAGATTTCTAAGTTAAGTATAGACAGCCATCTCTAAGTTTTTACTGGGGCATCAAGAATTAGAAAATTTAGAATATGAGGTGCTTGGACAGAGAGGAAATAATAATATTATGACATAGATTAAAAGCTTGGCAGTTTTAGTAAAAATACGTTGCAGTTTTATTGTGATGTTCCTAGATCTTTAGTCAAGGTTGGTAAACATTAAAAAATGAGAAAACTAGATAATGTAAGGCAGCAATTTAATTGTGCTAAACGGATCGAAACAGTAGGCTTCAGGGTAGCTGGAAGAATAAAGCACTTTATGTAGTAGGCTGCGTCAATGGCAGCACAGATGTTGTAGACTGCGTCAATGGCGGCACAATGACTTACCTCTACGGTATCTGATTTATCCGAATCTTTGCTAGTTACCAGATCTCTATTACCAGATCTTGATGACGTCGAGGAACTCTGGGTATCATTTGATCGCCTACCAGGTGGAGTCACTTGGCTTGGTACCGACGGACTTTGAGCGCCGTTTACCGGCTTGCCACAATCGCAGTTCGGAGGGCATTCGTTATTATTTGTCTCTGGTCGGATTCGACTGTTTGCAATATGCTCCGTTGGCACGTGATTTACTTTTGGACTGCGATGCAACATATCAGAGCAACGCATTTCAACGCGATGGGGAAATCCGGTGTGCGGTGGACCATGCTGTAGATTCAATTGGGCTTGTGGGTGAGGAAATGTTGGTCTTGGTCCGAAGGGACCACTGATCAATTGTTCGTTAGGCCATTGGGGCGAATGATGCTGACTATTTGAAAGATCACGTGATGGTAAGCATGGTCGATTGTCAGGAAAAGACGATGGACTTGCTTGCGTTGCTCTGAAGGAGCTATTTGAAAGATCGTCGCATTCTTCTATCTTCCAAGCCTGTTCATCGATGCCTTTTTGGAAGCATTCGTACGCATAGAGAAATCGAAGGTACCTTTAGAGAGAATGGGATGATCAGCATTGCATAACAAAGCATTATAATCAGGGATGCTGGAACGACCGAGGGCCAAAGAGACAGGCTTGAGTAATTTCGAAGGGCATTTGAAAAATGATTCCCAGCTTTTAAGAATTACTTCGTAACTGCCGTTTTATTTCGATCTTCTGTTGGTATCTTGAACATTAGCTAACTTTGGGCATAAGGAATTATTTTACAAGTTTTGAGAAATATCATCATGAATTGAGCACGATTTTCATATGAATCACTCTGATTACACTCTGTTTTTTATAAGAACCAGTAAATTCAAGTTCAGGCAGACTGTTCTTAATTTTTTCGAAAATTTGGGGCTTGATTGTTTTAAATTTGTTTTTAAATTAATAGGGTGTATGCAGTGCGATTGCTAGCTTTTTTGCTCTAGGGGGGTGTTCAGCCTCATTTGCCAACAAAGTGAATGAGACAACCTTCATTTGCCGACAAGCTTGAATATTCACCGAAAAAGCACTCACACATGGCTAAGAACCCTCGTTTATTACAAAAGGCCGGATTAAAGGGCAGCTTAATAAAAAGGGCACTCTGGCCCCCCTTGTCCCTCATATCAAAAGGCAAAGGTGCGGTTGGCCCCCACGCCCCCTTTCTCCGGCGTCTCTGATTATAATGATTAATTATAATAATATCACAAAATTATACTGTAGAGATTACTGTTATATATTCTATTTTACAAGCTATCAACATTCATCATAAAAGTAAACTGCCTTGAAAAAGTGAATTCTTAATAAGGTTTATTAAGAAGAGGAACTGTTTTTCATTTAATTACGAAAAGTTAAAAATATCAGTCCTTCAATCTATTCCAGAGTTTTATCTTTTTAAATCTTTCTAAATCTACCATTCTACAAAAGTTGCGCATATTTTCTTTAGGCCTAGTTCACACAATATTATTTGGCTTCAAAAGCGTAATATTTTCATGTTCTGTTGATTATGCAGCATCAATAACAATAGATGGTCAAATCATAATCATAACTATCCATTTAGGATAAAAAATGAAGTCTTATTTATAGATTATATCTTTGTAATTTTTAACAACAATAAAAGCAGTAGTTAAGCTTTAAGCGATAAAGAAAATTTGGTTCTTGAACTTTATTGTGAAAAAGATGAGCAGAAAAACGTACTGTGTTCTTAATGTGAACGCTGCACTAGTAATACTGGCTGGGAGGTTCAGTTCCCTTGTCACTTTGCTCCAATGCCTATTTCTAACAACCTGAAAAGAAAATAATATTATATAAAGATCTATTTCGTTATTGGTGAATAGATTTAGAAAACTGCTTAAGAAACTTTCTTCATTCTTGTTGTTGAGTAGTAACTAGTTAAAGTAGTTACATAATTATACTTTTCCCTTGGAACAAAAAATACACTGACGAATAAAACAGGGTTGATTTGACGACCTTGATTTTTTTTTAAAAATTGAAAAAACTCTAATAATCTTTTGAGGAATCCCAGCATCCGTCTTGTAGCATAACTGTCTACTGTAATTGTAGCAGAGCTTGAAACTTGAGACAAACGATTGATGACCAAATTTATGTGCTAGCGTTTGCAGGGGCGGATCCAGAACAAAGTAGGTGGTAGTGACAGTTGGTAGTAGGGGCACTAAACATTTTGACGAGAGTCCTAACAGAAGGCTCGCTCTCTATTCACATTCTTTAGAAAATTTTCACAATAATTGTGCCAAAACGTTTCCAAAAAGGGGCCCAGACTTGCTTCAGCTCGGTGAGGGAGGGGCAACTGCCCCTTGTTGTCCCCCTTAAATCCGGCACTGAGCGTTTGCCTCTTCAGAGGGTCAAGAATTATCACATGGTGTCACTACTGGCAGAAAATGCGAAGGACACGAGAATATGATGTTTTTAACTTTTTGTGCAAGATGTTGTATCAGCAGCCATTAGAGCCTGCAAATTTTCAAGTAAATTGCTATCAATGAGGTATAGGGCCTTTCAAAGTCTATGAAAAACTCTCTTTTTTTCTATGCATTGTACTTGGAAATGCCTCTTGATGCAAATGTCCGGAATTCATTTGAAATTGAAAGGCATTCTCGAAAAGCTCAAAGATTTATCAATGAGGACAAAATCATCACAGAGATTTTCTTACTTTTCATGACAAAGCAAATTGGGATAGAAACCGGGGTATGAGATCTGTGAACCCTCAACTTGAAGCCAGAGCAGCACACAATAGTAAATTATCTTTTTTCTCAACAACGCCACCCACCCATCACTACGTCATGATAGAAGTGCCTCTAGGTATTTGGCACTGCCTATTCCAAGCCGTGCCATACAGATCTATGTGAGGCATAGGAATGTCCTAAAAAGATCAGAATAGAGACGGGATGATGCAGTGAAATCCTTGACTGCCAAGAGAATGAGAAAATAACGATTTGTGGTAGGAAGATTGGTGTTTAATGATCAATTCAAGCTATCAGTTTTAAGGAAGGCAAATACCACACACATCTGTTTGGCTTGGTTGTGCCAACAAATTGTTTCCTTTATTACGATCTTGCTTAATCAACCTCCAGTTGCAAGACTCGACCAGGCCATTTCGCGGCGCATTCATCGAAGCATCTGCAATGAGTTACTACGCTAAGCATAAATAGATTCGCCCTGTGCTTTATATACCAAGCCCCTGTATCTATATTACTATAGTATTTTATTACTATATATGTTATAGTATATTATAACATATTATAGAAAATTAAAGTAATCATAAATATATTATATTGTTATACAATTTTATATACAATATTATATTATTTAATATTAATTATAATAATTAATTATATATTTTTTATATTATATATTATATTAAATATTAAATATTTATTATATTATATTATATTATATATTATATTTTATATTATATTATATTAATTATATATATTATATTATTATTTTATATTATATTATATTAATTATATTATATTATATTATATTATATTATATATATTATATTATATTATATGCTATGTCATTTATTAATTAATTGTATACATATATATTTTATTATAAAAAATTATAGTATATAAAACAATATTAGTATATTGTACTTAATTATACCATATTTACCATATCACTGATGTTTTCCCAAGTTTTTAGTCAAGTAGTTTTAAGAAGACTTTAAAAAGTTTACGGGCTTACCTTACACTTAGCACATTAACCAGTTTATTTGGCAATATTACAGATGCTGCGTCGGCTTGTTTTTTGGTAAATTGCCTGTATCCTATGAAATGGCTAAGTTTTAATAGACTTGAATTTAACATAATAAAAAAATGAAATTATTGATTCTCTTTGTATTTGAAATTTAGCTTGAATTTACTGCGCCTTCAGTTGAATTCAGAACACAATGAAAGATCACATATCTACAGAGGAAAGCAGTTGATTTCATGAACTTGGATTTCTTAAAAAACGATGTCCAAGGCGAAATAGCAACGTATCCTTTTCAAGAAATCCCAAAGTCATCTTCTCCTAGACTAAACATTTGAATTCGTAAATCAACTGCTTTCCTCTGTTAGATCATGTGATCTTCCCAGCATTCATAGCACGTACATACGCCACAGCTGGCTCTATTAATAAAAAAATTACGCGAGCAGAAACGTTTGTTTGAAATTCAAAAACCCACGTTACATGAAACACTGCTTTAGTAAATCTGAAATATTTTGACCACGACAGTTGGCTGACATCGTGCCCTTAGTGTTGCAATCACAATAATTTTCGACCATATCAGCCTAATTCACAATATGATTTCCTCTATTAGTTTCTGTTTCAAAGTTTTTCTGCTTTGTGTTTACAAAATTAAGTCTAATGGGCAAAGGAGTCATGAAACAAGGAGGTCATGGGTGACTGTATCCATTCATCGCTACCCTTTTTGAGAAGGTGGAGTCATGACCTCTGTGGCTTGACCTTAGAAACTGGCACAGCAGATGACGCCGTTAAATTTCTTTTGTGCAACGAATATTCATTCGCGACTGTCCTTTTGGTCTAACTGAGTCTATAAAAGCAAATTTTGCAAGACCAAACAACTGCATCCAATGTTACTAATTCACGAAGGCTTCCCACAAATTAACAAGTAGCTTGAACGTTGAATACTTTAAAACGTGCACAATTTGCATTTAATTCTTTGATCGACATAAATTACAATAAAATTCCCAAACAAAACTGGCACAACTGTGAACATATTACAAAGCCTATCAAACAGAGATTCTACGGACCTAAACTATCTTATTTTCAATATAAATAATGATACATTATATTTTGGAGTTTAATTTGGGTTTAGTATTATTGCTCTTGCAAAGCCTAAGATCAAACCATTTTACTGACTTATACTCGGCCTTAATAAAATGCAAAAGTATGCCTTATTATTAAACTGGTTTATAATTTTCATTTCGAAGTCTTAAGGGGTGGGGGGGCCACTATGAACAGCTACGTTTTTATATGAACACTTCCTCCAGTTTCCAGCCTGGAGTTCCTATTTTCCGTAAAATTTCAGCTAACGTTGTCTTATTTTTCTCTTATTTTTGTAAGAATTCCTGTGGATAGCAGTGTCTCGACATTACCTGTGCTTGATAAAGTAAATAATGCTATTGCTTATCGCTTTCGTTTTTCATTGCTATTTGTTCATTTTCCATTTTGCTGTATGTTATTTTTTTAATTTTGTTGAATTTCAGCCTGCCTTGCCTGTGTTCTTCTTATTTTTGGGCAAATCTCATCCTGATATTTCTTATAAGGTTTATATAAAAAAACGGCTGTACTATCATTGCTTCGAATGTAAGCTGGAAATGGGGTGATCTTTTAGCCCACTTATAGAAAGCTAGTGGACAAAGATAGAACGAAATTTTGAAATGCGGATATAAAACTACAGTCACTTATTACAGAAAGCTGCAAAATGAATGCCCCAGGCACTCTTGTAGCACTGTTTTCTCAGCTTTTTTTGCATGTGAGTGAATAATC